TAGTTAGTATTTTCTTCCTGTGCACAGTAGGTTCACCTTCTCCATCATCTACTGATAATCTAGTTCTCTATGTTACTCTGACCAAACCGCTGGCTTTAGAACTCACTTCCTGGACTAGACTGTGGCCATCCACTGCTGCTAACAGGTAAAGTACAGAAGGAAGGTCAAACACAGAAGGCACATTTCTCCAAGGGGATCAATAAAGTTAAACGTCACTAATGTGCTGCATTTTAAACGTTTATTTTGTGGTCAATTGAGTGTCATCTCTGCAAACGAATGACTTGGTGCAAGTGCTTTTAGCCTTTTTGTTGTGCTCGTAATGCAAGTTCTTAAAGATTTCCTACAAATGATCATAATTTCTGTTCGTCAAATTGTGTTGTGGCACCAAAGGGACACTCCACAGCCTCTCCCATTTTACGTCAATGTTTTTATTCTTTTTACAATCCCTTACAGATGTAATGATGATGTGGGTGATGAGGAGAGGATGTATAAACATAAGCTGACAATAACCACGGTACTGTTTTACTAGTGTTTTCAGCTCAGCTGTGGTATAACAATGATACTTTATGTTTTTCTGTGGTGAGGCTTTGAGAGTTAAATGTATATTTGATATGTTTACTGCGACATAAAATGTAAAATCCTTACATAAGATGTATTACTGTAAGATTCTTAGTCATGGCATTTTTACAATGTAAGATGCTGAGTTTCATCATAGGTGACATTTACAAATAAGTATACACTGTATGTGTGTGTAATGTTTTTTAAGTGTAGGGGTTATGAATTATGTTACCTCATCTCTGCTTTCTTTTTAAGGGTTTTTAACCTTGTGCGTTAAACTGTGGTCTGATTCATTCTTTATAATTTGACTATTCCTTCGCTTTCAGTTTCAATGTTTGCTTCGCAGGCATCTCTCGATACCTTTTTATTTATAGAACACTAAGGAGGCAGGCTGTAGATTGAGGATTTAAAAACACATCAAACACCTCCTGTAAACCCTCAGAGAGCTGTGTTCCTATTTGCAACTGAATGACTTCTTGTGGCTCGAGTGTTTGGCGTCTTATTGCCGGGGTATGAAATGATGTGTTAGCGACAAGAGAACTGAAAGAGAGTGAGAGTTATTGAGATACAGTGTTACTGCTCTTCAAGCGGAAATTGGGAAACACTTGGAGACAGCTTGACACACACACACACACACACACACACACACACATCACCCACTGTAACACACAGGTCTACCACCCCAATAAGATCACGCGTGCACGCTACATATAAAGAAAATGATTAACATAAAGAGTTTAACATATAGATACATATTTTGAAATTATAAAACACGTGCTTTCTATGTAACATGTTTTTTTTCTCTCTCAAACCTCATTTGCAATGCAAATCGATCGCTTGCAAGAAATCCTGATATCCGCGCCCTGTCATACATATCTGAAATTAAATATCACAAGCAGCACAATGTGCGCCCTTAAAAGATAAGAGAACGCAAGAGATCTAAAGAAAGCACAAAAGAACTATATAAAGTATGCACCGCCAAGATAGTGATGTGGACAGAGGGGCCTGAGATTTGACAGGAGCAAAACAGGCTGGAGGAAAAAAAAAAAAAAAAGTCTCTTTACACTGTGTAGATGAAGTGAGGAACGCGAGAAGGAAGAGCAACTAATGTTGACAGAATGAGACACACAAAAACACAACTGTCATGCCATCAAAGCAATTCATTAGAGTTAACTGACAGAAAAAAATAAGGAATGGAAAGGGGGCAGAGAGAGCAAACAGTGGAGGAGAGAAGTATAAAAAAAAAAAGAATCAAGTCCTGAATGTGTTGAAAGACCACAAGGAAGAAGGGTTTAATGGTTGTCTCTGCTCCTGCTTCTCTCAGTGTTAGAGCTAAAGTTGCGACTACCTCATCAATAAGAGCTGAGTGAAGGCAAGACCTGGAACACAATGATAACAAGCACACACTCTGGTAGAACACATTTTTGAGAGAAAAAAACTCAAAGGCGAAAGAGATTTAAAAAAAAAAAAGAAGAAGAAATGAGCAAAAAATGAGGGTGCAACTGCCAAAGTGTAGCGCCGAAGAGGAAAAAGCTGTATATATTTTAAGTTAATGGACTTGAACTTCACTCGAGGCAGGAGGTTGGGGAGTGATTACTGCCATTAGGATGCGTGTGTCAGTGTGTGGGATCGAGCAATCAGTGTTGAGTATAACTTTTTAGTGTGTGCAAGTACGTATGTGTTTCCGTGCACAGCCCTGACCTTGAATGTCAACGGGGACACACTTATCCACTTCTTCAGCTGGCCTCTTTTTCCTCTTTCCGTCCTTTTATTTCAACATTTTACCTCCCCTCGTTCCACCTAGGCTGAAGCCCACGAGAGCCACAAGTCCACTCAAGGAAAAGGTCAGAGCCATTTATTCTCTTATTTAACGCCTAGCAACTCTCGACATCCCTGCCGCCAATCTTTTTTTCCTGCTGTTGTCCCTTTCTAACTTGTATATTCTGATCTGCTCTTCTTGTCCTGTTTGCTTATCTTTCCAGAGTGCGTAAAGCAGTAATCTGGTCTCTTGTGGCTGCTCATGGCCTGCATTGTTTCAGAAAGTTAATGAGCCTCCTTATTGGACAAATATGTTTAATTCACACGCGGACCAAACCGACTAAACCCCACCAGCCAGTCAATTATGGAAAATTATCTGAATGCTTTCATTAACACATCTTGAAAAAAATGAACACAATGAGACATGCAAAGTCACGAACAGTAGCACAGAGACATTTCAGTGTTGGTTTAGTATTTAGGAATCAGTAAATGGATTACTAGTCTGATCTGTGAAAGGATGATTACAGCTATTTTCAACTCTGCCGTTATTTTTCCCAGTTAGCTAAATTATGTCTGATTGTGTTCGATTTATTTCCCCTCTGCATCACTCTAAAGCCTTTTGTATTCCCGTTTTGTCACGAACAATGTCCATTTAAGCCAAATAGCCCGCAGCTCCAAAAGTTATCAAATGTTCAATACAATAACATCCAGGCAGGAACTACACTCCAGTACAACGACTGGGATTTCTGATTGTTTGTGGCTTTTCAATCCCACCGGCAGGACAGTCATAACAACATCATGCTGTGCAGCCGCACGCTGGTCAAAACAATACATTTATTTTAAATTCTAGAGGGGATGTCACATAAAAAAAAATAAAAAAATGTCAGAATATATTTGAATCAAAAGTTTAAATGGTGCATGAAAATAAGGAAAAATAGTTGTTACATGGAAAAGTCTGACTTGAGTATTTAAGTCCGAGTAGACAACATCACATTACAGTTGCTAACATTAATATTAGACTGATCAGGCTATTATCACACTTAGCTGTTAACACTTACTGTTGGCCACTAAGTGTTACTGCCAAACAGCCATCTGTCATATCAGCGTTTTCCAGCACCGTGGACTGGGCTGAAGATCGTGAAATGTTCCTCTGTTCAAGCATAGTGTGTCATGTTCAGACAATAAATAATGTTAAACCACAATTAACTATCTGGTTTCTTCAAATTTCACTGAGGAGCAAAAATCAGCCTTTCAATTTGAAATAAATAATGATTTGACATATGAAATTACATCTGAAATTTTGTATCATATCAGCCCTAGCCCTAACTAATACTACACAAACATGTGCCATTATTACTGACATTGTAGCTATAAATCGATCTTATTCATTGATGTTGTTTTTGCTCTGTTTATCTTTGTCTGTGTTCTTCCTGCATCTCCCTTCATCCCACTTTCCAATTCAAACACAGTTCAGCAGACGGCTATTCAACATGAGTCTGCTTCCGCTCGAGGTTTCTGCCTCTTAAAAGCTATTTTTCTTTTCCTGTGTAACTTTGCTAAATGCTGATTAGTGCTGTGCTCATGGTGGATTAATGTTGGGTCCTTGTAGATAATACAACAGAGAGTAAGTTTAAGTAAGAGAAAATATTTGTTATGAACTGGAGCAATACAAATGAGGATTGATTGATCATATAGCTGTGATTTGAAGCAGAAAATTTGTATTTTTCATCTGTATGTGTGTGACTATACGTTAGTAACAAACGACATCGAGGAAGGGTTTTTATTCAGCCTTGATGCTACTTGGATGCAAAAATTTGTTAAAATTGCTTTTATGGAGTGTGTACCGAAACATGCCTAAAGAATTCACATACAGTATCTGTCCAACATATAAAGTGTTAAGTGATATGTGGCATTGCAGATTGTTGAATTATATCCTGAGTGCTTTTGAGTTGGTGCTTGGTCAAAGTGTGGGCTGAGATCCAGGGCTATGCAGATGACACACTTATATACTTCCAACACAGCCAAACATGACTAAGCTTTCCTGCCTTTTCTGACACGCAGACATCAAAACCCATGACTCCTGGTGATTCTCTTTTTGACTGTAAGACAACTGTGATTCATGATTCAGCCTGTGGTTCTATCAAAAGCCATATGGGCCAATTCCACTTCTGCTGCTTCCAGCAACCCTGTAACAAACTTAAAAGTAATGGCTGCAAAGGAGTTTCTCTTTGTTTTGGTGTCTGGCTGAAAATGTCTACAGCTGGAGAGCTAAATCCTGCACTTACCCTCTCATGTTTCAAGAAACTCCTTCAAAATCAATCTGCTTTAAACAGGTCAATCTTTTTTTTTTGCGCCGTTGAAGGAACAGCCTCAACTTTCAGATTGCTTTATCAGTTTGACTAATGCTGTTTTTTGTTTTGAATTTCTCAGCAAATATCTTTCTTTTGTTTTTGTATTCATGTTACATTAACTTTTGCGCTCTTGTTGGAAATACATATCATCTGGAATAAAGGGAGAACTTTTCAATAAAAGGTTTACATTTTTATAAATAGTTGTATACTTGAGTTACAAGAAGAAAAGAGGAGAACAGAGACCTGGACATCTCCAAAGTCAGTGTACTACCCAATAGCTCATTTCTCTCAACCACACAAATGCACATATATTAAACGACATTGAACACTGACCTGGTAGAGTGTGTGGTCCTTGTTTTTGAAACAGGGCATGAGGCGAGAGTAGATCTGTAGGGAGTAGTAGTAGCCGGCCAGCTGGAGCGACAAGGCAGAGTGACACTGTTTCTCAAAACACCTGTTTGCATCCAGCACCTGGACAGATGGATGGACAGAAATGGGTAAGAAAAGGAAGCCGGTAGACTGTAGTGGAAGAAAATGAGCAATAAAGCATGAACAAGCATTCCCTGATATCAATATGTGAGCAACTGATATGAAAAATAATGTCTCATGGCCTTTCAGTTCCAAATGTTCATAAATAAGCAGTAAAAATAAAGATAATGAGCTCAATAATGAATAGACCCTAGAATAATGAAAACCCTAAGAATGAACAAAAACACCCTCTTTTAGCCATTGCAGAACTCAATCAGTTTGTAAGGCTTGTGTAAGTGGGGTTAACAAGCTCTGCAGGAAATATCTACGAAACATCCACTCCAGCATTTTAGTTTTCCACTGCAGAGGTGTTGAGACTCAGGCGGGATTTCATGACCTGCACTTGAACACAACTTACTGCAGTCGCCACTAGTGGGTTTCTCCGTCATGCCGTTTTGTTTTCTTTGCTGTCAAAGTACCCCAGCTGTTCCTTTGACAGCCGAGACAAGGTGACAGCAGACACACAGTGTGAAGTGCTTCATAGAGATGTATGAATTTTGACTGAACTGATGGAGACATGAAACTCTCTTACACACAACATGTCTAATATCAAGGTCGTCACAATGTCACGCTTTTGATGAGCTGCTACATTCTGGTGCTTTTTTTTTTTTTTTTTTTTTACGTGCAACTTTGATCTGACAAAGTGATGATGCAAAGTGTCACACACGATAGTTCATCCAGAAAGGCAAGGGTTCAATGGTGGATTCACAGTAAATCCTGCCAGAATCTCTCTGTTGTATAATCACACTTGTATTATTGCACACATTCCCAGAGTCTGTTCAAAATAAAGCTCAGTGTGTGTATCTGTGTGGGACAGTACCTGAGGCAGGGCTAGTAAGTAGGACAGAGCCAGCATCATGTCCCTTGGAAACGCATCGTTGGCCAGCTGAAGCAAAACTGGAAAAAAACAAGGAGAGGAAGGAGAGAGAAAGAAGGAGAGACTTTAACTAAAGCACTGTGGATTAACAAGCAACCCTCCCCTCTTGGACGAGTCTCATCCCACGTTTGTTGAATACAGACGACAGTGGCTGTCAGAATTCACCTCTCTGCGGGCCAGACAAAAGAGAAGGAGGGTAAAAATAGAGGGAGATGAGAAGAAACTGCACAGACAATGTCAAGAAGCGTCATTAAACCCCCCCCCCTCCTGGAAATCTGGGATTCTGTCCATCTTCTGGCTGGGCTATTGTGTTCCTGTCTGTGTGGTTGTGTGTGTTTGCGTATGTTGTGTACTGAAGGTTGTTTGTGTGTGAGTTCATGCATGCACGTGTGTGCGTGTATTGTTTCTTGCACAGAAAGTATTTATTATTCAAAGAGTAAGTACATGCCCACTTCTAATAAGTGCTCTCAAGATGAGTCCAAACTTCGCTTAAGTGCACTTCAAAGTCCAATCCCTTGAATGTCGAATAAGTGCATATTCAGAAAGACAGATAGAGGGGTTCGATTACAAGAATCATAAAAATAACTCACTTTAACTGCTTTTGTCTGTGTGGACCACTAATCTGGTCGAGCACATCATGTCGGCAGGTTTTTAAAGCTCGGCTCAAATGCTTTTTTTAAGAATCTAAGGATGAAATCAGACAGGTACTGGGCTCACATGTTAGCAGTAAACAATTGACTATAAAACAATCGTACATAAAAATAAAGGGATAACTGTTCGATAGGCTGAGTTCATTTTCAAGCAGTAACACAAAACAGGTATTGGGTCAAAGGGACATAGTTGATTTTTGATTTACTTAGGGAAAAAAACGCAAATTAGTTCAGTTTTTGAAAACAGCTTCTACGAACGGCTGACATGTTTTCATCAAATATGAATAGATGAATCAGGAAATGATCAGTAGATTAAAGTATGTATGGATGCTATGTACAGATTCACATTCATGTCACAAGAGATTCACTGGTAATATGTTTGGAATGCTTTGTCATACTGCACATTTACTGTCACTGTGTTAGTGTACACTACGTGTAAATACAAACAGATAATATGCAAGAAATGCCCAAATAGACCTAAAGTAAGCTGCCACTTTTGTTTTGTTTATTGTCATACATTTCAGACCAAAATAATTAGCTGCTGGGAAAGAAAAACAAGTCAGACTTCCAGTATTAATGAGTCATAAATATCTCCAGATTAGTGAACAGAGCCAAATCAGTCAACAACCTGGTAGCAAATTGGATACAGAAACTCAAAACAAAAAGCTCATTCCAATGCACAAATACAACACTGACACAACTGATTCCGGACATTTATAAAGCTGAATGTGGTCAGTTATCATCTGGGAGACTATACAGAACAGTAGGTCATTTAGACTTGTTTGACGACAAGCCTATCACTCCAGAGTCAGAATAATGGGAGGTTTTCCAGTTCCTCCTATTCTGCTGACAGTGCATGAGTGCAGCATTAAACCTCACAAAGAGAACAAAAACTGTTTTTACAATAATTCAAACATTTCCCCGAGCTGTGTCAGCCCCCATGTGCAATAAGCTTTAATGTTCTGCAGCTGTGAAATGCTATTTCATTTGTTTTGAGCAAAGCATTGTGGAACACATCATCAGAAAAACTAACTTGAAAATTAAGCGTATTTAAGTTTGAACATTGATTTGAGGGTTCTTTCCTGAATTGTTTAGTCTGTTCATACATAGATGCAGCTTAGAGTTTATATAGACATACAGAATATGGACTACCTTATGTTTCAACTATCCCTAAGGCTGATGGGATATTGAGTTCAAATAGAGCTTTGGGCATACGAACAGCAAGCATGCGTAAGAATGATCTCACACACAAACACAAACTTGTATTATTATGTATTAATACTTTCTATTTGCTAGATCAACACTGAACAGTGTAAACACCCTGACTCCTTTAGTTAATCACTCACTCACTCACTCACTCACTTGGAGTAACATTGGGGGCGAGCAGAGAGAAGCAGAGGCAGACAGAATCACTTTGTAGTCTCAGGCCCAAGGAGAACAAAAGCCTGTGTCTGTGATAAGAGCCTGAGACAAACTGGAACTGACAGAGGAAAGTAGAGCATGGACACTGGGAGAGAGGCAGAGGCAGAGGCGGTGGCAAACTGAGAGACATACAATGTAGGACAAAATGCACACTAATATGCATTTGTGCACACACAGGCCGGCCTGTACCTGTTAAGTTTCGTTGGAGGTTCGGTGCGTGTGCAAAAAGGCTTAAAGAGTCAAAACAGCTCTCTTAAGCAGAGTGCCCACCCTTCTCCTTTTCTCCTTTCCCTCTCTCCTCTCTCCTCTCCTACCCCCTGGGTTTCAATGAGCTACACCTCAGAATGAGCTGATTACACGCCTCTCTAAAGCTACTGATACCATCGGGACAGGAATTACCAGAGGGGTAAACACGCGCGCACGCGCGCACGCACGCACGCACGCACGCACGCACTCAGAGGAGATAACCCTGACTTAAAAGCATACAGTATTTCTGCTTGTGAGCGAGACAGAGGGGGAAACAGAGGGTGATAAAGAGACGCAGTGTGGAGGAGTGTGTGTGCGTGAGACCGACGCGCGCACGCGCACACACACACACACACACACACACACACACACACTTGGGCTTCTGTGTTAGCTAAATCGGTAAAATGGTTAACTGGATAGTGAGACAGTGACTTATTACTGTTTTACCTGTGCAGGCAGCATTGAAAAACAACTGATTACGGCCTGGTCAACAACCAGCCAATAGCCTCTCTCCATACTATGTGTGTGTGCGTGTATATTAGAGTGTGTCTCCCCTTGTGTGCCCCTTACTCAGCTCAATCCCAATGAGTCACTTTTCCACCCGTGTCATCATTAATTACCTCCACCTTATCTGCGCCAGGTGAAAAATCTATATATTTATTTTCTTAAAGGCCATCTCCTAGTCTGTTTTTTTTTTTTTGTTTGAGGACGCCATGCTTGACGGGCCGACACGGGAGTCATTAATCGAAGGTTGTTATCGGATGAGATGCCGTCCAGACCACCTTTTCTCTTTTTTCGCCACGGCGTTACAGCACAGCACCTTTGGAAGGAAGGTGACTTTTAAGGAGAGAGATATTCACTTGAATGGCGGCAGCAGAGAGACAGAGAGCTTGTTTGTGTGTTAATTTGTTTCGGTGTGAGCGAGGGAAATGTGTTTATCCATGTCTACGCATTAGCAACTACTACTCAAAGAGCGTGCCTTGCATTCTTCAGCCTCCACGCATTGGTATTCACACACACACACACGCACAGACGCACACAAGCACGCTCTTTATTTTTGTAGTGCCATTGATTTTGGCGAGCCGCTGTGATCCATCACGCAGCACGGCCTTGATGTTTTGACTTGATGCTATCTCTCTTGCTGATGCATCATTATTTACTGTTGCCGTGGGGTGCATGGGTCTACATTAATTGATCAATATGGGGCTATTGTTGTGTGTCGTCGTCCCCCCCCAGTCCTGAACGTAGCCGGGGCTAGACGGATGAGGAGAGGACAGGTGAGCTGAGTGAACACTGCTCGCTTCTGCAAATACCACAGCTTCACCAAGACGGAGCACTGAGACACAGCTCAGGTGAAAGACTCAATCTATCTTTGACTCTTCGTAAACACTTTAAACCCTAACCCCCCGCCCAACAACCTTGTGACTTTGAAAACAAGGAAAACAATCTGAAAATGCTCACTAGCAAGCTGTAGTGCGAGAGAACGCTAAATAATTGTAGTAGCAAATCAGAAACTAATACAAATACTTCATTTTACAGAATAATAATAACACAAAATCTTAAGATAAAGATGGATATTTAAGACCTCCATCCTCCAAATGATCCCATGAACTGAAACAGGCAACTCTAAATGATTTCTTGTTCCATTTTGAATCTTACAAATGGGAAAAGACTATTTGGTTCTGCACATCCAAAATGTACTAGTGCACACTTACACTCTGGATCATAAACCAGCCAAGCCCCTAATCTTTCTTTTCCATTGACAGTTCCACTAAAGTTAATGAGAACTTGATGATTTAAGGTGTGAATATGAACATAAAAGCCTTACTTTGTGAATTCTACTATGAACAGAAAGTAGGCAGAGAAAAAAAAAAAACAGTAAACAAGGCGCCGCAGATGGCTGGAATATGCAGACAATATGTTCTGTCTGGTCTGCACAGAAGTTCAGTTTTATTTCTATAACAGCACAGTCTCAGTTGAGACGTCGGGAGCAACAATGTGTAAAATACTACTCCTAATATTATTATTTGAAAACATGCTCAGAACAGATTTGAAGAAGTTTCAGCTGTTGTTGTTTTTTTTGAGAATATGAGGAAAATTGTACCGTGGAACAGCTCAAGCTGTGCAACAGCCGACCAAAAACAAAAAAACATCAAATGACAACCGATCTGGCACAAAAAGTGCCCAGTTCTATAATTAGTCGGGGCTACCAGTCCTAGGTGTTATGAAAGTAAGTAACACAGTTTCTTATACACTATCTGTTTAAGTGTGTGTTTGTAACCATGTGTCACTTGTGACGTTTTTTTCGTACCCTCTGTAGCAGGAAACAGAGTTTCTCCTTCAGTTTTAGCCTCAGCCAGTTTGCCGGTCCTCAACAAAACCTCTGCAAAGTTTTCCTGGGGCACGTCTTTGTAGGTCGAATACACGTCCTGACTCTGAAAGAAGAAACGGAGAAGACAGTGTGAAAAAATAAATACTCCACACCTGTCATTGTATCGAGGAAATCCCAACAGTAGTGAGAGCAGATCAGAAAACACACGCACCGGGAGAGCGAGTCAGACGCCTGAGAGATGGAGCGAACAAATTACCTTCAGAGCCAAATAAAGCCTTTTAACAAGGGACTTTTGATGATGTCTTTATAGGATTCTTGAATGCCAACTTATTTCTCAAGTGCCTGAGCTACACAACAAACTTTTTGCTCACGCTGGCATCAGAGCTATCGCTTTAGCCCCAAGTGTCTTCCTGTCCGTTTCCAGCGCTCTCCCTCTATCCATCTCTCTGTCTCGTTGTGTTTGTCGCTCTTTCTCTCTCAATCAGCCCCTCCCCCCTTCCTTCTTTGAAACTGTTAAGGTAAAAAACAACACCAAAACAAAAAAAAGCCCATTGATCAGCCTGCTCATGGATGGATGGATGTGGGGAGCCATTATTGGTGGACGGATGATTGAAGATGGATGAGCGCTGGATATGGAGCAGAGGAAGGGATTTGGAGAGGCCTATTAAAGTGTCATGAGAGGAGATGTATCGGCCTTCTGTTTCCCCCCCACGTCCACTCTTTTAGCTATCCACATGATTTGTGTCTCTGAGTAAAAAGCCCAGTCATAGCCCGGGGTGACCATTTTCTGGGTATAAAAGGTCAAACTACTCCTTTTTTTAAATTTTCTTCTTTTCTACTTCCATACCTCTGTCTGTGGATAATGTTGTCTTTTTAAGTTTTTACGACCTTCTCTCCCCCTCCCTCTTATGGAAACAGCACTCTCTCTCTTAGTGTTATATTATTCTACTACTTTTCTGAGCTGTTATCACACCATCATTCATAAGTTCAGCTTTCCTCTCCTGTAAAGTACAGTTAGTTCTTCTTAAATCGCTTTCGGCATTGAATTACTGAGTCTGAAATCAATATTCATTTTGTTTTTCACACCGTTTCTGAAGGAATTTATGAATCATAGGTGGAAAAATCCAATTAAACGCCTTAAGTTGTAAAGCTACTCAGGCGTCTTGGCTGTAAATTAAGGAGGTGTCCTGAGGAAAAGAAAGGGAAAATAAAGACAACAGGAATGTTAATGAAGAGAAAATAATTGGCAATGAGACACAGCGGTCATCAGCCACTCACCAGGTCGACATGGGGATCATCAATGAGTTCCTGATAAAAGGGGCAGCAGCTTTGACGCTCCAGGTTGGAGTTCTCGCACGCCCCTCCCTGGCGAGTGTCTCCGGCGTCATGACCCTGAGGAGCCATCAAAACATCATTAAACTTTCACACCCTGCCCGCAGCACTGTCATCCCTTTCTCTATCCCACTGCTCGCATGCTTGTCGTTTTTATCTCGTCTTAGAAACTCGCCACCACAGATCCACCACCACCACTGCCGAGTCACTGGCAAGACCAGAGGAGCCATCAATCTCCACGCCAGCGACCACCGAGGCGGTCCAGCCGCTGGCAACCGCCAGATATTGAAATATTCAACAGGCGGGTCGATTAATTATGCAACAGATGAGCTCTTGATTGGTTGTTTTTGGATGAGGAGTATGAAGTCTGGGGAGCAGGAGTGTGTGCATGAGATGGCAGCTGGTGCTGACTTGCTGTTGTGTTTTCTAAGATGGACGCATGCACGCTCACGCGCACACACACACACACACACACACTTAAAGCATACACATATTTATTTAGATACACGGAGCACGAACATTTGGATGTTTTTATTTATTTCATTTTTATTGTTTTTAAATGATATTACCAGTATATAAAGAAATACTTAATCTTCGTATCAGGTATTGATCGTAGTTGTGCGATTCTTGTTTTGCAGTAGACCCCATAACATTTTTTGTTGTCTCAAATTGGTCCCTTGTATTCTATTATTCTATAAGTATTGGGTATTGATGAATTCAATTACTCATTTATCACTGCATTACTCCAGACATAAAAAGCTGTGTTCAGTGTCACCACAGATCACGTCAGTTACAAAGTGTTCTCACATGCAGCGGCCGAAGGTAGTTGATGGATTCCTTCCACCAGCGATGATCGCTGACTGCGGTCAGCACGGCCTTGGTGGTCAGTCCTGTCGTGGTCAGGACTTCCATGGTCTTAGCTGTAGTCCTGTGCAGCAGGTCCCCCGCAGTCCCCACAGATGAGCCTGCAGGAGAAGTCCCAGCCTGGGGACAGCAGATGACAAGATGGCAGGAAAAACATGACAGCAACATTATTCTAAGGCATCACTTAAGCGTCTCTGCAGTCCATACAACTTGAAATCATCCTGCATTACCATGAAAGGATCCTCTGAACACTACTTCTCATTCATTAAATGAAAAAGCAGCATCAGAGGGGTTTTCTGATCGCTACATCTTTACATGAGACCTCAGGAAAAAAATCTGAGCTGAGGACTCTTGAGTATCTCTGCAGTATTAGACATGGTTGTGTTCTGTTTTTTTTTTACGAGGCACTAGAGAGGAGCACTTCTAAAGCACAGGGCTCTTTGTGTTTGTCGGTTTGTTTTGCGTGTTGCAAAGGGAATTACAATATGTGCTCCCAGCCATGCACGATCAACAGACATCGAGCACTTGAAGAGAACTTGGTGCTATAAGTCACACAGGAAGCACTTGTTTGTGCGAGTTGTTGGGCAACAGATTCATTACATAAGGAAGCAGCTCTGTGATTTGTGTTTCAACTCTACCGGCTTGAAATTACACAACTGAGTTCAGTTTAGTAATTCATCGACCCAAACACCTTGAAAACATAATTGATAATTAAAATAGAATAGGGCCAAAAATGTGGGAAATATGCTTAGTGTGCTGCTCACTGTGAATGTTTGCTTTGGAATCAAAGTCTGTTTTCACAGCATGCTGTGAGCTCACTTTTTCAGACACCTATCCCCTATGGGCCTTAAAATAAAGATACAGAAGATATGACAAGATAGACAAAATATACTTTATTGTCCCCAAAGGGAAATAGAAATAACCGCTGGCTGTTTTGTTTGTCTTTGCAGGTCAGAAAGAGTCATCATTTGTCTGATTTATAAATGCCAAAAAAACTCCGTACAGGAGCTAAAACTGACTTTAAACAACACAATTTGCTATCTAACAGGCAGGTAGGTATGTGACTATTCCTCAGCTCTGCTGTTTTGAGTAGTAATGGCTTCTGGTCAATATATAGGATGTGACCACTACACTTTGCCTCTTTTACACTTACGTATTCAAATGAAAAAAACGTCTTAATAAGCAAGTTTAAGAGATTTAAGAGACAGAATAATGTTTTTTTAAACCCTTTTGACAGAACCAACTGGCTACAGTTTTATATTTAACAGATTCCTGGTACCCATTCATTTTAAAGATATCTCATCAGAGAGCTAATGAGCCTATTTCCACAGAAATCAAAGTTTTATGCCTTTATTGAAATGACAGCGGGAGAGGGACAGGATATATGGGAGGGGAGTGGGTGAGGTAGACGTGCGTGTGAACCTGTGAGGGGGTACGTGCTAGACCGACTGAGCTAAACTGGCAGCCCAAAGGTTTCCTTTTAAGGAGAAGCAGGAACTACATTAAATAAAATCAGATTTGTCCCCAGAGTTAAGCCACAGAATACACACAAATCTTAAAGACCAATACAGATACATTGAGGAAGACAAAAAATCGTTATCTGTTTAATTATCAAGCTGAAAATAAATAGTGTATTATACTGTGAGTGGCATTCTTGGATATTTTTATCAGCAAACCAACAGTTTCAGCACTGTTTTGGTGACTCCACAATTGAAAAAGGAATTCAAAAGCAATTTTAGATGGCCAGTGGGCCAGGGCCAAATCGTTTAGTGCCTTTCATCAATACTTTATTTGGCCAGGGACTCAGGGTCATAGAATGAAAGGAGTCAAACACACACACTGTAGGAAAACAATACGCAAACACACATAAATAACGGAGCTCCAGAGTGCCAGCACACACTCATCTAGGGCTTAAATATACACGGATGAGGAGTCAGGACATCAATACAGCAATAAAACGACAACAGACAGCTTCAAATGAGCACCCGTCCTCACACAAAGGGGATGCAATGCAAGTCATGAAACATTAACACCCACTCACGGCTTCATAAAGCTGGCGGTGCTGAAGGAGAGGATGGAGGGGAGGCATAAATAAACCACGGCAGCTGAGCAACCTTAACACTAGATTTACAGCTCATCAAATATGGAACAATAGGAAAACACACAAATTGAAAAAAGAGAGACGGAGTCACACCCATAAAGGAATGATGAAGAAATATAGGAGAAACATTTCAGCAAATCAACTTAGAGACAAAAATGATATCACAAAAAACAATGATATACATACACACACCTTCACAGAGTCTGTCTCGTCCGCCTCTCGTCCACTCTCTGTATTAACAGGCTCCATTTGATAGTTAACTGTCTGATACAACACCTGCAGGACAGATACAGGAGGAAAGAAAGAAACTTAAATATGAGATTTGTTATTCTTTATTTTATCTCATTGGATCTATAGGTAACTCTTTTGGTCAGTTTTGTATCAGACTCTTCACATGTGTTTTGAAGAGAGAGAGAACCACTAAAGACATAATATTTAATGTCTAGAACAAAGCTTTGCAAAAATGTTTAGCCTGAGAGCCCTTCAAGTTAACTCAAGTCCACTTGTGAATGTAAAATGTCTATAGAACTGTGAGAAGAAGCAAACATTGATAAACTCTTCAGAGTTTGACCCTAACCCTAACCCAAAAGGAAAATATAATTTTCTTTAGTGAAAAGATGAAAACAAGCATATTCATAGATTCTGATAGGATTTTGGTTCTACTTTCCTTATTTGTAAATCATTAAGCGAGATCGTAACCTTTAGACCCCCCGGTGGGGAAATAGAAGGATTGATCTGAGATCAATACATACTCCAGCTATTCTAATTAAAAGTCCTTTTTACAAGTAATTGACAGCAGTGTATCAAGGTGTTTCTCTGCTAAATATGGGACATATATATTTATAAGTTTTCTTTAAAGGAATGATATTTGACATTTTAAACATGAAAACAGCAAATGTGAAATATAAAAAAATATATTAACTTAAAATATTCTAACTTAATATCTCATTTAGTAATGACTTTCTCAAAAGAGAGTGAAGTCAAAGTCACTCTGCGTTGTTCTGAGCTCTGTGTTCACACTGATGATACAGCGCTTTCTTTAGCCTGTTAATTAGTCACAAGAGACTCAAACATGTTTTATACATTTTTCTTTCCGTATCACCCCTCCCTCTCCAGCCATTATCCCTGCTAAGACGTGAGTGAACAGCGGCCCAATAAAGTGTTGACCTAAGAGTACAACTGAAGAAGAATCAACAGACTTTCAGGAGAAAAGACCTTGTTTGTTCATCTTTGGGCTGCATATCATAACAGATCAGTACTCATTTAAATTTAAGTATTAAATCACTGATTTTTAAACTACTTTGGATTCAAAAGACTTTATTAAATTAATCTTATTGTTCCAGGATATTTATCATTTGCTGACATACTATTATGACCTCTCAATGACAGAGAAAACTCAAAAACAAAAAACAAACGCTTGTACTGTAAGAATCTGCACTAGTTGGTAAAGTCATATTGGTCTAATGATGAAAAACGATGAAGAATGACCTGAGTCTGCAGGTCACTGGAGGCAGCCAGCAGGCTGTGGATGCTGTCGGGGGGACAGTGGGTGAGAGAGAAGGCTAAAAGCTCCTGCCGGGCCTGCAGTGCTGTGTAGCCTTCACACTGACCAAGCAGACTGCACACCTCCCATGCAGGACTGTAACCTGGAGGAAGAACAGATGGAGGCAAACACAGAGGGCAGAGGAGGTTAAGTCAGGGTAACGAAAAAGGGGCAAAGAGAAAAAAAAAAAAAGAGAGGAAAGTGAGGACTTTTTTTTAACTGGATAAGAAAGACACTGAAATACTGACACAGACAATATTTTACATTTTACATGGCAAAGATTCATTGATGAGTGATGTAGTTGATCGTCAAATGAAAGTCGGTCAAACATTTTTGAACTTCGGTGAAAAGTGAAAATTTGCACAAAAGAAAACTGAGTCAGGAAAATTCCCATTCACATACAAACAATCAATAAACAGAGTATAGCAACATATGTATCCACTGATCAAATAATCCTTACTCCTATAGAATCATCCATGCTGGTAAAATACTATCATCAGTTTGACTCTGTAGCTCAGACCTAGATGATCGAATAAAATCCATGATATGCAAATGAGGCCAAAGGTTACTGCTGCTCTAAGTTTAAGGAGTCAGTTGAGAATATAGACAAGAAGGCAGTTTATATAGAAGAGTCACATAGAAAGATTCACCAATGTTACATCTCTGTGTTGTATAAAGAAAGAAAAAACGCCCTTAACCAAAATGCAATGATGTGTGTGTAAAGTACCCAAACTAATGACAAATGGCATACCCACACATGGTACACATAAAAAGTTTTAATAGAGCACATCATCTTTACGCAGATGACTTACAACTCCTCTTTACATTCAAACCTAGTGAGGCCTCAAGGTTACCTAAGCTCCTCGACCACATAAATGCTATAAAGCAGTGGTTGACTGACAATTATTGAAAGCTCAATGCTGATAGGTTAATCCCTTCAGTCCTGCAGAACATTGGGTCCATCTCCCAAGCTGCCAGTCCAAGTCCGCCTAAGCCGAGTTATTTTTGAGCAATCATTTCATTTGACAGCCACATTAAACAGCTCACATAATCATGTTTTAAGCATTAAAGAAATATCAGTAAACTGAGATTTCCAGTTTCCATTGCTGAACTTAAGATGCTCAACACGCCTTCGTCTCATCCCACATTGATTACTCTAATTCTCTCTTGACCTCTCTCAGTATGTCCGCCCTCAATCGCCTGCAGTCAGTACAGAATGCTGCAGTCAGGGTACTAACAAGGTCACACAAACGGTACAGCATCACTCCTGTACTTAGAGCCCTTCACTGGCTCCCTGTTACAGTCACTCTCACTTACAGATCCCTACATGGTCAGGCTTCAATTATCTGGCTGAAATCATCCAAACCTGTACCCTGAGGTCAAACACTCTGCAGTTGCTCTCTGTTCCTCGTACACACCTAAAGACCTGTGGTGTGATACAGCTTTCCAGCCCATAGCTCCCGAACTTGGGAATGCTTTGCCCCTTCCTTGAGTTCTGCAAAATCTGTTGGTGGTTTTACAAACCAGTTAAAAACACACCTGCTTAGATAGGAATTAGGGTAATGATCCCTCATCATTTTTTCATACACTGCAACTTTACATATCTGGGAACAGTGTTTGGAATGTTTACCTGCTCCTATCTGCGATCATGTGACAGTCTTGCCTTGTCTTTATATTTGTCGTTGTTGTTTATTTATGTGGGAATTGCATTATTGTTCTTATTTTCATTTTCTGTATTTTTCATCCTTGTAAAGCAGTATGTGACTTGTTTCTATGAAAACTGCTGTATAAGGGGTGCAGTTGCCTAGTGGTTAGTGCGCACGCCCCATGTCCACCAAGCGGGAGGCATCCGACCTGGGACTTCCTTTCCCGCATGTCAATCCCCACTCTCTCTCTCTCCACGATTTCTGACTCTATCCGCTGTCCTTTCTCTAAATAAAGGCATAAAAAGCCCAAAACTGAACCCTTAAAAAAAGTGCTACATAAATCAACTTGTCTAAGTACTCAAACTAAGTCAAACATTTTCAGTGAAGAGGAAGAGGCACGCTTTTATAGAATATCACTGTGGTCTATTACAGAGAAATTATCACTTAAATGAGTTTCTATCTGCATTGGAAGAAAAACACAATTTTGAAAGAGAAACCCAAATTTCACCCTTTATTAAGACTGAATAAAACCATTAAAATACAGATATTCACCTTAGAAAAGACCCTGGTATTTATATGTTGTGACTCACTCAGCAGCAGGTGGAGATTATAGAAAAATTATGAGGTCAAATTGTCGCACATTTTTACTCCTTTTACACACATATATATTTTACAAATATAGCTAAGAAGCAGTTGTTCTGTTTATGCATTGTCCTTCATGTCTTTTAATCTATTCTGAATCCTATTAAAAAACCAGGGGCTCTACATAAACAAAGACCGACCTACTGCATGATGTCTGATAATATGCAGCACAAAAAAGGGGAGGTATAAAACGCAGAGAGAGTGATGACACAGTAAAGTATAACCTTCCAAGCCCTTGAGATATTAATACATATTTAACTCTTACACACGTTTCCCTTGAAGAAATATCAGGCGGGAGCATTGTAATAACAGTGCCACATTTGTTCCAGCTTTATCACAGTCAAAAAGCAACACAATGCCATCCTGACTTCATTCTCACAAACAGATTCAATTATTCCCACTGTGTTCACAGACAGAGAACACCGGTGCTTATCTGATTACACCTTCTCTCTCTTCCAGACACCTTATTTTTCTCATCCTCACCGCTTCCTCCTCCTTCTCAGCTCGTCGGAAAGAGTCAGTGAAATTGTATTCGCTTTTTTTATGTGGTGTATGAAAAACGGGGATCAAGCAAAATATCATTATCGCAGTGCACACTTTAAATCCCAGCAGAGGAAACATTAGGGAGCTGAATGTTTCCACAACATATTATGTTGGTTTCCTTTTCCTTATTATTATTCTTGTACATAAAGAGGCACAGAGTCACTTAAACTTAATTTTCACCATCTGAGAGTGGATGATGGTCAATGATAAGTCCATGAAGAACTCTAGTAGGGGGGGAAGCACTGGAGCATTAAAATTACATTAAAAAGGTCTGAAATTCTCTATTAAAGAGTGCGACTTTTTGATCCAGTAGATGTCGCCCTTGAGCTCCGGCATGAAACCAAAACCAACTGCTATTTGGCGACACCTCCGCCATACTAAAGCCTCGCTCTTATTCAGCGACACACCTTCAACCCCTCTCGAAGAAGTTTAGCGCAAGCGGCAGGCAAAACTGTCCTTGGCTGGAGCTGCAATTGCCTGTGGCCTGTATTGTTGTGTTAGCAGGCTAATGTTAGCACTCTTTAGTTAGGTTGTAGCTTCACATTGCACATACATTGACAAGGAATGACTGTGATCTAAAGGCAATTACGTGACATCCAAATAAGAAGTGAGTATGTTCTTCTTTTCTCTAGTCTTTGAAAAAAAAACAGCTTTTATACACAAAGTGATGAGACGGGCCGTCCGTCCATGTAAACACGCCTTCGACAACAATGCATTTTCTCACTCACTGTAGAAAGCCATGACTCAGAGAGACATTTACAGAGGGTATACTTGATTGAATGTCACACATTCTTCCTTTAAAGTTGAACTATTAGCCAAAGTTAAGATACTGTCACGCTGCTTTGTTTACAAAGCGAGCTAAACACAATTTTCTTACATTTTCAGAGGATACACTCTTTATTTTTACAAGCACTCAGGTGGAGCTCTGTTATCAAAGGCTGCCTCTATTAAGACTCTGGTGAATTTGGCAGATAATGTGAGCTGTGGGGGAACCATTGCCCTCATGCCCCTTTCTAATTGAGCCAAATGAGGGGACAGGCAAACAGCCAGAAGGGAGATTCAAACGAGCTTTTTCGACAGGTTTCAGCACAAGGCTGTCAGCTACATACCTGCAGCCATGAGATCCTGGCAGTGGATGTAGGAGGCCTTGAAGTCCTGACATTGGAGAGCTTGCTCTGCCAGCAGGGTCAGGACTTGACCTTTTCGTGTAGCCTTGTCATCTCCTAGATATACACACACACACACACACACACACACACACACACACACACACACACACACACACACACACACACACACACACACACACACACACACACACACACACACACACACACACACACACACACACACACACACACACACACACACACACACACACACACACACACACACACACACACACACACACACACACACACACACACACACACACACACACACACACGTTTCAGTACTTAAGAAATTCAACATACAGTATAAAATAGACACAATTATGGACACTTTTAAAACCTTTTTTTATCTTGAAATATGTCTCCACGATAGAGCCTACACACAAGCAAATCTCATAATCAGGTTCACCATCTATCTTAATAGACCTCTTGTAAAACATCAATCAGACACATATAAAGACAGGATAATGGTTGTAGTGCTAGGACGTCAAAGTGTATTAGCTGCATCCCTGGCAAAACTCAGGAATACATATTAATCATGTCCACAACAACAAAAAACGTATAGCTGAAGCTGTTCATTTGGGAGACGGAGTAAACAAAATGAAAAAAATAACATCTCGCTAAAGAGGAATAAATCAGAGTTTTGTATCTATAGTTGAGGTGTGATTGGTGCTGGTATTAAAATTCATGCTACGACTCTGGACACACTTTGATCTCAGCTGGAGATCAATAAACAAAAAGGAGAGGACAGAGGGATCAAAAGAGGCAAAGGCAGAAACAGGACTTCTAAACAAACCAATCAGAAGTGAAGATCAAAGAATTGAAGAAGATGGCCCAGGGTTAGTCCGTGTGTGCGTGCGTGTGCGTGCGTGCGTGTGTGTGTGCGTGTGTGTGTGTGTGTGTGTGTGTGTGTGTGTGTGTGTGTGTGTAAGCAAAGTAAGTGATTGGTAGAAATGCTGTGTTTCCTACAAGGAGGCCTTGGTCAAATGTTTTCTGGGTGGCTGGTCAAAGGGTGTCACCAAGAGCTGTAAAGATAGACCTCAATATAGTTGAGGTGTGCGTGTGTGTGTGTGTGTGTGTGTGTGTGTGTGTGTGCATTTGCGTGCATGGTGTTCACTGTACGTTCATGAATACATTCTCCTGTGTTTTTTTTCAACACACACCTTGGAAAATGGAATCGAAATCCCCTACCTGTGGTTGACAGCCCAATCAAAGGGTCTGGATGAAAGGTGACAAATGTCAAGAACAGAACAGATAGAACTCACTAAAAAGCACCCCGCTGTGTAGAGTTCAGTTACCACAAATCCAAGAAGATTGGAGATGCAAGGATGCGTACGTTGACCCTACATGTAACAGAGCCGTGCTGAAATGTAAGAATTCTCGTGTAAAATTCACAGACATCTCAAACACGTTGAAGGGCGTGACGTGCCTTACACTCTCACTCTTGTATTCTAGGAAACCAAAAGCACCTCATGAACCGTACTTCACCCATAAGTTAATTGTTTACAAGCTGTGAGGTTGTTTTTCTCCTTTTTCTCCTTTTTCTGTAACTATATTGTGGGTTGCATTATGTTCCACATACACCATACACCGCCCCCTGCTGACCCCCCCCTTTCCCCCTCCTGGTCACACACACACATCTCTCATCCACCTGTATTATTGTATTATAGTTTGTTCATATCACCTCAATAAGTTATCGACCTATCCAATATGTCCATATTCTTTATATTATCTGTAAACTAGTATAGCATGCTCACTGCACCTTAATCTGTATATTATTAGTATAGCATGCTCACTGCACCTTAATCTGTATATTACAATCCTAAGAATACACTTATATTTATAGCATTTATTTATATTTATAGCATCCCATCCATATATACCTAATAATTCACTTTTTTTAGTCTACATCTGTAAATTTTGTAATTACTGTACATAGCACAGACTCTTGCACTTTCTGCTTATTTGCACTTCTGGTGAGATGCCAAACCTCATTTCGTTACTCTATACTTGTATATGTGTAATGACAATAAAGTTGAATCTCATCTCATCATCTCATCTCATCTCGTTGGTCAGATGTTGCTGTTTTTAAAAGGGCTTTATAAATAATTGTGATTGACTGATTAACTGGGAGGCTCCTTCTGCCTTCCTGTGACAATTGGCCTGACATTAAGACTCGTGAACAGAGTTAAATATTAACACATATATATTGGAGAGATACCTTTCCATGAGTGACTGAAGAGTAGGAAGGAATAGGAGGAACTTAAAGAATCAAGTCCTCCATAAATCTTTGAAGCTCCCTCTACCTTTTGGGTATTACCTAAATGTATTTGATACTCTGTGGCTGTGTTTGTTAAACAGAACTGTTTGTTGTAGGTTTTTCTTTTTCTATACTATTGTTACTGATTATAATTATATTTCTGTGATGTCTGTATTTTCCATTCTTTTCCTTCTTTATTTTTCTAACCCTTATGAACAAGAACTAAAATAATAACATGTCACAGTTCTGCCTGAAAGTACTTTGTTATTAAAAAACCTCAAAATGACAATAATTTAAAAAAAAGCCAAAAAGCCTCAACAACAACTTCTTTTTGTGTTATTTTTACTGGATTATTCTGTCCAAGTCAGCACACTGGTGTTCTCACTTTAAATATCTTATTAACTGATTCTTTCTGATGAACACACCTTTTTAATAACCTCTGCCCCACTAGACTGAATAAATTAAGGAGCATTTCTCTACACAGAGGAAGGAACCCCTGAGGGTTTTTTTCACTGGTGTGCTGGTGATACCTGCATTAAATATTCACCAAGAAGCCCAAGAGCTGTGCGCCCTTCAAAAGCCTCCCCCCCTGCATTTATTTATTTAAAAATGTGTTTATTCCTCTTCTCATCTCCCTCTGACTCCTTTTCCCCCCCCCGAAGCCACACAGCGAGGGCTACACTCTGACTGAATGTGAGCAGCTGACACACAAAAATGCCACCAGGACGGTTAGCAGGTTTCCTCGAGCTGGCAACAGGATTCAGAGAGAGAAAACCCAACAAGCTATGACTGAAGAGGTGAAGAAGGACAGAGAAGTGAAGGAAAGTGATGGACACAGAGAGACAGAAAGATAGAGGAGTCTCGCTCATATACGTTTGAGGACAGTGATAAAACAAAAATGGAGATCCAGAGAGAATGACAGCCGTGTCATTTTGAAGGACAAGCAGCACCAGGATGAAACCTTATACTTCATCTTGTGCTGTCAGTTTTGTGTCGGGTGTTAGAGGATGGATGCGCAGGGTTGGAAAAAGTTTCAATAAATACCTTCTTTTTTTTTTTTTTTCACAGCACAAAGTGAAGCTAAGGATCCAAAATCCACCCAAAAACTGCCAGCTTCAGACACGGTTATGGGATGTAAAGATGTGAAAACATATCCAAGAAGAGAATTTTAAAAAAGGAATTAAATATGGGAGAAACTGATTAAGAAGTCCCACCAGAGGACTGATGAAAATATTTTTCAGGTCAAGTGCTTATAGTCTGTCTCAAAGACAGTTAACACAAGAGGATGGAAAAATAAAAATACATCTGAAGTAAGTTTACTAAAAGTAATCAGGGCAGCTTCCTTGGCAATTTGTGTGTGCCTGACGCTTCTTCAAACAGCTCAGTCCTTTTTATGTACAGACTGAGCTTTTTCCCAGCATTGATGATTATTGTTTACATTCTGTACACATCTTTTACTTGCCATGTTATGCACTTAAATCTGTTATTCTCTGCTCCAGTTTCCCCGTTTAATGTTGAAGGTCACATATTGTGCAAAAATAATGCTGTTGTTTTTTTTGTGCCTTTAATGGAGAGATAGGACAGTGGATAGAGTCGGAAATCAGGGAGAGAGAATGGGGAATGACATGTGGGAAGGAAGCCACAGGTGGGATGTGAACCCGGGCCGCCCGCTTGAGACGCCAGCCTCCATACATGGGGTGGACACACTAACCACTGCGCCACCAGCGCCCCCGCAAAATAATCTTTACCATGTTGTTCTAACATGACTGTGTCCCTAGTCTGTCTACAACAAGGTTTGGTCAATCACAGCTAATTTGCATATAAAGCTACAGACACAGCCTGTTCTGAGCAGGGCTGAAATAGAGGGGTTTCTAGACTTGATCAAATACAGGATCAGAGTGGAATTTTAGTTAGAAACTTCATAGGCATGAGCTCTAAGACTTATTTAAACGTGTTGAAAAGGATAATGATATGTGACCTTTAAGTATTTTCAGGGAAAACATGTATTCAAATAAGAAGGTTAATAAATAAATGATAAAAAGATTAAAATTACAGAGTCGTTCACACTAAAACTTCAACTGAGCACTAAGTTGGAACTGAAGGGCCCTTGCCAACATCCGTCAGCTTTCACAGTGTTTTAAGGATGAATACTTTTATCTGTTGTTTTTTAAAGTAATATGAGGCATCAAACAGAGTTTCAAAGAGGCTGAACGGCTGCTTTGACTGCAGGGCAAATTAGAAATTCAGCTTTTTTTTTTTACAGGGCTGGTTTAGTATTCTGAAGTGAAACTTAGATTTATACAAAAACTAAAGCAGTAAGTCAACAACAGAGTGTTTTCAACTTGAGTTAAGTTAGCATTAAGAATGGACAGTCATATAGAAACCACCTTAAACACTAATCTTCCTGGTTCACAGTTGGATCTTAATCTTTCAGAAATGATCCTGCCCATAACTGTGAGAACTGAAACTTGAGCAGAAAAAAATGGTGCTGAAGCACTTTAAGTGATGTGTGTGTGAAATTTGTTTACATTTTCAGGGTCTGCATGCGGTCCAAACATAACCGTAAAGCTGGATGGGACCGTAAAGATGCATTTTCCCCTCTAGTGTGTGAGAACTGTCGGTTCACTTGATGAAAGTACCCACGCGTGCTGGGGTACGTCTCTGTTCTTTGTGTGGGTGGTGCTTTCTTGCTTCACCTCGTGAGCCTTGTCATGAAAATGCCCCCAGAGGGAGAGAGGGAGAGAGAGAACTAACCAGACCAGAGAAGAGTCTGGCTCATTGAGTGTTCATTGAAAAACACAAGATATTAAAACTTAAATGAAAAGAGAAAAAATAAACAGACGATGCAATGAGGTTAGTGTGACAGACAGAGTGTTGAGTGTGTAAGAGTGTGTGTGTTTAAATACCTGCCACTCTGAGGAGTGAGGCGAGATTCAGCAGAGTGGTGGACTGCTTGTAGGCGGTAGAGCGAGGTGTAGCGATGCATTCTTCTATGAGTGACAGACGGTCTGATCGCAGACGCACTGGGAGGAAAAGAGGGAGGAAGGGGAAGAGTTGTTAGACTGCTTTGCTTATTATTGTATTAGTCTGTGTGGTTAGTAAAGTACATTTGAATCCTGCATCTTTAGTGGTTAATATTGATTGAATATGATTACAGTTTTTTTATGATCAAATAAGAATATAGTGGAAGAAATCTCTCAAATCAAACCAATGTTTGGAGAGTTAATTACATATAAAAACTGAAAGTAGCATTAATGACTATCCAGCTTACTTTTAAATGTTAAAAAAGAAGTACACATTTGATTAAAGTAAATGAGAAACTAATGGTGATAATGATCACAAACTACACCAATTAATCTGCAAACGTTTGGATGCATTGAATAATCATGTGGTGGATCTCAACTGGTCGAGCCTCAGAATGACAAACCGATACTAAAATTGATGATAGAGTCTAGGTAAGAAGGAGCCGTTTTTTGTGGTTCCTTTGTAAGCAAGCAGCAACTTCTTACCGACCCATGGGTACCGACACATGAGTTGAGAACTAAGGTTTCAAGTCATTTTGAAAGAAGAAGACAGCAAAATGATCCGGTCATGAGGATTTTGTTTACACAGACCAAACTGTGATGGCCATTATGAGCTGAAATCTTACAAATCACAATCATGTAGAAAAATGAACTCACTGAGTTTCTTAATGTGCAATCAGTCTGGAAACCAACATGTTCATAATAGTTCTAACAACACAGTATACCATAGTCTTAGACTAGTGACAGAGAGTTATGGGAATCCAATGCACATTGTTTGACACTAAAAATATGACTTTAAATAAACTAAAACCTCCAGTTTGTTGCCATTCAAAGCAAAGTAATGAACAGGTTTAGACAGGTTTAAAACTTTTTCACAATCTGAGTTCAAGATACAGAAGCCCCCAAGAATCCATCTTCCACATATTTTTCTAAACTTTCACTGAAGGAGCTGAGAAACAGCATGTTTAGTGCCTCAGCAGGCCTCTGTGCTTGCTCTGCACCCTGCTGAGGATCTTTATGGCTCGGCATAACTTGGGGCGAGGCCTAAAGGGAATTCTGGGTAGGGTGATGTGATGGAAGCATCGCCTAAGGCACCGTAGGAGGGCTGCAGGAGACAGCCTAAGACGGATTACACATGCTTGAATCCTTTCAAACTTGTGCATGTTTATCTCAGGAGTGTGCAAAGTTACAGGGATGGAGCTTTTACTTTATTGAAAAATAAAAACGTGTTTTGTGTTTTCGTGTGTCTCGACAGTATTTGTGTCCTTGTGTTGAGGGCAAAAATACTAAAAAGATAGGGCTGGAAATGCAAAGGCCACGGAGACATTTATCGCTTCTAATAGGATTTAGAAAGTATACTATAATCCAAAAGAAGAAACACGAAAAAAATTATACTGAAGAGTCTTCATTCATTTCATATTCTTCTCTCCCTTTTTTTTAGTTCTCTGTCCTTCACATTTTTTCTTCTAATACTCTCAAGGCCTCACTTTTGTCGCAGGTGAGAATGAGTGAGCATTGGAAAAATGATGTGAATAGACAGCAGGGAGCGAGGACAAGAAGGAGTGAGGGTAAAGGGGCTGCAGATGAAGTGGAGGTATAAAAAAAATAAAAGAATACTCCGGAATAAGTGATGCAAAGAGAGAAAAGGTTGTCTCTCTCTGTCACAGCGGTTTTATGGCAGCTCAGTTTGATGAGGGCAAAAAGGGGGAAGAAAGCAGAGGCCTGTGAGGCAAACAACACCTCGGTTCAGAGGTGAGGCGATGTGGGGGCCCAAAGCTGGTTCATTCTGGCTCCACAGTTTTCCTTTAAAAGAGAGAGCGAAAGAGAGCCATGCCGAGGAAACTGCTGCGTTGGGGGGTACCGATGTGGAGCCAGAGAAGACAGAGAGATAGAGCGTGGAGGTGAATACTGATTGGTCAGGTTTACAGATGGATCAGAGTTATAAAAGAGATATGTATGTGTGTGTGGTTGTGTTTGTGGGAGCACACAGAGAGAGAACACTTCGCTCCTAATTAGGCCATCAGGCAGATGTTGTTTGCTCAACAGATGAACCGTAAATAACACTGTATAGAGATATCGTGGCATGAAGGAGTGACATATGGAGGGATGGAGGAACTGACAGCAGGGAGGGAGACATTTTGGATGGTACATAGGTTACGGAGTTATGGGACGGCACTTTTGCATCCTCTACAGTTCAATTCAAGAATGCTTGAATGAAGACTCCTTCAGATGTGCAGACAACAAATGAAGGAATTTAAGAATTGTTTTGGTTATTCCAGCATGTTGTCTTTCATGGGAAATAAATGTTTAAGTACCTTGCAGTGGCAGGATGTTGACGCTGAAGTCTCCCAGTTGGCTGAGGGCGCTGATGAGGTCCAGTTCGTCCTGGATGGCTGGAGGACAGTCCATGATCAGCTGGAGACACGCCCTGATGAAGAAAACAACCAGTCAACATCAGGGACACATAACTCATAAGAAGCTTTATTACACAGCTGTGCTTAATACTTGATTCTGATTGGTCAATTATGCACAGAAATGGTCTGCCATCCCTTGATAGATCATCGTTGTTTTGAAGAACAAACCTTTACTAAAAAAAGAGATTGGTTGCTAAGGACGCAACTCTAATCGCAGAAGCTGGAGGATTAACTGTAGTAAGGTAATCTGCATAAGGAAGTCAAATTTATTTGAGACAGAGAAAGAGAGAGAGGTCAAACAGAGCCCATCTACCAAAAGGAAGATGACACATGAATCGTTGCTAAATGGTTTCTTTACTGCATGACTTAGGGTTATGTATCAACATTTTGGACTTTGGACTGCAGCCACAGCCTGCATAAAAAAAGTGCACGTAGCTGGTTTCAAAAAAGGAAACTGCCTGTCACCGGCATTCTTTCTAAAGGACAGCTTCTCCGTTGAGTTTGTAGTTCCGTGAACTTTTTCCCCAACGACTTTATGGTCTAGACCAGTGGTTTCTCAACTGGTGGGTCAGGACCCCAAAAAGTGGGTTGCAGAGAAGCTTTCTGTGGGTTGCAAATGTGTGCCTGGTAAATCAAATTGTGTCAAAAAGTCTGTGAAGACCTTTTTAAACATTTTTGTTTTGTTCCATTTCCTTGTTCTCTCACATGTTCTCTACCGTTTGGGGTCCAAACTGAACAATTTTTCATTAGATGAGTCTGATTGGAGGAAAAATATCAGATATTTGGGTCGTGATTGTTCATGACGGAGTTGTTGATGGATCCTGAGGCTGGGCCAGTGCGCTGGCCGCTGGTCTAAACCACTAGTTCCAAATCTTTTGCATAATGAAGCCATTTTTAGATATAATATGTTTCGTAACAGGGTTTAGTATGACTGGGGTTTTAACACCTTCAGACAGAACTGGGCTTCTTGGTTTCTCCCATCCCGTCTTAGTGCTTGGTTAAGGTTGATCAGCTTCATAAGAAAAATACGAGTTGAACTGATCGTCTTCATTAAAATTTTGAACTAATTCTTTAGAAAGGTGAGAAGTAAAAGCATTCACTGTCTTCTAAATTGGAGGAATTTGATTAAAAAAAAAAAAAAAGAAGGATGGCTAGTATTGGTATAAGTGGTTCCAAAGCAGGATCTTGACATTCAGAGTGAGAATGACTTTATGAGTTTTCCTTATTTTGGTACTCACTTTGAGAGTTGTAGCAAAAGTATATTAAGTCATTAAGTTTCAACATCATGATGAGAGACATGAGACGAACCAGACACATTTATTTACAAAGTCTAGACTAATTTGACAGATCTACGACAGGGGAGTTTTCTCTCACAACAAAATCCAAACTCATTACCCTTAATAGGATTATGTAGCACATCACTTAGCATATTTAACAGCACACTCCATGTGTGAGTGTGTGCGCTTGTTTCAGATCAAGTGTGCTCTGTGATTTTCATAGTTTTTCATCGCGGCATTATACAGAAAAGCTAAATACAGCAGAGACTTAAGGGAGGAGAGGAAAACTTGGGGAAAAAAATTTACAAATAAATTATCCCACCTTAAATAATAGCTAAGAGAGGAGCTCTGGAATGTATCCTTGGGGTGTGCATTCAATGACGAAACACCCAGAGTTTTCTTGAACCCTCACGCTTTGTGATCAAAGACAACTAGCAGACAAGAAGACGTGCCTCAGAAGCTCTGTCAGTGTAACGAAAGCAATCCAAAACATACAAGTTTACTCGAAATGGTTAGCACACAAAAGCACACAAACACACACACACTCGAAACACTCTTCACACATCCTGCACTCTTTGAGCATGGCTGGTGTTCTTGCCAAGAACAAGAGGTTCGTCCTGGCAAATGAGAGCGGAGAAATGGAAAGGGCTGTGGATGGGCGAATGAGAGACAGAAAGAGGGCATGTTGATTATGTACTCGTGCTGTGAAGTGTCTGCAGGCCTGTGAATGTGATGTGTATGTGAGGTGTTTTATGTGGAGGCTGCCTTAGATAAGAAAGTGCTCAAATATTTTATTCCAGTCACAATGTACTCTGTAGCCATTACTCTATAAGAGTTTGTAACTCAGGAAACGATAAACGATATGTGGCCCACAATAACGATATCCAAATAAGTCAGAAATAAGGCCCTGTGTCCACCTAGTGGTTTTTTTCCCGTGCGCCGGGCTCTTTGATCAATTGTTTTCAGTGAGAGTGTTTGCAGCAGCAAACGGCCACCTGGAGAAAAAGCACAGCGCCAAGCATCTTTTAACTGAGCCCTCCTCCTTTTCTGAAAGGCTGCTCCGAACACAGGTTGAATATCTTTCAACTTTTGAAAAAAAAAAAAGGCACAGTTGACATCTTTTTCATATGTATGATATTTCCCGCCTATGGATCTTGTCTTGTACCTCCTACTCATCCTCTCCGTGTCTGATCGGGGAATAATCGAGCGCACAGCTAGCGCTTTTCTGACCTGGGGAAAAAAAAAAAAAAAACGCTGGTGGACACGAGGCCCAAGGCTGAGAGAGATTATTGAAAGCTTAAATTTTTTTTTTTTAAAAAGAAAAAAAGTAATCGCAATCTTAACAAATTCTGCTTTGTTCATCTTTGCACTTCTGACGGTTGGATTCCTTCAAAAACTCTAATTATTTAACACTAGTGCTGCTTTGCTTTGCAAACCAACCCTCCTTAATAATCAATCTGAACAATGCAGGACTAAGTCGTTTTGAATGTAATCACTGGGTGCATTGTGTAATAATTATGACCTGTGCAGTTTTAAATTAAGATGTTTCAATTTAAAGCTGTTTTTGTGATTCATACAGTAAGGACCTGTTGACTATGTTATCACTTCTTTGTCTGTGTGTGTGTGTGTGTGTGTGTGTGTGTGTGTGTGTATATGTGTGTGTATGTATGTGAGCCCTTCTCAGTCTCCTAAGTGTGCTTCTCTCTGTCTGTCCTGATTTCTCCTGTGGGATCATTGTAGTAGTTAGAGGGGACTCCAGCTTTGTTAGTTTGTTTTTTAAGAATAGTTCCTGTCCTAGAGCAAACCCGGTGTCGCTAACCTCATCCTTTCAGGCAGGAGCTGTTGTGAACTTGTCCCAGCATGTGTGTCCTTGGTAATAAGTTCATGGGATAAAAATGTGTGTCTGTGGAGCAGTTATTTTAATCTTAAGGACACAAGCTGCCAGTGTGTACAAACTATAAATTTCAAAGCGACAGGCACATGTTTGGAGACTACTTTCTATTCTCGTATCTCAAATTCACATGCAGCAAACACACAGATGCACAAACACAGCGTGAGTGAGTTACAATGGATGATGTTGTCGGACGGTGTGGAGGGGGGGGACCTCTGTATTAGTTACTATAAATGAATGACGACCCAATTACTGTCCCACTTCCCCACAAGGAACAGACGGTAAGGTTAGACACCCAGCGGCCTCCCTCTGAGATCTATAACCAGCCACATACACCCATGCACTCTCTTGCAAATACTTGGCATAAAGTTATCACAACACGCTATAGGAGATGAAAAGAGCAGCCACGGTTTTGTTTTTTCTGTCAGTCGTCCAAGCACAAAAACATGCATCCGCCCACATAGAAATAAATGATGTTTCTCACACATCAACAAGAAACAAGGTCATCTCAGACAGCACACAAACACCTTGGCATGGAGATTTTTGGACAACCAACTCCTATTTTTATATCCAATACAGCATGACTAACATAAATCATTACTTTGAGCAAGACCGAGTTTCAAAATGTCCCTCGTTTGTGAAGAAACATTTGATGTCGTTTGCCTCCTCACCTGGCCAGGCCCATGCAGGGGTCTGTTAGAGTAGTCGAAGAGTTGAAGTACTCCCTAGCAGCCGCCAGCACTAACTCCACGCTGTTGTCGTAGGCCACCTTCAGAGCGTAACCTTTACCCCGGAAAGACGCGCTAGCAGCAACATCCTGGTTGTCCTGTTTGAACATCACAGTAAAATGTGGTGAGCGATGAGACGGCAGATTCAACCTCCGCATGAGTTAGGTTAAAAGTTTGAAAACCCGCAATGTGCAGTGTGCAGTAGAACACAGTAAAGTGAAGTCATGAGTAAGACTTAATTTACCTTGGAGCAGTGCATGAGCTGCCCTGCCAGGCGTACGTTCTCCACACGGCTTGAGCACAGCAGGGACTCAACAAAGACCTGCAGCAGTCAGGGAGGAGAGCAGCTATAACTCAGGAGGCGAGGGAGTTAAACTGAGCAAAGGTTATAATTTTGTTTAATACGTTAGATCAAAGAGCTCTGGATTCAGAGGTTCAGGAGGTGGAAACCCGCAGCACCATGTGTGAATTATGGACCAAAATGTAGTTACAGGTGTGAAATGTGACACTTTGTCACCTTTCATAGCAGCTTTCTCTGTCAAAAGTGGACATATTTTAGCACAAATCAGATTATACCACATAATTGCCTTTTGGCTGTGTGGTTGGGGTGCAGTACCTGGTGACACGTCTCTGCTTTGAGACAGGTGTAGACGTTCTGCTGCATGTCGAGCAGATCCCGCAGTAGACCTCTCCACACCGTCTCACTCACAGGAGGATTCCTGCACACACGCACAATATTTTTCCGTATGCTTTGATGGATCTTGAAAGACATTTGTGCTGGTTTTTATTGCAACTTTCTATCTCCATACTTGCGCCCTGTGTGGCGGCACAGTTTCACCATCAGCTGGTGGGCTTGTTCTGTGCTGTTCTGGCTGTTCTTCACGTATGAAATGGGTTTCTGGAGGCCGTGTTTCTCCAGGACCTCCACCACACTGTAAGATAATAGCACAGATGGATGCAAATAAATAATGACAAGTGCTATGAGATGGGTCACCACAACTAGAATCATGCAAAATGAGGCAAAATGTAGGAAGTTTCAGGTCACAACAACCAACTCATTCTGTCAGTACACGTATAGGAAAGGATGACTGGCAGGGTAGGTATCACATTAGGAAATGCCAAAGATGTAGAAGACACAGGGATAAAATAAACCTGAGAAATCCAAGAGAGAGGAGAGGAGAAGGGAAGATGTGTATGCTCTAAGCTGTATTATTTTGGCAGCAGAAAGTCATTTGCAAGACACGGTGCAGATGGAGAAAGTGTAGAGCAAGACTGCAGAGCAACATGATAAACTGCATGCCAATGAGACGGCAACTCTCTCTGCAAGCGTGTGTTAGCCTGTGTTTGGGAGCATGTGGATGCTGGCAGTCTAATATGTCAGAGGGAGAGTGTGTGTTTGTGTGTATATTTGTGTGTGTGTGTGTGTCTGTTGCTGTGGGATTAGCTTGACAACCCCCCGGTCTCAACAGGGTCGTGCTGCTACAGATGTTCGCCCTCTGCTGCAACTCATTACCATAGTAAACAGGTGCCACAGAGTGTGTGTGTGTGTGCGTGTGTGTGCGTGTGTGTGCGCGTGGGGCTATATGTGTGTGTGTGAAAGTAAGCGAAAATGCAGACAACAACTATTGCTATTTACAACCGCGAGTTTGTGTGTGTGTGTGTGTGTGTGCTTACTGGAGTGTCAATGTGTGTGTCTGGGAGAGTCTGCATGTTCCCTGTGCACTAATGTGCCAGTGAGTGGTAGTGGCAGCAGCAGCAGCAGCTGAAAACAGCTTTTATTCTGGAGGTGCTCTCAGAGAAGACACTTTGCATTTACCGCTACTACATGTGTGTGTGTCTGTGTTTGTGTGTGTCACAATGCTTCTGCACAAAAGATTCATGAACACACTTCTGACGCTCCCTGGGGTGTTTTTGTGTATGTTTGTGTTTGTGTAAATACGTGGAGATATTCATCTGAAAAGGCCAACTTTAAGCTCTGACATAGGCTTTTCTGGTCATGCTTCCTTCTCCTCTCCTCCTCCTCCTCCTCCTCTCCTCCTCATCATCATCCACATCCCCTACAGCCCACCCCACTGCCTTCATCCTTGTCCTCCTTCCTTCCTCCTCATCACTTTTCTGTGTTTGGAAGTTTACTCAGGCAAGAGAGAGAGAGAGAGAGAGAGAGAGAGAGACAGAGAATAAGGGAGATGGAGGCAGAGCGAGAGAGACATGTAGGTGATTTTAACCTGTAACAGAGAAAAGGCCTGGGGCTGCTTGAATACCAGGGGACACACTGCAGTCCTTTGATATCAATTCTGTGTGTTTGTTTGTGTGTGTGTGTGTGTGTGTGTGTGTCAAGCACATCCATGTCTTCTCTGCCTCTTTGGAGTTTTCCACCAGGCCTATAATTGGGGGAGGGAAGTAATAAGCAATACTAAAAAGTGAACATATCCGAGGGATGCAGCACTAATCAACAAACTGATGGGCCTCTAATGGGTACAGAAGGGCAGTATGGATGTGAAGCCGGAGTGATTCAATGTTTTGTTCAACCAAAAGTCCAAATCCCAAAGATGTTCGGTTAAACTTTTGGAGAAGTCAACATATCCTTATAACTCAGTGCCTGCAGCTAGCTTTTTTTTTTTTTTTTTTTTTTTAAACTAAGCTCTAATCTGCACGCCCTGCTGAACAGGACGGACAGGAGGAGATAAGAGAGAAGCGGACTGACAGCTGAAGGATCGCGCTGGTGTGTTGACGTACCTGAGATGCTTCTCAAGTTTGTCCACCTGATCATGGAGGGATGAGGTGATGTCCGTGTCTTGTCTGTAGGATGATAAAGCACAAAGAAACACAGCGGTTATTTTACATTCAAGCCATAAAAAAGATTATTTGGAGGTTTTTTTTTTTTTTTTTTTAAATGACATTAAAGAGAAATTCTTTTAGCACGAGAGAGTGTGTTGAAGTGCATGTCTGTGTGAGTATTTCGACCAGTACAGCACACATTTGGGACTAAATAGGTGGGTGGGTGTGCAGCCTATCACTGTGAGGCTATACTGATTCCTCACTAAAAATAAAACCCCATGATGCTTTGCCTTGAGGCAAAGGATTCTGGGTCAGGCTGGCCTGTTCCCCACCAGAGAACTGACCCTGATGAAACAACCTTCTGTGTGTATTTGTGTGTGTGTGTCAGTGTTTTTTTTTAGCATCAAAAAGTGTGTGTAAGAGATTGTGTTCAGAACACACCATCTCTGCATTTTGACACACACACTTAATCTTGCCCTATCAATCCATTTCTCTGCACCCTTTTTCTTCTTCTTCTCAGACTGTCTCTGCTGCTCCACCTCCTGCTCGTCCTCGTTTAAATATCCTTTTCTCCCTCATTCCACTTCTTCCCCTCCCTCGCCGTCTAATCCCCTGCCCATTTCCACATTTTCTACTCTCTAAGGGTGAACGCGCATTACATTCTTCTTGAGCAGATTTAGACCTAATTAAGCTGTCTCACGAAAATAAAAAAAATAAAATCAGAAAATTGGGTTGAAACTAGTAAGTCATGGGTTTCTCCTCCAGCACGCAAATCTGCAATATTCTTCGCTGGGATGGCAATTTTGGAGTTTAGTAAGCCAGTGAAATCCCTCCTGGGAGAAATGTGAAGTTGAAGGCCTTGCAGCATCGCTAATCCATACACTGCAGAAAGAAAGCCAGTCTGAAAAAGTCAAATTCTGCTTTAGAGGGAAACATGTATGAGTATAATATACACTCAAATGTTCCTACAGTAAGATCCCTCTTAGAGTTATAACCTCGATTTCTAAACTGCAGTATCGCATGATGGTTTAGAGAATATTTGAAGTCTTGTGCCACCAGTGTAACGTGGACATAAGAAACATACCCTGTGTCTCAGATGCTGTGTTACCACCACAAATGAGTCTGTAAATGTGCTCAGTGAGATAAATTGCACTCCCCTGCTTGAATTGAATCAGATCACCTCATTTAACGCATTTTCACCTCTATCTCCTCTCCAGCATTTTTCACCTCCAAGCTCTTCATCTATCAGAACATGAAGCAGAACAGAATTGGTACCGGACTCTTGCTTTCACTGACTAATGGTTAGGTTTTGTTTTTTTGCTCTATTGCAGCTCCACTTAAGTCTGTGTTTTAAAGGGACTGTGAATTTAGTAGAAAGTGGCTGTGTTGAAAACTGAGATTGCTGAATAGCTTTGTACCCCGTAACAGAAGTCCATTTATTACACGCTAATGGTGTGGTAGCAAAATTCTTTAGGATCGCCATTTTTTAAAAACTAAACGAAGGCAAGCGATCTGCACATGATGAAATAAAACAGTGATAAGAATCTAGGAGCTAGCTTAATGCCAGCTGAACTCAAAGTTATGGCATTACTTAACATGTTTTTCATTTGTTATCGAGCTAGCTAGACTCAAATAATAATATTTCAAATAATATTCTGAGCGTATTGTCACAAAACAATTACCGGTATATAAAAATTAAAAAAAAAAAATAATAATAATAATAATAATAATAATAAAGAAAAAAGAAAAGAAAAATTCTGAATTTCGATAAAATAAAAACCATTTTTAGCACCAAACTCTTTTATTTGTGCATACAGACTATGGTCTCATTCCTGTCATCATCTTCAGCAAAAACTAATGATTCTGAAAATCTTTTAATCTTTATTAAAACGGCTTCTAGATTTCGGTTAAAATGCCATCAATTATTGACTTCTTGTTTTAAATGTTCACACTGGTCACGCCCCTCTCATCTGTCTGAGATATCAGTCAAACTTCACCTTCTGCTGATGAAAAGTTTTGAACTGCAATGCATGATGGTATATTTCTTGGATAGTGACGATTGCTTGTGGGCTAATTTTCACAATGTATTGTGGGATACAATGAGAGCACTATAGGGTATGGTCATCATACTCACTCAGAATTCTACCACATCTACAAAAAGGCTTTTTTTTCGAGTGAGCTATAGTGAGCAGTGTATGATTGAGACACATCCATTGACATTACTTTGCTGCTTTGTAGCATTAGCTAGCTAGCTAATGTACAAAAAAAGCCAACATTTATAAACACCTATTGCTACAACCAAATTAAAAAAAGACCAGTGGTTAATAGTTAATCTATTGTGATTTTAGTCCTTTGCTAATTTGTTTTGCACCAAATGACACTCAAATTGCTCGTATGAGTAAATGAAAACTGCAAAACAAACAGTTTCAGATTCTGTTAGGAGAAATAGCCCTGACAATATTAGCGTTACATTAGCAGTAGCTTACAATTTATTGACTCAAACAGAGAGATCAGGCAGGTAAGAATTGAAAAACAGTGATGGTCACTAAGTTTTGTAATTCATGAAGGTAAAGTGAAGAAACAAAACGTTGAACCAAAGTCTACAGTATACAAAATGGAAAAAAAAATATCAGATTCATAGCTGATTGTCTTTCAGCTACATTGTAGAAAGTTAATTGCTCACATAAGACTTGTTCAATTTAGTGCAAAAATACCATAATCTTGTGTTTTAGTGCAGTTATCCCCAGTTATGAGCACAAGCAAGCTCTGTGAAATAGTTGAAAAGGGCAAAAGATACCATTGTTAAAAAGTATGGCTGCCATATAGCAGCTAACTGCTGAGGAAAAAAAGGAAACTCGCCTAACAGTAGTGGTTCAATTTTCCAATTAAGGCGCACACAGGATGGATAATCCATCTCAGAATGAGTCATTTTAATTCATTTTAACTACTCAGATGCTCTACAGGTCCATTTTATCAACAATTTGCTCTTTTGTACTCTCACTTCCTTCTTCTCAGTCTTTTATTATCACTCACTCTCCCTCAGATGCACTGCGTACCCACACGGCCTCTTGGGAGACTTAAAGGACGGGCCCTCTTGCCATATGAAATAAATTGTGTTACAGAAGAGGTGGGAGAGAGAGAGAGAGAGAGAGAGAGAGAGAGAGAGAGAGAGAGAGAGAGAGAGAGAGAGGGAGAGCGCACAGAGACTGTAATAGCAGGAGGTGGGAAATACTGTATGGACTGTGTCTGGGCTAACTGATGGCTCCTTAGAGAAAGAGTTAAGCATTAAAGAGAGAGAGAAGTGATAGGAGGAGGAGAAAGGGGCAAAGCGAGAGAGACAAGTGATAGTTTATTGACATGTCCTAAGAGAGGGGGGGAAGGTGGAAGGAAATGAAAGGGCAGGATGTTAATTGTAGTATACAGCTTTTCCATCTTCATATGTAGATTTACATAGTCTAAATATAAAGTCTTTGAGATTGTGTGTGTGTGTGTGTGTGTGTGTGTGTCTGACCCGTAGCCCCTCTGTGGCAGACACTCCAGGATGTCATAACAGAGGCTGAGCTGGTCGTCCCTCTCACAGCTGTAGATGCACTCTAGAGCGACCGCCATCAGCTGGTCCGGGTCCCCGATGATCTTCTGCTGACACTGGAGCAAAGGACATAAGAGGGGAGTGTGCGTATATAAAGGCTTTACTGACCCTGAAGCAGTCTTTGCACATACACAGTGAGTACTACATTCTCTCCCCCTTTGAGTGTTTGTATGTGTGTGTGTTGTGCATGATTTCTAATAGCCAGAAGACCTGTCCTTGGCTGTGCCCTTATACGGTCATAAATATAACATTAACAGCGCATGGACACAACACTGGCCCTGACAGGGCACAAACTGCCAGAGACACCGAATGTGTGTGTGCGTGTGTGTGTTACGGTCATCCAAGAGTGACGCACACTCTGGTTGTGGCTTTGTTGGTGTGTTTGAACACTTACGTCAGGTTTGGACTGCTGGAAGATGATGAGGGGCAGGGTGAGGTCTTGCTGTGCCAGGCTGACCAGATATTCTCTGAGCAGAGACTCAGCAGCACCCTCTTTCTGTCCCTCACATCGGTGCAGGAACGGCACCATCCACTGGAAGGCGTCCTTCACATAGCGCTCAGTGCTAGACTGGTGAACAAAGAAACAGTACTATAAGACAAGGTTCTTCTATGTTAAAAAAAAAAAAAAAAAAGAAGAAACAAGAAACAAAGAAGATCAGGATTTCTTAGCTCACCTGTGGTCAAAGCCCAAGCCTACAGAATAACTGTCTTTTTCCCTGGGCTTTTATAGCCCATCTTATTCCAGCACACTAACAAATTATAGTCTGTAAAATCTGACCTTTAACAGTTACTGCGTACATTGATTTAAGATCAGGTCTACCATCTATATGCTGTGTATTGCTGTACTTCTTTTGTACTTCTTTCTTTTCTCTCCTTTTTGCGATATTAAATTTGGAAATTGTAAGGTGCTATAAGAACTGAGATTAAACTCAGTACTTCTTTGCTCGCTTTTAGAGAAGCTTAAAGTGATTTCAGCTGCATTTACATTCAACACTGCGATGCAATTAAACCTGAACTACAATAGTTTCACAGCATGTGGGTTGTGCTGTGATTTGTGCTGACGCTTTTCAAGTTCGCAACAGGGCCTCGCACCCACCTTGCAACAGCTCTGACTCAGGGTATACAGACAGTGGATAGCATGCATGAGAACAATGAGATTCAAAACATATTCAGATGCTTAATGCAAAGTTGCACACCCACACACAAACATTTTATTTGCTGTACTGTGTCTCTGATAAAAGAAGATATCAGACACCGGGGGAGATTTAATCTAGGCAACTTGGTGTAACATTCATAGACATAGACACACACATGCACACACACACACACACACACACACATAGAGCCATAAGGGAGTACCAGTCAGACAGCATGTGTTAGTGCAGTCAACAACATTTTCTGGATGCCTGCTTCCAATGCGAATACAACTGGCAGTTGTCCTCACAGGCTAAAGCTGGCAGTTATTAGCTACAATTTAGAGGACAGCTCATATTATGTACTCCCAGGGGACTTGTAAGTGTGGTACCTGCCATGGACTAGCTTTCATAACTATCGCTGCTGTTGGATGGAAGTATGTACTGTCAAGTGTAACCTCTTTCAGGAATGAAAGTGAATTTCTGTGGGACGACTTTTAAGGCATTTGCAGTTTGCTCTGTTGATAATTCAAATAGTTAATAGCATAACTTTTGTTTGAGTAGCTACAGTCAAGGATCACAGTATTCACACTGTGGACCCCTCGAAAATTAAATGTATATGCAAGGCAGGATTTCTTTTTATAATGACAATGAACACCACACATACCGTGAAGTACCCACAGTAGCATGCAGGGAAATGAAAACTTAACATAGGGGAAACTAGGGGAAGCAATATTTTCTCAGCAGAGGATGCATTATAAAAGAAAAATCAATGTACTACTCTCCAAATGGCATTTTGTCTGAGCTATGGAATTACTTTCAAATAAATGTCTCCACATGAATGGAAATATCCAAATCTATCTCCAACAACTGTTGGAGTACAGTAAAGCAGTACAGGTTTCTTTTTTTTTTAAAAGGAGCAGGATACTCTCTATTTTTGAAACTTTAGTTCAGATGATATTATATACAAACACTTGCATCCTTAATTTGATGTAAAAAATTATGTAAAAAAAAAAAAAATACAAACTTCAAACCAAAAAAAGTGTAAATGAGAAACATTATGTGCTTTGTACTTCATTTATGCTCACATTTTTCATGAGCAGGCGGAGTTTGTCGATGTCACCTAGCTGCTGCAAATCTTTCAGTGTCAGGCTCAGTTCACATGATGTCTCATACACCAGCGTTTCCATGGTGACCAAGTCATCGCACAGGAGCTCGAGGCCCGGGATCTCCCGCTCCTTCCCCAGACGCACCAGAGACAGGGCACAGTCCACCTGACGGACACAAAGAGTTGCAATGAGAGACAGGAAAAGCACAAGGCGACACAGCAATATGAAAAAAAAAGGTTCGTTTTAACAGTCAGTGTGAACGTCTTTACACTATTTGAAAAATCCCTGGTTTGTGATAAGGTAGAATACAGTGAGACTTTATCAGGTAATAACAATTTGTTCGGTGAGGCATACATATTTATTGTTGAAAAAAGGCAATAGGACAGCGGATGGAGTCAGAAATCAGGGAGAGAGTGCAAGGAACAACATGCAGGAAAGGAGCCATAGGTTGAACCTGAACCTGGTCCGGCCCTTGGAGGACCATAGCCTCGTACACAGGGCATGCGCTCCAACCAACTCCAACGCTTCTGGTTACTGGCTACCCATATTAGCTTTCAAATGTTAACATCTACTGCCATAAAATCAATGGCGTGGGAGAAATGACATGGACTCAGTATATTCCTATCTTAAGCAGCAGAGAAGAACGTTAGAAAACCAACATATGAGAAACCTATGATGTTTGATCTCTTTATCATGTGACATTTGTTGAAGTACCTCTGCATTCCTGTCCTTATGTTCTTGTCTGTTATTCCTTCTATCGCTCCATCTTTTTACAATCCAGTTAACCCAGTCAAAGTAACAACCTGTGCAGCAGGTGAATAAAGAGGTATTTATCTAGCAGGAGGCAAAGTCATTGAATAACTGTTGCAGAGGTCGCTGAACTGGGACGTGAACAAAAACAACAATATCCCAACTAATCTGAAATCAAATAATACCTGTCGCCCATTACTAATATCCAATCATTAGTCTTTAGACTCTGAAACAGGGACGATTTGGGCTTCCTGCTTCTCTAATCGATAAAACTCCATCCAGAAGAGCAACCGATCAATAACCGACCACCTATACGCTGGCAGCACACCCGGCCTAATCGATGCTCAGCCACCTGTGGATCCAAGCCAATCGATAGCAGAAGCCGCTGGGTCCTGTAGTGATGATTGCTTTCTCTCCACCTTTTTAGAAAAGGAGAGTCCTCTGGCACAGCGGTTAGCACAGCATCTCCCCTTTACACACACGCACACACGCACGCACGCACGCACGCACACACACACACACACACACGCACACACACACAAACTCATAGGGTCTGTAACCTTGTCATCTTCGGCTTATCTAAACCAATTTCTAGTTGAATAAATAATTGCTTGCCTCCATTTACAAACTGCACCCATACACAGAAAAACAGAGGGAAGGAGAGAAAAACCCAAATCAGCCTTGAGTCGGAGCCGGAGCAATTAGATACAACAAGAAAGAAACGTCTATTGATCTAACTGTGAGTGAAGATCCTCCTCGTTTACTCCTCCCCTCCCTCCCCGCTCTCTGGAGATACATTCCCCAGCTAACCACGTACAATTCAGATGTTAAAATCTCACACGTTTTAATTACGACCTCGTCTCAATGCCCTCCCCTCGCCGTTCTCTGCACCGCAACACAACTTATCCTCTCTCTCTCTCTCTCTCTCACTCTGCACCACCTCTCCTTTCAAATCCCCCGGGCGCTTTTTCAGCGACTCTTTGGTTTCATTTTCCAACTCAATTTGAACCTCCTTTGTTCTGGTTTCTTAGTCCATTCTTTCATACACTGTTCCCTCATTTTCTCTTCATCTCTGCTTAATTTTCTCATCCTCTTCCCACCTCTTGCATGAATTCCGTAACCGTCAAAACGTTTGGCCTCCATTTGAACTCCCATGTCTGGCCCCTTGCCTCCTCTGTACGCCTGTCTGCTGTCTCTGTCTGCTTTTCAAAGCCACTCTCTCATTTTGTGCTCTCTATCTGCCAACAGTGTTCCAAACAACACTTGTTTTTAATATCCTTTATTTCTACCCTTTCAACCCCTTCTAACCAGTGATTTTCTTTCCTACAGACAGCTCTTTCCACCAGATAGATTTCCCTTTTTACCACAACATTTGTCAGCCCTGTCCTCCCCTATGTCTCTTTGTAATCCACTCTAGCCTAACTAAGGATGTTGCATAGCCCTGTCCTTTATTTCAATTTCTCTCAATTTTTCGTTTTGGTTTGCACTTGGTTTGCTTTCATTCAGGGCAAAAAAAAAAAAAAAAATCCTCTGTAAGTCTTGTCAATCTTTCCATTCATTGCCTCGCTTCCTGCGGCTCTGTGACCAGTTTAAAACACTCCAGCTTCCTCTGATGGGCTTCCTTTTAATCAAACCCAATTTTTGCTCCATTAAAACACTCTCCCAAGCATAAACACAGCCAGATGAGGGATGAGAGGAGGCAGAAACGAGAGAGAACAAATGAGACGAGAAAATTTTAGGAGGGCAAAAAACGAGGGGGGGGGAGCTCAGCGAATGTCAGCAGAGCTTTTCCAGTGTTTCTCTCTTTTGCAAGAATGTGTGAGTGGGAGAAAGTGTGTGAAAAAAGAAGAGATGTAAGACTCAGGGGCAGTCCCTGAAGTCTCCTGAAGTAACATACGAGAGAGAAGCAAATTAAGTCAAATTAAAAAGGAGCGAGTGAGAGAATGCAAGAGAGCTGGTTTTATTTCTAGAGATTAACAAAGACTCATTTTACACACACACACTAAGTCTTTCAGTTTCTTTCCCTCCTGAGCAGATGATGAAAGGCACGATTCCCCCACTGTCTTCAAAAAATGAGCAATGGACCCCCAAATCTCTTCTCCTCCATCCTCCTTATACCCAGTGAAAGGGATCAAATGGAGAAATGAAGGGGAAAGATATGACTGCACCCCAGTTAGTCCTTTCACAAAGACAAAGGGAGCACTGTGACAACCTTGATCCATCACAGTGAAGAAAGGAGAGCGGGGGACAGAAGAGCTGCCGTTTCGGGATCGTGTGGGTGGAGAGAGTGGGCAGCTCCAGCGGTTACATTCCATTACTCCGCTAAACAAGTTCTATCAAGTCTGATTTTTCAGTTACAGCAACAGAACGCGGGGGTGACAGAAGCTTTGGTTACTCTTCATTAGAAGTCCATATAGTAAATATGATGATGAGCGTCCTTGATTGGATCCAAGTGACCTTTACTGATGGAGGTTGGCAACATCTCCTCTGCGGTCTGTATTCTGGCTCGTGACATTTTCCTTCCCACAATCTTTGAAAAGGAGAGTGCAGTGGAAATTATCTTCCACAATTGCCAGATGTCGATTCATTCCTTCCTGTTGCTGTTTTGCTTTAGGTTTGAATCAAGTTACTACTAGAGAAATCTGATATCCTCTGAGGATGATATAGTCTCTGGGAAAGATGGCCAACTTCTTTTTTTTTCTTCCAACATAGCCAGCTGTTAGCATTACATGATTACAGTACGCATTGCTTACAGTCCAATAAGCAACTTCAAACCGTGGGTTCACATCAAAAACAAAGCGCCATTGGCCTCAAAATGTCTCAGTTAATTTCTTCCCCCTGAGGAGAACTTGTTCATCTACGTCTGGTGAGTCCCAGTCTCACAGTAAATACTAAGTTACACATAGCTTCACTCTAACTTACTTCAGCATTATGAGCCTAAAATGGAACGGGTTTTCCTGTGGATTTCGTGCAATTAATGGGTCAGAAGTTAAAAAAAGTAGTAAAAAAAAAAAGTCCCCAGGAGTCGATGAAAGTAGGATGTGTTGAAAAACCTTTTTCTTTTTGAATAAAGCTTCCAAACTGTATAACACTGTGTTTCTGCAGAAAACATACACTACCCTGCCAGCTTCTTTAAGCCAGTGTAAAAGCCTTGCACATTGTCACAAGTGTTCGTACCTGTCTGGAGCAGGAGTCGATGTCTTTTGCTCTGCTTTGGTACCAGTCGGTCAGCAGCTCGATGGAGGGCTCAGCTGTGCGGAACCGCAGCCGCTCTGGTGCCTCCTCATACAGGAAACTGTCGTCATCGAACAAGTTCTGGTCCAGCGTCACTCTAAAGAACACACCGGTGAGAGGAAATGTGAATTTAGTCTATTCACTCGCTTTTAAAGGGAGCAGTATAGATAGAGAAGAAAGCAATGGTTGAAAAGTGAAAGACTACATCTGGCAATATTTTGTATTTTTCCTTCAAGGGCTCCACTATTTTAAAGGCAGACTCCGTAGCTTTTTCCTAAAATATAAAATAAAGACTTGTACAAAAACGATACTGCTCAATAATCACTTGTTGGCCTCAATACATGTGGTGGTGACTGTGTCTGCAGAGAGCCTGACCAATGACAGTTGCCGGCGAGTTTAGGAGTGGATACAATTCAGTGATCAGATGCGATTCAAAACAGCGAATATGACAGACACGGACATAGTGGCAAAGAAGAGTAAATATAATGACAAGCCGATGAAGCTCGTTCAAAAACAAGGGTGAACCTATGGTCGGCTTTCACTCGCGGACCCAGAAATGGCCTTCTTCCTGTTGAACGGGCGGGTGCCAAACAAAGGCGGTTAGCTTGTGCTAACATGCTAATTGATAGGCTTTTCCATTACAACAAATGTGCACGCAAGTCTTGCAGTGTGTGTATGCTTTTGGTGGCAATGAGCCCAGGAGGAGGGGCCCAGTTTGAAAGTTGTGTTAACAAGCCACTTTAAAGATGAACAAAATGATGGGCACAAGTTTACTACCTACAGGATAGGAAAGTCGTAAAGCATCAATAGCCAGTGTTGATTTCTTTTCTTGTCTTGATGGGAGTTTTTAAGAATTTATAGTTCAATTTACCACCCCTGTCCTTTCCGGAGGAGGATATAGAGTTAGAGCAAGAAGAGGGAAAACACAAACAGTAGATAAACGAGACAACAAAGACATTATGTGAGAAAGGAAATGTGTTGAAGAAAATGCATCGTAAATATAATCCTAAACATTGCTGGCATCACACTATGGCAGTATCGCTATTTCAGTCTGCATCCCCGGCCAACTGTACCCCAATCGCCAACAGATTTTATGACGCTAAAGAGTAATAAAAAGAGGCTGCTAAATAAAATTGTAAATGAAGCTTGCTCCCTACAGAAGCAGGCAAATGGCATACATTGGCAGTGCAACAAGATTTGGTATTAGTTTGTCATGGTTCTGTTTAACATTGAGATAACAGGATGTCATGTTTTGTTCCACATAATGATGCCAACACAAGCATCTGGCCTGCGTGGAGCCAGGATTAAAACAATTCTATACTTCGAGAGGCTTTGTTATCAAGGGGATGGAGGGATTTTATCATGGTGCTTATCCAGTATTTCTCAAGTTTGGTTTGTGATCGTGCTTTGTGTGTTTTTGTGTTCACTGTTTACCTGCACTCCTCTGCTTCACACCAGTCCATGTCTCTGTGTCTCTGCTCGTCCCATGGGATCAAAACCAGCTCGCCTCTGTCATCATGACTGAAGAAAGATGAACACAGGCAGAATGAGAAAAAGAGGAACAGGCAGAGCAAGATACAGAAGGAGAAAAAAAAAAGAGGATAACAAAGATTAGAGGAAAAAGGGGCAAATGAAGAGAAAAACCTTAAAAAGTCTTATCTAGGTGTATGTACTGAAAAGTCCAATGGCTAGCAAATAAACCTGAGCGACTTACCTGTAATGACACCTTCTAAATCAGAAAAGACATTTACAGTGTTGAAGTAAACATGACCATAAACTACAGAGAAACTCTGCAGAGAGGTAGAAACATAAGGGGAAATTGAAACAACCGAAGATAATAAGGGGAGAAAGGAAGATGGGAAATAATAAAACCACAACAATAAACACAAGTAAATAAAAGTCAAAAAAGTTTGGAAAAGAGGAAAGTCGTGCCTCGGTTGTAAATAGTGGGGACTTTTATTTTCTGCACGCCATGTTGGCGCTGAGCTTTACTTCTTCCTGGTCTCCTTGAGTGTGACAGGTCTGAGGAAGATAAATATGGAATACACACGAAAGAAACTAAAGTGAGGAATGACTCTGTAACCCCCAGTGCGTCAAAGCCGACGAGACACACAGACGTATATGGATGCATGCAGCCGATCTGAGAAAACGGGGATGAATAGAAGGCTGTTTTATCTTATTCCAGGATTACTGCATTTCTTCTTGTTATCTATTTGTCTGTATATATGGACAGAAAAATATGTACTGTGGGCTGTAAAACTCAAGGAGATAGAGCGGGCTACAAATCATCTATAGCTTTGGTGCCATTAAAGGCCAAGTGCACACACGCCGCAGCAGTTTTTCAGCACTGCGATAAATTCTTTCCAATCACAAAATACATAAGAAGTGTCCTAGTAGCAGATGTGATTTATGTCAAAGCACAAAAAGTGGGACGTTTTTTTTTTTTTTTTTTTGCCAGCACTTTTGCAGAAGTTCATACATTCAGAGATGACAGCGACTTAGAAATTTGGAATTTTTCCCTCTAAAAGGCCCACAGAGATGGAACTTTTTTTGCCACCCTGCTCCTCTTTCCCCATTAGAGTCGGCCAGGTTAGAGGGTGGAGAGTAAATATTGGTGTGGGAACTTCAATATCGATGGGAAGGAAATAATTATTCCACGCCCGCTGCCCTAATCTACTTCCCGTCAGGCTGAGAGTAGGTGAGGAAAGATGGGCGGGAGGGGAAAATGGAGATGTAAAGCAAACTTGGAGCTGGAGGTTTATTTTTATTTCCACCAGGCCGGGCCTGTCAAGCTCAATGCAACGTTTTTTCGATAAAATATACCACTATTCCGCATCCTTCTAGCTTCTTGAGGTCCCCCTTGCAGATCTGATCAATATTACAAGAGAGTATTTTTCTCCTCGCAGTGAAGCAAGACTTGAGTATATAACAAAGTGAGCTCCAAACAGATGGCTTCAGCCGGCTCCGTCTGCTGCAGCGTAGCAGCAAGCGCTGTTGGGAGGAGCAGTTGGAGCTCACAGGCTGGGGAAAATAGGAAACTGCCCCACAGCGTCAGAGCCATGATGGATGCTCACTGCAGAGCCACAGCTGCCTGACCTCCATACAAACTCAGACATGGCTAATAAAAGGGAGCAGCAGCAGTGTGTGCATTGCCTTTAGCTGTTAGAACATCTTTTTTATGTTTTTTTTTTTTTTTTGAGTTTATAATTTTATTTTTTTGTTCGATACAAATGTGGCCACTGGCACAGAGAATCAAGGAATAGTCTTAAATGAAGGAAGAGGAAAAAAGTGGAGAGGAGAAAAATGGAAGCAGGAGTAAGAGGAAACAAAAAAAAAAGCACAATGAATGGCTGGCTGGACTCATCGGTAAATCCAGTCTGTCACCTCTATTAGTGGACCATAAAGGAGAGAGGAACAATTTCATCCCATCAAAAAAACTCCTCCATCATCTCCCTCCCCTACAAACATTACTCTAAACCCAAAACAGAATTACACACTAAAGGGGGACAATTTGCCGTCATTGCAGCTAGTTTGGTATATTTTTGAGATTTTTGCATGCACATTAAGAAATGGAAATAAGTGTATCGCATTTGATTTGGTTTGAGTGTATCAACCCTTGAACTGTGTGTGATCAGCGTTCACACTACTGAAATGTACGAACGAGCTTTAATGTGTGGCTGTTTACGACGGCAGCACAAGATCAGTGCTGTCTGTAGGTGAAAACAGAGACAGAGAAGGGAGAACTGTCGGACATTTAAATGATCAGCTAATAGTTATTTAGTTGTTTTTACAATCCTTTCTTCTGAAATTTGAATTGCATGTTAAGATTACACAGTCTGGCCTTTATTTCTATTCAAATAAATGATTTTCAAGTTTTAAATTATTTTTATTCAGTATCAATGAATCCTTTGAGTTCTCCTGTATGGATTCATTTTTGTAATGTTAAATACCTAGAATAGAGTATATAGAATGAAATGGTTCTTAATGATGTGGACTTTAAGAAGTATAAATGTTCTCGCTCTTGTCAGCGTGTGTAAAGACACGATTGCATACAGGTTCTTGACAGGTTCACCTCTTTGCTTTGACAGGATAATTGAATAGAAATGTCTCATGAAAACTGCACAGTCTGTAAGACAAGGCAGCTCTATACATTTGCTTAGAGCGCTGAGCTGAGCTGAGCTGAGCTGCAACCTACGCCGCTCCACTTCTCATGAAAGCGGTAAGAGATCATAGTTTCTCCTTTAGGTAGTTATTGTCACTTACACAGACATGGACAGCCCCTGTGTGTGTGTGTGTGTGTGTCTGTGTTTGTGTCTCACCGGGCTTCAGGCAGCAGGATGGTGTACTCGTGAGGAGAGGTGGTTTCTGGGAAGTTGTGAAGGATAGCCAGCCAATGTTGGAGGAGTTCTGCTCCGTGGTACGAGAAGAGAATACCCAGAGCCTGCACGTTACTCTCCTGCAGAGAAACAACACGTAGATGATGCAGAAGCTGACAATCTTGAGCGGAAATAAACTTAAAATTGTAGATTATGGGATTTCATCAGACGAAAGCAGAAGCACAAAAAAAAAAGTATTCTGAATTTTGTAATTTGATGGCAAATATCAATTCAATATATCTAAGAAGAGATACAAAAAAATACACCAAGTCAGCAGTTTATAAGGTTCACCTAGCAACAATGAATGCAGTATCATAAAACAGTCCTGCAATAAATCCTTCAAGAAATCAAGAAAGTTTTACTGTTCCATTTTTTTGCAGCTGTTTTCAAGTGGTGAGTTTAATACTAGTCGTTTTTGGGGGGTTTCTGTCTTGCTCTTGAACTGTATTGTTAACACAGACAGGGGTTTCTAAACCAGTCGATTCAAAACTCTCAATAAAGCACCACAAGAACATGTTTCAACAAAAACAGACAGTTATCACAGGACTATTAAAAAAAAAAATCATATCATATTATAATCAACTAGCAAATTAGTTTGAAACCCATTATCGGTAACTGCTTTGCAACAGTGAGAGTACTGTAAGAAATCAGGAGGCTGATGTTACCCTGGCGTAGTTTCTTGCTGACAAAACGATATTTTGAGAGCGAAACTTCTTGAAGAACTCTGCGTCGTATTTCTCCTCAGCTGCATGAGGGCCGCCAAGTATCTCCTGGAGAGGGGGAAGTAAAAAAAAAAAAGAGAGGAAGAAAAAGAGAGACAAGACCAATTGAGGGGGGAAAAAAAAAAAGGAATACGACCAGGGTTCATAAAAACAGAATTTGTGAGGCGTAGGGTGTTTTTGTTTTTTTTTTTCTCCCGGAGATGCGAGTGGGTAGAAAGTCAGAGTAAAGACGTGAGGAGAGGAGAAGAGGGTGCAGAGGATGTGACTGCAAATCAAAGTCAACAAAGATGCTATTTCATGCTATTTAACGTCACAGATGTCGAGTCCTTTTGGTTTGAACTATCTGAGTAAGGTTTGATTGTGTAAGTGTTCATATGTCAGGAGAGAATATTTGTTTCCCCCGGCCTCTGGCTTTGACTAACTCATGTGTCTGTCTGTTAAAAAAATTCCCTGCACCATCCTCTATCCCAGTGTGTGTATGTGTGTAGAGCTTTGCATAGATGTGTGTGTGTGAGCCTGTGTGTCTGATGGATAGCCTTTGAATGGCCCGTATGCAGACAGAGCCAGCCCCAAAATCGCTATGATAAAAACCCTAATATCATATTCATAGACAGCCAGAGAAAATGGATTGGGGCAAAAGGAATCTGACGAGCGCTGCAGTTACCATGACAATGTCCGAATGAGAGAGAGACTTCACTCTTTCTGAGTAAAATATCCAGCAGTGTTAAAAAAAAAAAAAAAAAAAAAAAAAAAAAATCTCATCTCTCCTCTCGTGCATGGGAGGAAATGTGTCCCTGCCTGTTCGTCTGTGATTTATTGCGGGAGAGAGGGGTGCGCATGTGAACATGACTCATCGTAAATCTGAAATCAAGAGCGCTATGTAGCTGCAAGTGTCAAAAAGCCACTTTAAAAATGCATCCATCTACGCTACACTGATGCTAACATTCTGTAAGCCTATTAGCATTACAGTTAAATCATAGATGACAAAATGTAGCTACGTAGATACGGTAGCACCCATTCTTTTGAATTTTATTTGAATGCCGATCACGTAAACATCGACAACTTCTCAGTTTTTATAAAGAGATTAGAGGGTTTAAGAGAGAGCATCAATAAAAGAGTTATGAGAAAAGCCTCTGTGCTTTGGAGGGATTGGATATGAAACAGTTAGATTGTCAATGGGAAAACAGCAGAGAAAGTAAAAGCAATTTTGAACACTAATATTAAATGAGAAAAATTAGCACACATGATACGAGCCTTCAGAAACCCTCAAAACTTAGGATGATTGTAAAAGTACTTCAAACACATTCTCCTTCCAAAGCAGTCACATGGAACAAGCTTGAATCTTATGAGCTCCGTTTTTTCATCATGGGATGAAAACAGCGAGCCAGACACCATTAAGCCCACCAGCTCAAATCTGGACAAACAATGTTAGAAGTAGTTCCAACAATGAAAGGAGAACACTGTATCTATTCTTTTTAAACAGGCCCTTTAATAATGACACAGAAGCTCATGATGTTGTGCTCTATTTTGATTTTTATCTCACAGACCATCAGATACAGATGAGTGCGTTTGAACTTTGCAATAAGTATCATATGAGGTTTGTGATCTAGCTGACTCATGCCAGGCTAAGACGAAGGGAGGAGAAATTTTGTGGGCTGTTGGAGCACCGACTGATTCCTCCTTTCCACACAAATCTGATAGTATGAATATGTTGTCTTAAAAGTTGGCCCTTCCCTGTTTACTTTTAAGGCCCCATGAGTTTTTGTTTAAATTCAGCGTTCCTGTGTTAAATGTTCATTTATCTGCCGCCATCTGCCAAATATATTTGAAAAAGCCTTATCTGAGTATTTTCTCTTCCTGTTAAACGTTTCAAATTTCTGATGACTCATCCTGCACTCCGGTTGATTCATTTTTGAACCTACAAAAAAGATTTGTTGGAGCTAATGATCTAATCAAATTCATCCCAACGTTATTTTCCGCCTCCTATCTTGTGATTGGTTCTAACCCGTTTCAGTTGCAGCAGTTAGATACTCTAGTTCTCGATGGGGACTTTAAGTACAGTGCAGAACAGTTAAAGACTGGAGCTGCTGCTGACAGGTTATAAGTGAAGGCAGGGTGTAACCACTGGATCTGTGGACCCCCCCCCCCCGTTAAGGAGCGATCTAAACAGACTTTCACAGTTTTTGATTGAGATTATCAGGATTTGATATTTAATCCTGGGGTGAAACAGTTGGATCATTGGATTGCCAGCCAATTAAAGCGAAACCTTCAATAATGGAGAAGTGACTGACATGCATTTTACAGTACAGCTTCTAAAAATGTGAATATTTGATCATGTTAGCAGAGTGCTAGAACAACAGGTGGATGCTTGTCGTTACCTCGTACGTTGCCAGCCGGTCCAGGTAGGAGAGCAGTTTCAGTCGATTTCGACACAGCTCCTTTTGCTCCAGAGTCAGCCTAAGCATGCGCGCACACACACACACACACACACACACACACACACACACACACACACACACACACACACACACACACACACACACACACACACACACACACACACACACACACACACACACACACACACACACACACACACACACACACACACACACACACACACACACACACACACACACACACACACACACACACACACACACACACACACACACACACACAGAAACAAACCATACACTAATCAAAAGCAATCCAGGCACTTCAACACAGTATTACAATAAACATCCACAAAGCCACCTTGAAAGTCAATTTACAAGATCTGAATAGTGTTTTGCTCTCACTACACTCAAATGAAACTTCAAGTTTAGACCCGACTCGAGCTTTAAATGACTCGTATAGTGCAGTGTACCCCACAGACGACCTATATAACAATGCTCTGGACTTGACTACAACACAAAATAGTGCCCTCTAGACCTAATCATTTTCTAAGGGCAACAAATCACCTCCTTATGACCACAAAAACCCTTCAGTTGTTTGGTATGGGATGCCAGATGTCAATGAGGTGAGTGATTGCCCTGTAGGAATCAAATCCATTTTCAATGTTGTTTAATCACAACCATAAATAAATTGGATGACCACAAACACTGAGGCACCGGGCGGCATAGAATCTACCTACAATTCAATCACTCAAGGTGCTCAGGGGAAAGGAACCACAAGGCTGAAAACCACTGCACAGCCTCGCAGTGAAATAAAACATTTTTCACCACACACTCACAGAGATGACATGTTCCATCCACGGGGAAACAACCTGAACAGTCACAACGGTCCCAAACGTGCCCTGAAAGAACCCCAGACTGGATCAACCGCAGTGTGACCACAAGGGAGCTGACCCCTCCACCTCCGCCTTTAATCCCTAATCCCTCATTACAGAGGGCGCTATCAGGCCTTATCAGGGTTCCTCTACACAGACTAACAGAGATTAACACTGGCTCAACACACTCTCTGGCACATCAAAGAGCACCGGCTTAGCACTCGTACTGGTGGTAATTATTGCTTTGCTCTGCCTCTTCACAGCAAAGTTGGAGAAGTGGAGGAAAGAGGGAGAGGAAGGAGAGGAGATAAGACAAGATGTTAGAAAGCTGTGTTCCCTGCCTGTTTTCCTCTTGAGGTTTGATATGATGGCTCAATCATGAATTATAATACAAACACAAACTGGCCGCAGAAGAAGAAGTAAGGGGACATCTGTCATTCCCAATTTAGCTGACTTAATATGTGATTAAACCATTCTTTGACTGCACGACTGTTTATTAAAAGAAATGGAAATCTGCTAAAGTTCATTTTCAGCCAAGCAAGACAGACAATGTTTACTGATGACTTGAGGTTGATGATTCAATGAAGCAACCAGTAGAGCAAATGTCTAGAAATATCTTTTGTGATCCTTTAACTTTTTATCCATCCTGTATGTCGTGACTTGAAAGCTCCTGTTAGGATCTTTTTTTCATTCGTGTGGATTTTGGCGCCCCCTGTGGACGAAGTGGTATTCTTTTTCTTTGTTGATCTGATCCTGTACACCTTTGGTAGTGTTGTACAACAAACATTTCTTCCTGCATTCATTTAAATTGAAATGTATCTTCATTGTGAATGTTTGCTTTGGAAAATGTAAAAAAAATAATAATTAAAAAAAAGCCTTTTTCTGCAGAATGCTGCTATTTGCCTTCCATGTGGTGGTGGTTATAGGCAGATATGCACCAATCGGGAAAATCAGGGCTGATTCAGATACCAATGTTTGAAATAAAAAAATAAGCCGATTCTGTTAGCGATGTTTGTTTCATGACTTCTTTTGGTGGAAGACTCCCAACAAGACTACCAACGAAAACAAGTTTCTCCAACAGGTGACATCATCTGCCCAATAAAAAAAGTATTCTCTGAATCAGTTGTTAAGTGTACGAGATGCCTGCATTAAAGTTGTTTTGGGACAACAAATAAACATCGGCTATTGACATCAGTTCATGCCACATTATTGTCCGATGTGCCGATGTCTTCCAAAGGGCCAATATCAGCCGATATATCTGACATAAGAGTAGTCAGGTTTATTACAATTACATCTCGTCCCGTTTATTCAGGTTGTATCAAACAAAGGAGTAGCCCTAAGAATCATTAGCATGAACAGCTCACCAACTTCTTTCTCACTTCGACATATCCTCCAAAAATAAACGACAGGGAACCAAATGAAATACTTTACTTTGAAGAGTTTAATGGATTTCTCAGAGTTGATGGGCTATTACAAGTGGGCAAATCACCAAAATACATGCAATCATTCAAGTTGCTTTAAGTCATTTGATACAGAAATAGCACATAATGTACCTTTTGCATTCAGGTTTCCTCCATATTAAAACACTGCAGTCGAGTGGCTTTGTGGAAATGGCCACCAAGAGGTTAGAGGTGGCTGAATGTTTGAATGAATTCAGGTCCACATCCCTTGCTTCTAAATTGCCAATCCTGCTGCTGAATTCCACTCAAGTATAGCATAAACAGTGTGTAGTACACTGTTCCACATACAAATGAGCAGCCTGTCTGTATACTGAAGGGCCAGCAGAGCACCTGTGCCTTTGTAAAGGTTTATATTAGTTCCCTGAATTGCCCTTACAATAAACAGCAACTCAAGGGGAAAGTTAGTTAAGAAAGGAGGAAGAATGAAGACAAACACAGTGACACACCTGAGTGGAGTTAGAAGGCTGTGAGGTTTTTAAATGTAATGTGCACAACTTCGACTGCGCTTTAGAGTTGAACACACATCACCGCACCAGCTGTCTCATGTAAAGAGAGGGGATCCTGATAACTTCAAGGTTTGGGTGCATTTGTGCATTATGTATTTTCGCAGCTATCAGACTGCAGGTTATTACAATCAGGTGGCACTGCTCCTTCATCTCTGTACATACAAACATCCTGAATATGACGATACTGAACAGAGATTGAAAAACATAAACAGGACAACCCCCTAACACACACACAGAAAAACACAAACACACACACACACACACTCAGAAAAATGCATTTTGTGATAAAAAAGCGATTTTCACACAGTGCAAGAGATACAACTGGACTGCATAAACAGACAAAAACACTGCAGCTCACGCCTTCAAATACACATGGATGCCACCATCTGCGCGCACACTCACCTACACACAAATACACACAACCGGTGGTAGAGAAAATGAGAAAATGAGACTTCTGATTGAGGTCTGAATCGGATCAGATAAGAACATAAACACCTTGCAGCATATTGCACACTCCTTTTCTCTCATCGCTCTCTTACACACACTCGCAGACACACACTTAAACACACTGCAGCTGCAGTATTGTCCATCTTGTTGTATGCGGAGAGTCAGAGCAGCAGTTATAATGGCCCTTGGCAGCATCTAAATTATACTTTATTATTCATGCACAAACTGATGAGAAAGAGGCTGCAACATCAAACCGCGCATGTGGCCAAAACAACAGGACCAACGACGCAGGACTGCAGCATGGCAGTTAAAAATAAAATAAAAACTAGCTCCTGAGGAAGTCAGTGTTTTTTTATGTGATATTTCCTTTCAGGATAACTGAATGCAGAACAAGAAGAACACATAGCCTATAGGAGAAAAGCTGGTAGGAACAAGAACAATGTACATTATGTACATCCATCATTTTATCGAGTCCTTTAAACACAATCTGTGTTTACTGAGAGTGAAATAAGCATCTTTAGGCAGCTGATATAGGAGAGAAAAAAATCGATCCAGTTGCTTTGACTATTCTTATTGGAAATGGGACTCCTGGGCAGGATGTTGATAGCGATCTAAAAAGTGACTTTAAAAAGGAATCTTTTCTCTTTTGTAACCCCTACATGTGAACAATAATCACTTCATCTTATTGTACTGAACTTGATGAGAAAAGAAAACACACCATACTAATCACATCTTTCAAGCTCACAAACATAAACACAAACACAGACAGCTCACAAACATTGGAGGTGGAGGTGGGGGGCCAAAGATGCACCCAGTAAATACAGTCCTTATCTAAACACAGGAGCCTCACATGCGCACGCACATAAGTAAAAAAAAAGAGCGGCTGTGATCGATACCAAGCCATTTCTGTAATGGTTCTGTAGTTAAAAAGAAATTAAGAGAATTATTATCTGTCTCAGGCTTCCACCGCAGGCCTTGAGGCAACATGGTTAGCTCCATTTGTGAGGGGCTTCAACGCACCCAAACCCACACACTGACACACTCATTAAATATATTTAAAAAGAATTGTGGGATATGTGACTAGGCAGCCTGGCAGAAACCTTAATGCAGATATAGAGATAGGAGAAAAAGAGGCATATTTAAAGAAAGCAACTCACAGAGGATTAAATCTAATGGTTTCTCTTTTAATAGTAAGTAAATTATCGATTTTTCCCCTCCATCTTATGTGTTTTTCATCTCCTCCATCTTCCCTTTTATCTACCTTCGACTACAGTTCCGCAATAAAGCTAAACAGTTTTATTACACCATGAGTTAAACAGAGAGAAAATCAAACAGGAAAAGGGGACATAACAAGTAAGCAGGGAGGGGAACTGACTGAGGGGGAGGGGAGGAGGAGGAGATAATACAGGAGCACGATATTACAGTGCCTCTTCTCTTCCTCATTCAAATGCAGGCTGGAGGCTCAGTGGTTAAGTGTCTGAGGTAAGAGGGGGAAAAAAGAGACAGCATAGTCCAGCTCCTGACGCTTGAGATACTTTTATGCACCATGCTTGCTTGCGTGAACACCATGTGGATATGCATTTTAAAAGTGCATCATTAATTGTGTGAACTGGTGATGTGCTTAAGACTGTTTCATGATACATGGGTGTGAGTATTTGCATGCGTGTGTGTGTGTGTGTGTGTGTGTATGTAAGAGGTGATTAGTGATCACTAAAGGGTTTTTCATTAGTCTTTCCCTGGGCACTCGACAACAAAGGCATAAATTACCTCCAGCAGATTACCCACTAATCTCCACCAGCGCTCACTCTCTCCCTCCGTTATCCTCATTAATGTCCCCGCCTTTATGATCCCCTCTCTGGTGTGCCACCTAATCAAACAATCAGTGTTACGTTTGGCAACTTTCTCTCCTAATTCCTCACGCTTTGCTCTTCTTCAACCTTAATCACCTTTACCACAATCTCCCCTTTTTTTTTCTTTTTCTTTTTTTTAAACAAATCCAAATGAAGTCAATCAACCCATCGCTATGCTCGATACAATGAATAGTTATGGTGGAATTTAAGATCTCTAAACAGTAGAGAGAAACCTGCAGACATGGCGACTCACACGGTCAGCGTCAGGTTCACATAAGTGGGATTTTACTTCCCACACAACAACTGCTACTGAGCATCTCAAGCTGCTGGGAAAATCTGGTGATGCTGTCTCAAAGTTTAATGGAATACTGTACAAACAGTCTCCAGTAATATGTGTAAGACTTGTATACAATTATGCTATGCTGCTGTACTGGTCACAAATGTTCTCTGTTTACTAATGTATGCTCACAATGACTCTGTTAATATGCTGATATCAATAGGTTGAATGTTTACTATATTGAGTAACTTTGTTTATATTTCAAATGAGCTTATAAGCAGCTTGGCTGATGATTATGGAAATCAAACAAAAAACTGTACATTAATGTTACAGACTGCAGGTCATCCATCCCTGCTATGATTGATCCTTAAATATTAAGTATAGTAGAAATGTAAATGAGCTAAGTACTTATTCAGCACATATTCAGACATAAACCAAAGTGTTGAACAAATACAAACTTCTACCTCATGACGTTGCAAGTTTCAAATCTTACAAAATCATCCTCTGGGGACCATGATTGCCATCCCCAAAATATCATAGCAAATCATCCCATAGTTTGGAAGCAAGAAGGTCTAGAACAGCTCTAGTTAGGAGAAGAGATGTCTCCTCAAGAATGAGGTCAAGCATTTACCAAAGTTAGGGGGTTTATATCTGGCAATCCTTAATTGCCAAATAAAATTCTAAAGTTGACATGATTCATGAAAAGAATAAAAGCACTAAAGCAGAAGTCAGGTCATTACAATTTATCCACTAAGAACCATTCAAATGTGTGGCATATTTCAGAGCAATCCATCCTGTAGTTGTTACCTTAAAAACCACAAATATCTAACTAAGGGTGGCATAAGGGGAAAACTCAGGGCATCAACACAATCAGCTTTTAATCCCATAGTTGTTGATCTATTTCAGTATGGTCCAAAGCTGGACTGAAGTACAGTACTGCGTGTACAAAACTGTAAAAAGGAATATAATATTTGAATATGGGCTTTGGTAAATTGCTGGAGGATGTTTTACTGAGGCAGGTGCTTGCCAACCAGGCGTTAGTCCTCCAGCTGAAGGATGGCCTCTGTAACCACTTCCCAGCCTGGATGATTTTGTTCAAAGCAATACTCTAGACTCTGTATATATTCACATCGTTGGCAGCATTTCTGCCTGCTTTGACTTTCTGTCTTCATCTCTGCTGTCAGTCTGCTGATAAGTGAGCAGACTAAACCAACAGTGGGAGTGCTTGTGTGTTTTACCTGCTTAAGTCGACCTTGGACAACAGCTCTCGTCTCTTCCTGCTCTCCCTCTCTTTCTTCATCTCCAGCTCCTCATCGTCTGGCAGCATGTCTTCTTCGTAGGGAAGGTCATCCAGGTCGACGTCGCCCGGCATGATAAACCTGGAGAGTGGCAAGGGAAATGATACACAGTTTAGCTAAAAAATAAAATATGGAAAAACAAAAGTTGTCAGGAAGAATCAGCCTCAGGTTTGCATTGGTGATTTTTTTTCTTATGCTTGTGTTTTACATACCTGCCCCCATCTTCCCTGTTTCCTATAGCTATGAGGGCCTCCAGATCAGTCCCCTTCAGGCCGTACATCAGAAGCTCCTTGGCTGCATCAACGTTCTCAGGGACGCGCTCTACACACTCATGCAGGACCCATAAGCGCTTGCCGATCTTGCTCTGGGTGGGATGTAGGGATTGGAAGCGGCAGGAATGAGTTCAGAAGAAATGATAGAAGGAAAATTAGATCAAAAATTAGGAGGGGAGGGTGTGAAAATTGTGCTACAAATTGGTAAAAATGATGCGTGAAATAAAGTAAGGGGGTTGTGCTGCACTTAATGTGCTGTAGCCCTACTCGCCCACACAAATATACTGTAAATTTCAAGCCAGAGGTCTAATAATCGGAGGTAAACACTAAAACTGAGATACAATTTCTTATCTCTCTCCTCTAAATCATCCATCCTCCTCCTTTCCTCATTTTCTTGCATCGCTCTCTTTTGTTTCCTCTATCTCTTACCAGATAATCTTGTATTGAGGCGATGCTGACAGTACTCTTCCTCCACTGTCTCTGGTAGACAAGGTCTGAATCAAGATTATACGCTTGGGCTAGAGACAGAGCTTCCCCATATTCTTCATTGTCAATCTGTGGGATAAACACATATGCACAAAATAAACACATTATGTGAATGAGATCAATATATATGCATGTTTTCCTTACACTCTGGGCCAGATGGCATTTAAAAAAAAACATATACAATAGGGATATATGGGAAAATTATATTTTTTTTGCAGATGATTCAGAAATGTGTTAAGCAGACAACTCCACTGGAAAAACAGTTCCTTATCTTCCTTTTTTTAAAGGTTAGATTCATAATATTAATTTCCTATTCCTAAGATTTTTTTTAATATCTTATTGTTTTCTCACGGGAACAGATTCAATCATCATGCACTGTGTTCCTAAACTGATTTAAATGATAAAAATGCATTGAATTAATTCCAGCCACATGGTATTTTAAGCAATATTTTGTAGGAAAAAAACACAGATAGGAGAAAGTCCCCGGCACAATCTTTGATCAGGCTGAATGACAAAGAAGCCAAGTTTTCAAATAAACCTGTGCACAAGCAATGGCACTATCACAATCTTTGGTATGTCCTTTGAATACTAAAAAACCTGGATCAAAAACAACTCTCAAATAAAGATTTTAATCTGTGTAGCATTGTGCAATGTGACACAGTCTGCATTGTGTCTGCTACAGAGGGGATAAAGAGATTGGCTGGAACGGGATAAAATATTTGCAGATATTTGAAGAAAGAAAATCAAAGATACAAAGAATAAAAACACAAAGAAAGAATCTAGAGCCAGATATCGGGACTTCATTTAAAAGCATCAGGACTTACAGTAAATAACAAAACTAGCTGCAGCCATGCTGGTAGCAGTTTTAAGCATGCTATCATACTTACAATGCTAGCCATAGCTACATGTATGTGTTTACCACGGTTATCTCAGTTCAGCATGTTAGCATTCTTAAATACACTACTAAGCTAGTCTAAGCTAAAAATAAGGTTATTGGTAAAACCAAACCCAAGTGGTGTACAGGTAAGATATTTAACATCAATTAATATGGTGAACATGTTTAACATTCTGTTCTGTGCACCTCCATCACTGTCTGGTTTGGATCTGCAACCAAACTGGACAGACACAGACGGCAACGGACTATAAGGACTGAAGAAAAAAAATCATTGGTGTCGACCTGCCCCCCCCATCCAGGACTTACACCCGGGCCAGGAAACGGGCAAGTATTATCACTGCAGACTCCTCACACCCTGGACACAAACTTTTCAAACTCCTCCACTCCAGCAGCCGTTACAGAACACTGTACGCAAAAACAACCCGTCATAAGAACAGTTTCTTCCCCCAGGCTGTGACTGATGAACGCTAAACAGTCACAGAGTGTCAGACCTGTCGCGTTGAAATGACTCTAATCCAATCCATTACTGTGAATATACATATGTGTGTATAGATATTGTTTAATTTAAATGATCAATCTATGCACACTCATGTAAATACTGTAATTGACATGTTAATTGACCCATCTGCCACATAACTGCATTCTTCTTATTATCATGTTACTTCAGCATCTTTTGCACTGTTCACCACTGCACTGTTTCATATTTAGTCATTTAAATATTAGTCTTTTCTTATTATGTAATTACATTTCAACAGTTTATTGTTGATATTTAATGTTGTACCTGTACATATGAGAGCGCAGTTCACCAAAGTTAAATTCCTTGTGTGTGTAAGCAAACCAAACCAACCAAAAAATCTGATTCTGATTCTGATTACTTAAGAATAGAGCAACTGAAACCAATGGTTTAATGGCTTCAGCATAATTACCATGTGCCAAAAGCAAACAACAGCATGATGCTAGCTATCAGTGCAATGGCCAAAGCCAGCATAATGTCAAATATTTTGTCAAATATCTTTTTTATTGCACGAGTGTGTGAAGGATGCTAATATTGGCCAATTCTCATGTAAGCTAAAACCTGGTTTATCAGGTGTGACCTCAGCAGCATGGTCATGTTTGCAGACTGATTTTAGCATTTTGCCCGAAACACTTCTCTACCAAAGTAAATCCTCAGTGAGCTGCTGACATGGCAGAAGACTTTTCAAATCTTTTGTTTTTGATAGTAAAAGAAGTGATTTTTTTTTAACTGGGCTGTTTTCGATGTAAACACATGATGATGCCAAAGAGGCTTTATGTCATATCAATGTCTTACAAAATGATTTGATCCAACAACCATATGACACCTCAGTTTTTGGCCCTATGTGTGTATAGTACATGTGTGAGAGTGTACTGACTGACACACGCAGACACACACTCAGACACACAAAGCATATCCATCTCTTTCTGTGTGTAGGAGTACAAAGCAACACATTAGCCAGACTGTGATTCCTCGAGGGCAATGAGAACCCCACACAGTTAAACCTCACGTAGGAGGACATCAAAAACTGCTTCTTTCTCTCTCTGGAATCGGCTAATAAAACTGTTAGCAGCCCTATCAGTGTGCTACTTATGGAGGCAGGGTTATACCACCGAACACATCATCAAACTCCTCAACACATGAAGGGACTGACTTGAGGAAATAACCCAGAAGCACTGGTAGTGACCCATTCAGAGTCAATTGGACTACAAACCTCAAGTAGCTGAAGGTCAGGTCATTCTGACAGCTGAGAGTGTCTGTGTGTGTGTGTGTGTGTGTGTGTGTGTGTGTGTGTGTGTGTGTGTGTGTGTGTGTGTAACTGTGAGTGTGTAGCCCAGGGTGGAAATGTCAATATAGCATAAGCGACATGAAGACTTTTACACACACAATAAACCAAATGGGCAGCGAGTGAGCACTGACATACATTCACATTCAGACAATAAAGACAGACTCCCCTCCTCTCTGCACCCACACGCCTACATGTGCTACATGTGACTAAAAGGAAGGGAAAAACAACTCAAACATGAGCAGCTCAGCAGCTGGACAAGTGCCGCGGGTACAGAGTGTTACACAGAGATAATAATGATATATTACTTTGTAACTCACCACTGTTAGGACTGATGGAGATGACTAATGGCATCTAATGATGATGACAATGATGAAGAAGGAAGTAGATGATGGGTCATAAAAATGACTGATGAACCGTGCTCAAACTTGGGACCGCTGAGAGCCGATACTGTGCTTTATGATAGAGCGTGTTGTTGTCTCTGCTGCAATTTGTAGCGAGCAGCAACAACAGCCATATTTCTAATGCAGCAATTAGCATTTCATAGAAACCCCCGGGACTGAGGAAATAGCCTTAAAGCAGAACGAACATCTTGCTTGGTTTTCATTTCTCCTCAACAGCACTCTGGAGCTGAGCCAACAAAACAATAGCACTTCAGTGAGCTGGCACAGGATTAATTAAGTCGGAAACCAATATTGCAGATCAGGCTGTTATAATTCAGTCAATGACCACACGGATTCATATAACGTCCTTCGGCTGCTGCTAAATTAAGTGTTGAAAAGAAATGAAGAATCACATGGTAAATGTGATATCCACCATTGAAGACAATTGACAGCTGCTCTTAATGTGACTCATGTATCAGTCTGAATATGATAAATGCCATATAAAAAGCGTAATTAGAAATGGAGAGTCTTTGGCATATTAAATAGGTAATATCAATTTCTTAGCCAGAACCAATTCATGCAACTCAGTGAGTCAGAGAACTGCATGGCAGCTCTGGTATTTTTTTTTGACATTGCAGAGCTTAAAGAACATTCAAATCCCAACATAAACACTGACGAAAGCTTTTCTTGCTGAACCAAATAAGATGGGTTTTTTTTTTTTTTATTGTGGGTGTCAAAATGAAAAACTCAACACTAACAGAAATATGACTTAATCCTGTTTATGGATATACAACCTTCAGAGCTCCTACAGACTTGAACACACTGCGACCGCAACAAAAAAGTATCAAACAAAAGAACGTGTGTACAACTTGTGTAAATGATCTGAAATATGAACACTGCTAGATGTTCTTCTCTGTATAGTCAATGAACATCTCAATACCAAACCAATCAACTGGCGATTTATTCAAACTCAAAAAAAGGATCGCTAGAAGTCCAGTGTCAGTTTTGCAGGGGTTTGTTCTGTCACATAAATATTGGAGACATTGATACTTAATGTTGCATTTTCTATAGGGTCAATAAAGTGATGAAGCTGTAATCCAAGCATGAATCCATTTCACTCCAAAATCACCAATGTGAACAGTTTTAGGTTGGGCTAGAAGAAAAGGCAGGGGATCAGCAAAGTCATAATCATTTCCAACATCGGTCAATAGACATTACAGCAACCAAGGGTTCTAATCCGACCTCAGCCCTTTGCTGCATGTCATCCCCCGAACTCTCCTCCCAACTCTTTCTGTCCCTCTTCAGCTGTCCTTTCTAATCAAGGCCAAAAGTTGAAAAAAAGTACAGCTAAAAAAAAAAACATTAAACAACTTTAAAATGAGTTTCCTACAGTTCCTAGACCATGATGGTCCTCAGAATGGTTAGAAAGGTGTGCAATGGAATAGTTCATGTTTGAACTGCAGTGGTACAGGGGGTCTCATTATCCTCCCTTTATCTGAATCTGCAATTTAGATATTCACTAATGTCTTAACATGAATTCAGGCTTGGTTATAAAAGTCTTTTCAAATTCAAAAGGAGGACACCGATAAAGTTTTCTGTGAACTCTCTTCTGACCCTGCTATCAAAAAAAAGCTTTGCCAACAGGAGCCCTCTGTCCTTGGCAGCATATTCTGGCACCAAAATTCAAAGTTAAGCCCTCGTAAATGAGATGCACAAGTTGAGTGCTCTAGAAGAGTGAGATTAAATTCATAAAATGCACATGATCACTATCTCCTACCTTCCTGCGGTACAGCTCCTCGGGTGTTGTCGACCTCAGGCTGACCAGACGGTAATTCTTCATCACGGTGCGGGGGCGTTTGCGTGGCGGAGCGAACCGCTCCATCTCCGTCACGTAGTACAGGCCCTGCTTGATGTAGCCAAAGTAGCGGGCTTTGGCTGAGGACTCTTCATCTGAGTCAGAGTCGCCGCCGTCATCGCCATCCTCATCCTCACCGGCTACTCCGCTCAGGTTGCTCTCCAGGCGCCCACGCTTCTGAGCCAGCTTCACCTCACACTGTGGATAATAAAAAATAAAAAAATCAGCATTAAAGACGGGAAGGAGGTAAACTCAAAGATAAAAAAAAAAAAAAAGGATGGGAAAGAAGGAATTAAAAATAAAGGTGCACTAGAGGATTTATAACAAGAGATAAAACAAATACACAAGTGATTTAAACATTACTTTTATAATACTGCTAACATATGGCTTTAAAGTGATCATAAAGCTACAGCTGTCGTTCTACATCAAAGTACATCTGTTTGGTTGGCCTAATTGAAAAGAGACAGCTACAAAAACAGAAGAACGCCTATTCTCCATGATTGAGAATGTCAGATTTACAGGTTTTGCCCAGATTGGCTTTCTAATGCTGAGTATGGACACTTCTTTGCCAGCAGGAGGTGAGGACTGAAAAATGAAGCGTGGAATGAATGCAGCACACTTTACATCTAGCTGTGCTTAAGCGGGTAAACACACTTAATTTAACAGCCTCGTGCCGGATCAGCAGGCTGTCTAACAACAGCAAGGTCAAGCTGCTCGATAGGACATCTAAATCTACGCTGTCCAAAGAACTTTTCCCAACTTTCCTCGCCCTGTTCTGTAGTTTTGTGATTGTTCATTTTTCATCAGTCCTCATATTCTGTAATGACACCCCCCCCCCCCCCGGGTTTTAGATCTCTAGAGAAAAATGCTAACCCCTCCAGCTGAGCTCTGCTCCCGTACAGGGTGTATGAAATATTTAGCACCTGTAAAATGTTAAGAGCCTTAATCAATGGAGGAGGCAGCCTTCAAAGTGCTACACTAATACACGACCCCATCACCACAGACAGGAAGATGCACATGTTGTTATCATCATAAACACACAAGGTCACAGTTATGCACATCTGTGGAGGCGTAAACGCACAACAAGCTTCATGTTGAAGGTAATTTCAAGAAACATTTCACAGAACACAAACCCTCAGCTGTGTAACCAGCTGCACACGCACCCATCCCTCTCTCCATGCTCAAGCAGGCTGATGAAACCTTTCTAAAAAGTTGGCAGCTGGCTGGTAAAGAAATGCTTCTCCCTCTATCGCCCTGTGTCTCTCTATGCAATCAGAGAAAAAAGAAAGAAAGACTAAGGGCCGGAAAAAAAGAAAAAGGAGTGTGATGGGAGATCAAGCTCTTTGTTGGGGGATAAAAAGGAGGGATACATATTTCATCATGACACGTTTCGACCATTTTACAGACACATATATGCAAGTTTTTCAACAATAAATATAATGTCGACTAGATGATCATACAGGACTTTTCCTTGGTGAGAAACAAAAAGCTGTCCTCCTCAGTGCCATCACATCAGCCTGCTATTCAAAGGATCTATCGAAAATCAATGCATACATCTGTGCTGTAAAACCATGATGGATTTAACTGCATACCATGCTCGCTTCACAGAAGAAAAGGTACATTCAAAAGCACTTTGTAGTTGTAAACGTTCAATTTTGAAACAAAAGATCTGACAAATCCATAAAAGACCCTTGACCCGTCTGATCTAGTCCCTTTTTCTCTCCTGGTGCATGCTGGGTCAGGCTCCAGGCTTATGTGAACAGGAACTGAAGATGCACTTAAGAAGAAGGACATAAGGATGAATTGTTTTCTGTTGGACAATATGCCTTTAGTAAGCCTGAAGGCAGAGATCTTTTATGTAATACTGGTCCTAAAAGATGCACATGAGCCTTAGAGATCATTCTATGACTTTACAAAACGGCCTCTCTCTGTTTACTTTACCACACACATACTGTACACACACACACACACACACACACACTACTGTCTTGACATTTACCTCAAGGCTGAGGAAGCCCCCATCGTGTGCTGCAGTGACTCGAGGTGACGACTCAAACCACTCGCAGGATTTCCCCAGCAGATTGCGAAGCGTCCTAACAGAGGAGACGGTAACGGAGCCGGAGCAGCGAGCCAGGATCAACACGTTGTCACTCCACCAGCTCACGTCCACAAGTGGGTAGTACTGCTCCTTATCTGGGCCAGGCAAAGACACGAGGGAGTTGTTTAGTTTTACAAATGAGGAGGAGAACGCAGCAGAACCTGTTTTTATTTGATTTAGTTAGTTATCAATCACACCTTCTATAATCGTGCACTCTTATTTCTTAACTTTTTTGGAATAAGTTTCCTTCCCTGAGATATTTACACATGTGGGCATATCTATCACTTGTCATGCATGGGATGAAGACTCACACAGATTATTGCTTACACAAGCTGTCACAGCTACCATCACTACTGGCCCGAAACTGTCAAAAAAACAGACTGTACAGCTTCACAAACAGGCCCACACACCTACACATACAGGCAGTTACACAAGCACAGAGAGGCGCACTCAAAAGCACGGACACAGTGGAGGAGAAAAAATATTTGCAAAAGCCTTGATGTTCTCTGTGCGCTTGTACTTGTAAATAACTGTAGAACTGTGTGAATAAGAAGTGTCAAAGATCATTAAATTGTATCCAACGCTGTTCTGCTGTGTCAGCAACAAAGTCGTCTCTCCCCGGCCCCTCAGGCCAAACTACCTTTTATTTTCTTCCGCCTCTCCAGCGATGTCTTCCACTCTGGGTTGATCTCCTCAAATCCTGGCTGCGGGGCGGACCGAAGGACCAAAGAGGATGGGAGGATGAGAAGAAGTAGAAGAAGAAGAAGAGAGGGAGAAGGGAAGGGGGTGGGGGGGTAAATCTGCTAACCCTGTTTACACTTTCAGCACACATAGCGGCAATGAAGCAGAGCATACACACACAACGTATAAGTCGGCGAAACATGACAAGTATAAATTCTCTGTAATCCATATCACTTGCTGTTTAATGGCAGAACAAATAGAAATATACACACAGTCGCTCCCTCTCTCCATACACACATACAGTATGTCGGCCAGAGAGCAATTACATTAATACAGTTAGTCAAGCATCGAATGTCATAAATGTACAAAAAAAACATCACAAACAACAGCAGTGCACAAAGGTGTGCTCAGCATTAGCTAAATCATGCATGCTTACACAAAACAACACAAGCAGCTTAAGAGGTGTTCTGTTGTACCTGCTGGTCTTGGCTCCATGCGGCCCTCTGTCTGAAGGAGGGGACGTCCCACAGAGACAGACGCCCAGAGAAGTGGATGACAGCCAGGAGGGTACCGTCCGGACTCAGACTCATGCGGAACACGCCGTCCTGGACATGACAAAATGCAGATACGTAATTCTTTTTTTTTTTTAAACCATTTACTGATTGCCAGATCCTTCCCATTAAGCTTTTAATGACAGTAGAGGGCAATGGAAAGGAGAGAGTTGTGTTACCTTTTCATCCCCCTGTCTGGAAAATAATCTGAAGCTGGGCATCCTGAGGAAACCTCTCTTCTGGTTCTAGATATAGACAATATATGACAAAATATGTGTGAGAGGTATATTAACTTGAATGATTTGTGCAAAAACAGGTGTGTGTATGTGTGTACTGGTTCCCTCACTGGATCAACGTCGTCCTCGTAGCTGGTGACCTGCTTGTAGTGAGGTGAGCCAGACAGAGTCCTCCAGGCTGTAATCCCGCAGCATGAGGCCTTGGATGTGATGTCATCCCCTGACTCACAGCCTCCCACCAGCAGCAGTCTGAAACACAAAAACATACGCACATAGCCATGAAAACCACACATTTGATCGTGCCCTGACGGATCTATTGGTTTATAAGGTGGTCACTGTGAGGTCATTCTGTCGCCTGGGTCCAAGCCAGGGTATCAGTGAGCACTCACACTTCTGATGTGCCATTTAGCAAAGAAGCAGGAGTCATTTATCGGACGTTTGTTTCACAATCAATGGCCAAGCACAGATAAGACACGAACAATACCGCAGTGACCACAGTGATCAGCGGGTCTCTCCTTGCAGAGAAACACAGCAGATGCAACAACAGTCAGGAACTCTTAAGAGAGGAGGTTTGGGTGAAGCAGAGCTGTCCAGCTCAACACTGCCCCCTAGTGCAGAGACACAGGACATATAGGAAGATCTGAAAGAGCTGTGAGGGAGTCTGCAAATTGATGGGAAGTGTATTATTCTTTCAAAAGGGTAGGTCAGGTGTGAATAAAGCCAACTTCCTGTACAGTGTTGGAAACAGATGTTAGTCGACTAATAACAAGTAAACATAAACACTGTTGCAAGATAACAATGTTGACTTTAAAGACTAATAAAAAAAAATAGAAATCCTCTTTGTGTTAGGTACTTTTAGGAATGAAAGCTTAAAAACCAGTGGGTGCGTTTTTAATTCCAACTTTAAAAAAAAAAATAGCATTAAATTAATTTGAAACTGCTTCATGTGTATTTATATGGACCGCAGTTTTCAGTCCATAATAAAACATCATTTCTTATGGGTGTGTTTGTTTGTTTAGAGCAATGAAGTTAATAGTAATATTTAGGAACCAAACTATTAAAGACTTAGAGAAGTGAAAACTACATTTCCCTCCTATGAGTGGTCCATAAAAAACTTAAAATGTTTTCAAAATGGTATCATCTGATGAATGCCTGAGTCCAAAGATGGTGACAAAGTCATCTTGTGGCATGAGTAGGTCTTGCCACCCTTTAGCTGATATACAGTTTCATTTGAATTCTAAAGAAAAGTAACTAAAATTTGACTCAAGTGGACACAAATGTACATACTGTCAATATACTCTGCTCTGCATATTCTGCATATTCATCATAACATGCAGAATATCAACTCTGACAGCAGTTTGGAATCATTACTTCACATCTGGAAACATTTCCCAGTATCTGTGAGCACATCTGTTCAGCTCATCATACATGGCACACACTCCAACAGTGTCTTTGTTAACCTTAACAGGTAACAACTTCACAGCTCTACCATACATACCTAATAAGTATGTTCAGCTGTTAGAATGACTTTTTTTTATACCCACCTCCTCACCTTCCCTTTTTTCTTACTCTCTCTGTTGCTGACCCACTTTTCACACAGGGATCATTAAAGTTTCATCTCATCTATCAGTTGGCAAACACTTGACAGTAGCTGCCAAAATCCATTAAGCTGCCAAACCAAGCTTCACCAGCCAAACTAAACCTGGTTTGTGCAGACCGGGGGAGTGTGGAGAAAAGAAAAAAAAAAACAAAAAAAAAAACAGTCAGGCCATGGGTGTGAGCAAGACATAATTAACCCAAACCTCTGAATGCTACGTGATGAGGGAGGCCAAAGACGTTTTAGGCTGCTATCGTGAATTCCTGTAGGTATTGCATTAAAAAGATTGCCTCATTTATTCCTTCGTAGGCTTCCTAGCCCTGATCCATAATGTAACATCCCCCTATGCCTGAGAAAAAGTATGTACATTAAAATAACTTGTATTCACTGCTGCTTTTTTACAGTTTATTACGGACCAGGTTTCATTGTTTGTTTTATTTATATTGAACTAAACTGTCTGCATAGGTCTCAGTTAACTGAACTTTAATGCAGTAAATTGACACTATCCTTTTTTTTAATTTATTTTTTTAACTGTGATCAATAAAATACATATTTATGAGCATATTGACGACACGTTGCAGTCTACTCATACTGCCCCTGGACATCAAATGATGAAAGCTCTTGAAATCTCTCAGCTACTTTCCAAACTTGGTTATTTAAGCTGTACGTGCCATCGTGTAGCATCATCATGGGCAATGAGTTTATGGGTGAAAAATTGATTCAAAGGATTTAAAAGCATGTCTGTAGATGTTTAAATTTAAATGTGGGAACAACACTCTTGATGAAACAGTGTCGTAACAGGACTGTGGAGGCCACAGAGGGGGGAAAAAAAAGAGTATCAAGAGAATGTGTTTATTTTGGCAGCATGTTAATTTTGTATTAATCGAAATATATTTTGCATGCCCCTTATGTCGTAATTGAACCAACTTACCGATGTACAGGATGGTAAATTGCCGAGGTGATGCCATGGGAGTAGTGAGTGGAGAAACTGAAGCTGTGATTCTCCTGGAAGTTCTGATTGGTTCCCACACTGAGAGGGAGGGAGAGGACAATGAGAAAAAAAAAATGTCACCTATAATTGCACTGAGGCAAACAAACAATCAAAACACGAACACCCATGTGCAAAATGTTAATGGTGCGACAAAGCTGTTTTGGGGGGAAAGATGACAGAGCAATTTGAATCGCGGCAGCAATTAAAATGAGACATGGCGAAATATATAATCTAATCTAAGTGGGCAATCTAAATTAGATTGGTACTAGAGGAGATGTCGTGTAATTTGTGCAGAGGATCTCACTGGGGAAATGTTTCATTGCCATGTAAACCGGTAGAGACGAAGGGAAGGAAAGAAGAGAAAGGACAAGGAGGGAGGAAAGTGAGCTTAGAGGGAAAAAGACGAAAGATTCCCACGGTTCAGCTTCCTCGGGACATTTGAGCGTTAATGCCAAAGTGAAGCAGTCGTGTCTATTTGAACTCACACACACACACACACACACACACACACACACACACACACACACACACACACACACACACACACACACACACACACACACACACACACACACACACACACACACACACACACACACACACACACACACACACACACACACACACACACACACACACACACACACACACACACACACACACACACACACACACACACACACACACACACACACACACACACACAGCTGCCACAGAGAGAGAGAGAGAGAGAGAGAGATGACTTACTGTGGAGGCTCAGCAATAATTCTAAAATGCTAATTCAAAGTGTTTGAGCAACAATATTGGAATGCAGTCATATGAAGAAGAAGAGTGAGTTTAAGCTCCGTACTGAAAATGAACCTTTAAAAACAAGCCGGCACTTTCAGAGTAAATCCGGTGCAAATGTCTCGCACATCTTAATTACCTCCTCACACACACACACAATCACACCTTGGTGGCTTCAAAGGCAGAGAACACCATTTATCTGCCTGTAATAGAAAAAGTAAATCACCATTTTCTACCCGCTCTTTGCAAACATCACTATGCACACAGAACTGGAGGGAAGTCACAGAGTGCAGGATGTCGTCTGATTTGATATTCAACACACAGACACAATATCATCCCGTGTCTTGGAGTGTCAGCACACCAGGGCTTGGTGTGACTGCAGCAATCATACTGGAATTAAATGAGAAATCTGTGAAATAATTCCAGGTTAATTAAAAAAAGAGAGGACCAGGGCAGCCATGAGGAAAGCTAGCATGTAGAATCTTGCATGTACACACACACACTCAGATGGCATTGATCAAATATTCTAAATGTGTATTTGCGTTTTTGATTGAGGACTGCTTTGCAAAGGGATTGGTATTCAAAGAGAGGTGCAACCAGCCCCTAACATATAGACAAAGCATGTGTGTGCAACATGCATGCATTGAAATCAGCTGAAAATAAAGCAGCTCAGGAACAAAATCCAAAAAGGTTGTTTGAAGTTTTTGGTTTCTGAATGTTTTTGCTTGTTTTAAATTCCAAAAAATATATATTCACTGCCTCATTTATATTTGTAAAACATCCAAAGCTTATGATCTTTCATTTGAGGGGGGGTTACTGCATCTAACAGGATGTTTATACTGTATGCTGCCCTGTATCAGTAGGAAATGCATATATCTTTATTCAGAATATTTTATTTATAATTGGAAATTTTGGGGCCATTTGAATAAAAAAAAGAGCTGTCCAAACAGGATTGTGGTTGCTTTCCTGAAGGCTCTCGGTTGACCTCAGTCATACGTTTCAGAGCAAACACTCACTTTAAATCATTTTGAGTGACATCTAATTTCCACCCTCCAACTTCAAAATGGACTGTGTAGCGTTGATCCATTAAATACATTAATTAAAAGTTCAAGGGGATTCAAGCAAATACTCGTGCAAGACACGGTGCAGGCAATCTGTTCCATGGGTATGATGAACTGTCTGCACATGTCCATGCAAGGGCTGCCATTGCTCTTAATGATTTGATTTTTGATATGTTTTGGAAGGATGCCGAGCGTGATGCAATCAGGTGGGGTCCCAATGGAACACTGAGCTTATCATGAACTGAGCGCTATAAGCAGTTGGCCCAGCTGCAAACCTTCAACTTAAAATGCCCATTTACATTTAACCATTAAAAGCAGTCAAACTGGTATTTGACTAGTAAAAGATAAAAAGCAGGGTGCAGAATATACAGTGGATGCCTTTCAATCAGTCCATTATCAAGGAGTACCAAACACCGCACTTGAGATCAACTGTGACTTATAAGATACTATGCTACTTTTAAACGAAACAGTGAACCGGATTTGTCTCACCTGACGAGGTAACTCTTGAGTCCTCCACCGTATGTGATAACAAGCAGCTCAGCTGACCACTGTGCGCTGGCTGTGTACTCCAGAAAGATCAGGCCAGCCACTGCACAGCTGAAATCCCCAGGAAAACTTACCACCTGTGTGAAAAGAGAGGGGAGGGAGAAAAACACAAACTTCAAACTAAGTCAAGGAATATGTCAAACTGAGATACTTTTATTTTTTTCATCTATGTTTACAATATTTAGATTTTTCAGTTTTCATCCTCTCCTCCAGAAATAGCTGTAAGTCACCAGTATAAAGCATCCTTTTTCCATGGAATCCATTTTTTTTCTGAACTGTGCCTTGTTTTTTTCCTCCCCTGTTTGAACACCTTAATAGAAATGTGTGAAGCCATCACCGTGTCTCTCTACGCTCTGTGCGTCTTGACGCAGGCAACCACACTTGACGATAAATGCACGATGTTGAAAGATATTAATGAAAACTGGTGGCTCTATGGTCTCTGTGTTAGTCTAATGTTTAACTCTACATCAGTGATTACATTAGTGTATAAGTCCGGTCCTCTGAGGTCCGTCAAGGATAATGAAGGCGAGACGGCGCTGATGAAATATGTATGGGGCGGACTTTTCTTTTTTGTTTTTATTTGTTTATAACGTCATAATTAAAGTGACTTATTGGAAACAGCTCACTACATGCGCGATTATAGCCTAAATAAAACCATCGGTTTGAATGATTATGATGACTAGGATCTGTCAGTAAAGTTTGATATTTAGTGAAATAAATTGTGGAAGAGACATCAATATGTATCTGCAGGCTTCAATTCACCACTTCTCCGTCTGTGTCGCCAATTTCCCCTGCCTCCAAAATGAACGTACGCCAGGGTCACAGTTTGCTTACCGGTGCGCACATTTTACCGCCAGCTTTGTTTTTATAGATCACAAACTTTGCGTGGGGAAAAGGCGTACGCCAGTTTCAGACCCTGTTTTGTGCGTACGCAACGGTTATAAATGAGACCCCTGGGCCTTGTGCCCTTAACACAAGCCTGTTCAAGAGGGTCAAAAGGCCATCTTAAATATTTTGATGTTCCGCTTTGATTAATCAAAATCCCGTTGGATTCCCTCCAACATGCATAATAAATAAATATAAATGCATAATAACGCCTGGACTTCGTTGTCGGTCCATTTCTCCGTGTTACCCTCCATTTTTTATGATTTACAGAGCTTCTTCAACTGATATTTAGGCCACTGTTATTTGATAACATTTACTGTGGGATTTAAAAAATGGCGGTTGGTGGTACTGGATTGGCTTTTGTGTTCGACCAATCAACGTACACTAACGAATGGAATCCCGTGCATGTACGTCACTCAAAGTCCCTCTTGTGATGAGAGAGTACCTACCATGAAGCAGGAGCTAAAACGGTTCCTCTAAACAGGGTTATAGGAACTAAAATAGTTCATAGGAAACAATAAAAAAGAGGGAAGATTCCAACAGTTCATAGAACGAAGAAAAAGTTCCTGTGGTCGGAAAAAACCATGACATAGAGGAGGAAACAGAGCAGCACAGCAGAGCAGGTGGTGCTGGTGTTATTGTGCAGACACAAGAACTGGAGATACATAACCAAGCAGAGTTGCACTAAAGGAATGAAGATCACAGACTACGTGAGAGAGGTTTGACTGGGGCCCTTTGGTTCTGATTGAGCAGATGGAGGAACGGGAGGTGTGATGGGACGGAGATGGAGGAATGATAATGCAGAGCACACAGAGGGCATTGAAGTGAGGCCAGATGGACTTGAAATGGCAGCACACAAGGAGAGCTACTGAGACACAGACATGCAAGGATGACAGAAATGCTGCAGAAGAGACGGAGAGGAGGATCTAGGGAGTGGCACACGTGTGAAGCATTAAAGAGAGGAGTCGAGAAGACGGAGAAGAAAAGAAATGGAGACTGTGGGCAAACAGGGGAAAAGAAAGGAAAGCACAGAGGACGTCTGACATGGGATGATTTCTTACAGGTGACAGGCAGCTCAAAGTGCCAAGTAAAAGTGTGCTACTCTGAAACAGCAGAAAATGAAGCAGCCAGTCAGTTTGGATGTCTGAACTCTAAAAAAGGCGTCAATATAAAGAATCACATTCAGTCAAATCTGCTATCCTTTAGTCACAATCTGCTGCCAAACGTCCTTCATTAACTTTTAATGTGTCTGGTGATTTTACTCTGAGAGAAATCGAAGCAGCCTGCACAATTGATCATATTCACAAGCTCAAGGTGGGAAGCTAATGTTTGTTGTTTTAACATGGGGATTCAGGCTAATTGTATTTATTCCACAGCTTCTCAATCAATAGGTAACTAAGATAAGAACAGGGACGAACGGATGGATAGATGATCATTTTCTGTGGAATTGTTCTGTATTGTGCGTTACTTGTAAACTGCATTCGGAGTCCTTTAAAAATAACCGCCTTAGCATTTGATAATGTGTTATGAAACAAGGGCAAGGTGTAAAATGTCTAAGCTAGCTGGTTAATAAAACTGTAAGAAAAGGAATATAACAACATGCCAACAGGTATGTGTCCTGTAACACTACACGACTGATCACAAGTAGAAACAAGGAAGCGTTTGAACACATTTTGTCACCTTTTTGCTGACACCTAATGCATTCAAACGCTTAATAGTTGACATCATCTTTAGACCGACTGATGTGATTGGATAGGAAAGGTGTCAAATTCTTTAGCTAACTAGTTAGTATAATCATTATCATTAATACTAACATTTCCTATCATAACTTGTATCACTGCCACTGAATGTTTAATCTAAGATAGGAATTTGTAAGTTGTTGTCTTGCAGTAGAAGATGAGTTCATATGTTGTAATAAATGTTGGAGATAACCTATAATATCTTTAACTCTTTACCTTTTTTATTATTTTAACTTTATATGTTGTTATTTTTAACTCTTTACCTTTCGTATTTTAATCACACATATTATATTGCTATTGTGTGCATTATTAGTCTCTACTTCTCAATCGATTTTCCTTTGTACTTTTGAGGTGTTGTTATTCATTTTGCATTTGATTTGTATGAAAGGTATAATAAAAACAAAGCTTGATCGACTGAATGTTAATACTTAGCCCTTTGTCAACATTGTCTTGTTGTTGCCGATCATTAAAGAAGAGGTCAAACGATTTTGTAAGATTTCTCTACGTTTGGAGCGCTGGTAGCGCAGTGGTTGGTGTGGAGGCTATGGTCCTCAGGGTGGGTGGCCCAGGTTAGAATCCGGCCTGTGGCTCCTTTTCCGCATGTCATTCTCTACTCTCTCTCTCTGATTTTCAGGGATCTTATCCTATATCTCCATTAAAGGCCCAAAAAGCCCCAAAAAAAGACTGTTTACTTTTCAGTATTTTGCGATCTGAAACAGTCGTAGGACACGGTAACAGTCTTCCAGCTTCTCATCCTGTGCTTGATGTCAGAGCAAAATAGCTGGCCTGTGAATGTGATGAATGCGTTCCAATAATGAATTCAAGATGATTTGAACAGTAATTAAAATCAGAAACAAAAACATTGTAACTGAAACAGTCACCTCAGAAACATTGGGAGACAATACTGAAAAGAAGCCAAGTGAACACTGCGTTTCTGTATGCTTACACCAATCAATGTGCACACTGGGAAAAAAATATATATGTATATTTTTCAATGCTGTCAAAGAGGAGGGACTGGCATGGTTACCGGCGGGATGACAAAGAGTTCGCTGCCCATGAGGTCAAAAAGACGCGTGGTGCCGGTGCTGTCGGCGTAGGCCAGCAGGGTGCAGTCATGGCTCCACGCCACCCTCCTCCACTGGGGGTTTGGGTCCTTTGGCACTGTTGGATGAGAAAATAAGAATCTTTTAAAGCTCATGGAAACACAGAAAGAGAGGGACAAGTAATTTAAGGGACCCATGGATTTCTTATTAAACCAGATGAGACGAGTCTCTGCAAATAATCCCCAGTGTTCTGCGGTAAGCCCATGATGAATACAGATGGGAGAGGAGGGATAAAGCTAATGCATAACATCAACACAGAGTGTCTAAGGACTCATCCAATTCATCAATGGAGGATAGCTGGAGTAATACATCTAAATGATTGTCCCTCAATGTGTCTCGCACACTCACGACGGGGAGAGAAAGGTGGAGCGGAGAAAAGTGGGGAGGAAAACTGGGATCATAAATCCTGCTTTTATTGAAGTATAGGCTACTGTTTTAGCAATCTGCTGGCTCAGCAGCGCTGTGAGTGTAACCATATCGCTGTTATAAAGCACATCCCAGCCTGCTGGCACTTTCTCAAGGCTTCGCTGTCAAACTGTCTGAAAGAGGAGCACGGGCAGTCTGGCAGGCTTCAGATGCTGAATCTGATTTGAATAACTGATTACCTTAAACACAATTGCGGGGGGGGGTTAGGGTATTTGTGCACACACTCTTTGTTCTGTGCGATAGAAAACTGTGAACAACATTTAAGTGTAACTAAGGACAATCCTTAACATTGATTTCAGCATTGGAGAACAGTGTGAATGCGCCACCACGGGTGCTGCGCCTGCTAAGCAATAAAGTTATGAAGAGGAAGTTATGTTTTTGTTGATATCACATAACAGCACTATTGGCAGTTTATTGTATTGAATTCCTTGGCTGAGTAACGCTGCTGCAACCCCTGGTGGGCAATACCGCAAACGAATGGAGGCGTCGGGATATTGTATGACTAGAATTTTAAATGAAGAACCAAGGGAAGGTAGTGGGAGGCGAGACAGACAAAAAGAGAATAAGAGAGAATAAGACAAAAACAATGAAGCCAGCACCCACTGAGAGGAATAATGGCTCCCCAAATTTTAAAGGCCTAAGTATCAGAGAGCGCTTCGTGGAAGCAGGCGATTTAACTCACCTCTGAGACTTTGGGTGAGGAGGAGCAGACAAGAACATGGAGACATTATGAGAGTCATAGATACCAAGCGTCAGCTCTGTTCTTTTCTTCTTTTTTTGCCTCCTATTTCAATTTGTTCCTCTACTTCACTCTCACCGCCTCCCATCTTATCTCTGGCTCCCATTATGAATTGTACACAGTGTGTTGTTCTGTGGCTAAGGGAGGGGGCTCCATTTCCACATAGATGGCTTTTTTGGGGGGGGAGCTGGAAAATTGGATCCTACTGTCCTGTTTTTTTTTTCGCTTTTTTTCTCCAAGCAATTGCAGGGGCGGAAGTTGGGAAGAATTACACCCGACGACCCAACAGAAGCGTCCTATCTAAAGGCCTCGCAGATGCATTTATCAGAGCTCAACTCTTATGAATTATGTACGGGGGCGGTAGACGACTCTGCTGTAATAGGAGGAGACAGAGAGGGAGGGGGGAGAGAAAGAAAGAGACAGACAGTGATACACAGGTGTAGATACACACACACACACACACACACACGCACACACGCGCACACGCCTCCATTAAAAGTGAATGCCACAAAAAGCAGGATCACAGAAGAATCCATTAGGACAAATCTCCGTGAAATGAAATGAAGTAAAAGTAAAATGAAAAGGAGAAATGAAATGAAATGGAATGGGGGAAAGAAGGAGGGGGGGGGGGAGAAGGAGTTTACACAGGCCTAGGGACAACTGTTATCCACACGATGAGCATTAGAGCGCCGACGCACAATGATGGCCAGCCTGAAATGAACAAATACTGAGACAGACAGACAATTGGCAGGAGAGAAAACTAAATGAGAAAAAAAGACAGAAAAGACAGAAAAAAGGAGACGGGAGAAGGCGAGGAGTTGAGCTAGAAAATATTGACAAAATCAAAGTTTGAATATGGGCTTTGTACTGAGCACTTTGTTTTGTTTGGAGCAGTGTCTGTGTGTGTATCACAACGAGTTTTATGCTGTCAAATAAATGTAGACTTGTTTTGAATAATGTCTTCTTTCTGATGTTTCTGATGGCTTTTGTTTTGGATTGTTGATAAATTAAAGGATGAGTTCTTGGCATAGACTGTAAACAGGTTCTTGGTTTTGGTTTCTTGCTATTTCAGTGAATAAATGACTACAGTCACTTTCTAGAAGCCAACTTTGACTCTCTGATGCTTGGTGATGGCCAGTCTTGGAAACCATCTGCCATCGTCTGATCTGGAAGTATGTGCCAAACGATTGCCAGCTTTTCTGTAACTCTATTGTGTTCGCTTTAAAACAACTTCCAGCCAGGTTTCCTTTTTGATGTGCAGCATTGTTTACAGTCTAATTAGCCATTTCAGAAGTGATCATGTGTTCATATCAAACGCTAAGATATTTCTGCAAAGCACACACTTTCATTTCCTAGCTCCTTACATCCCCCGAGGAGCGCCTGTTCATCTGTTTCTGGGGAGTCTCAGTTTACCTGTAATAACTAAGTTACACAGAGGCTTCAGTCTGGAATATTTCAGCAATATGCACTGGAAAAGGAATCCAATTCTTTTGTGATTTACTTGCACTGACAGGTCTTACATAACAGCATTATGATGCTGATTTGTAAAAGGCGAAAATGCAATCAATTTTCCGCCTGCTGAACACAATCTGCCATAGTGAAGTTCCAGGATGAAGGTTACTGTAAACCTTGCAATCTGTAAAGAGAGATTTGGTGCTAGCATGAAGCATCCAGTAAGTTGACGAAAATAATAATAATAGTAATACATTATTAAAATAGCTGCCTGCCGCTTGTGTGCCTAAAAACCAAAACATCGAGCTGAAAGGTGTCTTAGTGATCAGCAGAGCAGCAGGAAGCTTTTTAGTTTTGGAAAAGTCTTTTTCATTATGGCTAAAACAAAATGTTTGATTTGTGCAGCTGTCAGTTAAAAGGTTGATTAAAAGTGTGTGTGTGTCGTAAGTCGAAACTTACAGAAACTTTGTACCTCGCTGTATTTTATAGCAATTAAAACCAAGACAGCAGGCCACTGTCGCAGCTAATCAAACAATAAAGTCTATTTATTCTTATCAGCCACGATGAGGCTGTGTTTCATGAGTGACGGTGTGGGGGAAGAGGCTGATTATTGGCGCTGCTTTTCCAGTCTCTTTCTCACCAATTCCAATTAGCCTCGGGGGTTCGATAGTTCTCTTTGAAACAGATTCAAAGTAGACAAGTACAAACACAGGCACGGAGGCTAACATATACACACACACACACGACCACAAATATAACTACAGGATAACAAAAACAACCTATCGCTAATTAAAAACTAAACAGTCCAATGTGGGCGGGACTTGAGAGCGTTGAGGCTACTTCTGTCTTTGTGTCTGGACAAAGAAGAACCACAGCAGAGTCCAAAATCATTCCACTGTTTACTCACTAATGAACATTCAGCACTTCACTCTAAATTGAGAACTGCGACTGTAGGCACTCATGAATCCTCATCGTTTGCATCGTCGCTGACTGATGTATGGTGTTGAATGATTGTACCCCAAGAATTTGAAAATGTGGAAAATGACACTTTGGGATTAACAGACGTGTAATAGCCTTGAAATAATGTTTTTAAGTAAAGTTTGATGAAATATAAACAAAGCTTGATGGTATAGCTTTTTTCCAAAGCTAATGTGATGAATTATGGACGATTTTATCCTCAGCAAGATGAATTTCTGATTTCATTCCTGACAATGTTACCCCAATTTATTGCAAAGGTCATTTGTTAAAACTGTATTAAGATAATGTATGGAAGCCTTTAGAGGAATATTCAAAACTCCAGTGACTTTACAGATTGTGTCCATTTTTACATTTCAGGCAATAAAAAGAACAATATAGAAATAGTCAATCTTCATGCTGATACTCTTGTATGTCGTAAAGAGTCATTGTTTTGAATTTCAGGCTGTTTCTGAACCAGTTAAAAGTCTTCACTGTAGCTTAAAGCTTAAAGTTTAAATATAAACATTAAATTAAAAATGTGATTCTCGAGAGTAGCTTCATAATTTCTCACATTGACTATTTGAATATCACTTTTTTAATCACATACTTGCATTTTAAAAGCTCTCACACTCTGTTTTTTTGTGACCATCGGATTTGTATTTGTTTTCCCAACCGTTAACATATTGAAAAAAATGTTTATATTAATTTTGTGATAACAATTTTAGCTATATTAAACAGCACAGAGACATATCTATTCTCCCCCCCCCCCCCCCAGCAGTCAGAGCTGCTCAAACCCACAGCTTCCAGCACAACATAACTCTCCTCGACCAGCATGGGGGGCCTACTCACACTGTCATTACATTGACTCTACATCACAACCATAACCAGCACATTTATGAAGAAAATGGGGTGTTTAGTGAGGTGAGTCACAGTTGTTTATGTCATTTACAGAGAACTGCGGCATATGAGTGATAAAAGAGAGGGGGAAAGGTCTTACCCTGGCACTTCCCGATGACTGAGCCAAAGTCATCTCTCACAGACCTGTGGAGAAAAACACGGACACAGAGACAGAGTGAGAGGCACAACAGGGATACACACAGTAGAGCCTCATATGTCCTCTTGGTCTAAGTTGGGTTCTAACAGCCACTGATAGCCTGCCAAATAAAGTAGCTCAATGGATCAAGCAGACAGGGCCTTGAGAGGAGGCAGTGTTTAGACAGACTCTTAACAGAGCTCAACAGATGAAGCCTTGAGCTGACTTAACACCCACTCACGTCAACGAATGCCACAAAGCAAAGGCTATAAAGCACCCTGTGATTAAACAACAGTGGTGTGAACAAAGGACACAGGAAAGCCCCGCAACATGAAGCTGTGATGTAAATGGAGATGCTTGATTTCAGCCGGTCAATTATAACAAAGCGCAGGTTGTAGAAATCAACAGAAACGCACTCAAACATACTAATATGTGCATGAAAATAACTTCTGATGATTATGCAGAGTCCTTTGCCCGTCACAACGTTGCTGTTTGTTAGCCTCTGGAGAGGAAGACATACTCATACCTGCTTCACTGCTATTGATTCTCATTTCAATTTTGCTCCATTTAAAGCACTACATTGTTCAATAGTGCACACTGCTGAGTGAGTGCATTTATTCTGTGTACGGGGGAAATTGGATTGTGTCGGAGAAATAATTACAACCACTCAAATTGAGCACAAACACACTCATGCAGATATACGCTTTGGTGTCTCACACACACACACACACACACACACACACACACACACACACACACACACACACACACACACACACACACACACACACACACCACACACACAACACACACACACACACACACACACACACACACACACACACACACACACACACACACACACACACACACACACACACACACACACACACACACACCACACACACACACACAGCTTGTATTTTCAAATTTGTTAGCATTAGTTTTATGTTGCCTGGAGTGGGTACATTTATGCTAACTTGGCTGAAATATTTTAATGACGCGTTTTTTTTTTTTTTTTTTTTAAACACCATTACTTAGCAGGGACTGTTGCTCTTTTTTTTCTTTTTTAAAGGACACGGGATAAATCAGCCAATTAATTAAAAGGCTTTTCATCACTGGCGCTCACAGACAGAGTGCCTCACACAGCGGGATGCAGTTCAATAATTACCTAATCTCCACACACTGGTCCTGAACGACTGCCAGCAGTTTGCCATTACTGTGGAGAAAAAAAAAAAGAGGGTGAAGGGACAGATCACAGACAGAGAGCAAAGAGGGAAAGTGAACAAATGTCATTTGGACTCATCTTTTTGGAATAACGGGAGATTAGAAAAATAAGAGAGAACATTGTGTGTGTGTGGGTGTGTGTGTGTGTGTGTGTGTGTGTGTGTGTGTGTGTGTGTGTGTGTGTGTGTGAAGTAGGGCAGTTTGATTAGAAAAGTGATAAATACTTGGCTAAGAACCCCTGATTGGATGGGTTAAAGAGAGGAGAAAAAATAATAATTAGGAGCATTAAAAAGAGCAACGATAGCTTCAGATGGAAAGAAATGAGGGGGAAAGATTTAAGGGAGGACAGAAACCCAATGGAAGGATCAAGCACTTCAACCTAATGGACAGCCACAGCATCATTGGAGCACGCTGAACACCGTCTTACATGGACTGATCAATAGCCAATTATAAACTGCCTTTCTACTTGGTTCGTCTGTTGTAATGAGTTCAATTAAATGATTGGTAGAGGGGATACGCAAATGGAGGGAAAGACGACCAGGAGAGGAGGAAGGCGCATGTCAGCAACAAAGTAGCCAACATTCAGGTACTGATCACTAAGAGTGTGAGTGTGTGTGTGTGTGTGTGTATGTGATTGAGTGTGTGTTTATGTTGCACCTTGCGAGCACCAGCTGCCAGTTGATCTGCTTGTTTGCCAGACGGACGAGGCCAAGAGGCAAGGAGGAGCTGGACGGGCTGAGGTTGACAGAATCCAAACAAACACAACAATTAGAGGAACACGTTTTAAGTGGGTGTTTCAAAGTGACCAAGTTCACAAAGTTTCGACTACAAAGCTGGAGGGATCTCCAGAAACCATGAGAGGCTCAGAGGTAACACTGTTGCTGTGAATAACAACATGCTTGTTCATTTTGTTTGCAGTGATTGGTTGACAGGTGACAGGTCTGTGTCAGTGAATGTGGAGAAGATATTCATCAATACATAGGCGTGTAAATTGGATATGAATTTAGAGATTGCAACATCGTTCTCTTTGGCGGCCCCTATGGCGATAAGTGATATTACAGTTTTTTTTTTTACCTCAACACAAACAGATTCAAAGATTGTGACATCAATCAGTATATATTCACATCATCTGGGTCCAGCTGTTTAAAAGGTTAACCTGGATAAGAATGACTCTACTCCTACATTCATATCCTTTGATTCTTTTTAACAAGCCATCTTCAAGATTTGGACAAATTAAAAAGGGAAATATTCCGATCACTTTTGAACAGCTGGGCTGGACTCCTACTCGACTATTCTTTGCACAATGAAATAAACATCCTGATCATAGTCCTCTACGAAAACCGGAGGCAGTCTGAGAGACCAAACATGGCAAGAGCAGTTCTATAATATATAAAAAGGTTATTGATTATACTAACTGACCACCTACTGAAAGGGTTAACAGGCCTCAGAGCTTAGAGCTCGACCACTACAGACTCTGCAGCAGGTCACAGCAAGCTCTTTGTTACACTTTCCATCTGATACTTTGCAGGAAGACTGACATGAAAAGGGTCAATATTTTCAGATTCACAACGCTGGAATTTATCTCCAGAAATATATTTACTTAACAGTTTGAGGAGTATTTAAACTTTTGTGCAGAAGAATTTAGGAAGTATAACTAAGCTACATATTGTGCTTACATGATTCAAATTAAAGCTGACTGTTGTTTATTATAAATCGTTTATTAAGTCCAGTAATAATGTTAAGTGAAGTAAAATAAGTTCAGGTTAAGCCACAGTATGTAAATGCTGGTGCTGTGTCTCTCAATAAAAACATGTAAAAAAAAGATCATGATAAAGATGCAACCAACCTTGCTGATCGGGTTCTATTTGAAATGACTTAGGAGGAATCATTTGTAAACTCAGAGACTGTCAATACTGATGCTGCAGGAAACATTAGGGATAATGTAGGTAACCAATAACAAAAAAGATATGCATATGTCATCTTTTTTAGCCAATTTATCAGGTAAATATGACATATTTAACCTTCAAACCTTTAAATCTGAAGGGAAGGCTTATCTTTTATTAAATGAGTAAACGAGCAATTATGGCTCTTGTAGAATTAAACAAGATTAAACTGGATCATAATTCATCTGAATGCCTCAAAGTAAAAGAGCGGGATTTTTGTTTTTAAGCTCATAGTAAATTTGATGTGACTTGTCAAATCATGAGGTAGCTATAAAACATAGCTATATAAAAATGAACAACAAATATGTTCCCAAGACAGGAAATAGCCTGAAAAAAGTTGTATTTACTGGTAACAACAATCTTTTATTGTAAGTATGTTGTTGCGCTTTATTAGTGGATGTAAGAAAACCTTTCATGCCTGATGCCTGCCCAAGAGATAACTGATTTTGTATCCTTAAGATGGATGACAGATTTTATAAGCTGATGATGTCAGAATTATCTTTGTCATCACAATCACAATCGACGCTGTGGATCCTAGCTTCATGTGAAATGTGAGTCCATTTCACATAATATGATGCCAAGTGATGTGCATGTTAAGACAGTAACATACATGAACTTACCTGTACCACAAGTAGTGCAAGATCAAGCGAAATGGTCCTGTAAGAAATGCATCACAGTTAATACACCTTGTACGATCTTGTCTCAGAAAAGAGCGTGAACCGAACACAATAAACTTCTTGCTTGTGTACAAATAGCGATATTTAAGTAAGGCAAGGCAAGTTTATTTCTATAGCACATCTCAGCAACAAGGCAATTCAAAGTGCTTAACACTTAAAAATGTAAAAAAGCAATGACTCCCTTCACTTTAGGTTTATTTTCCTCCTAGCAGCTATACAGAATCACCGGCCTACTTTTACAGCATCTGGTGAGAATATTCTGTCCAAAGCCTTCATTGTATTCTGGATGAAGCAAACACCTAATGTACAACACTTAAAGACATGTGGTTTTATATGTCTTGTAAGTTTTGCACATTTAGGTTCCTGAATTGAAAAGACTATATAAACGATTTGAAAGAAGAAGAAAAAACTGTGAGATGCTGAATTGTGGTGAATCAAAAGGGGTCCTTTCAGGCATGCACAGTATCACAGGTGTGAGAAAAAGGGACTCACCAGTCACTGCTTTAGCGATGAGTGACGTGTTGTGCTCCTTGTTGCCGCGCAACTGCAAAAGGTTAGAAAGCTAAAAGTGAGCGTACAAAGAATTCACTTATTTTCTCCAGCATACAAAGTAACGTCGAGGTTATCACTTTTTTTGTTGTTGTAATAACTATTCTTTAAAGACAAAGTGTCAGTATTTCTTAGGACTGCGTTACTTTGGTTGAGCTGTGCAAAGCTTCGTCAGTCTTGCAGCCGAGTTCTTCTAAGCTGCATAATTGGCGCAAAATTATTAATGCTGTTTTATACACCCAACTTAAGTACCCATTCAACAAATAGCTAAGATTAAAAGTGCATTAAAACACTTTTCTCATTATATGTAAGTTATATGATATAGCATATAATGAGAAATGTTTAACATGCAGTAAATCAGCATGTTTGTGCTACGTGGCTTTGACCGGATGACCCACGCCACTGATTAGTTATCTATCGGGCGGTGTTGTTTAAAACACCATCACACGAAACTGTAAACCAGCTACATGCTCTCTAACCTGTGTGTCCGTCTCTGGCGGCCATTCAGTAATGACAAGTAAGTCGTATAAAATGTTTTCATCTTCGCCTTCAGTCAGGCTTTCTTCGGCCATGTTTACTTCCAACAGCTGTCAGAAGTCTACGGCGAGCAGCGTAGGACAAAATATAAAAAGGGGGGGGGGCGCGTTTGGAAAACTGCATTCAGCGCTCAGGAAAGGCAACGTCAAGGGTCCACTTTACATTCTATGATCTCCTAATAACGTATAGATATGTTGTTGTTATTAAACTCGCCTCCCTGATGAACTATGTTTGTAATTGTAACCGTAATTTACAGAAAAGGGGTAACTACCCGGAACCAATGACATACCGCTGCTTCACCGGTCCGCTAAACGAGTTGTACCGTGCCGAAAATACTAAACACGTTACATCCGGTTGTGTTGATACCGACGCAGCAGCAGTAATGGCAGCGTTTTCTGGTAAGAAGGTGGTTTCTTTAAAGTAGACTCTTTGATGTGAACGCGCCGATTTCACATTTTACTAATATTTTAAAGACATTTAAAAGTCTCATGTGACTACTAAATAACTAAGTTTGTGTGTTTACTCTTCAGAAATGGGCGTTATGCCCTGAAATTGCGCAGGCCGTGGAGGAGATGGACTGGCTGTAAGTGCCTGCTTGATTTAATTTAGCTGAATCGTCCCCCTTTTTTGTGATATCTGTGTGTTTTAAGTTTCTCGTTTGCTGTAAGCTTAAAAAAACAATCAAATTTATGTAAAAAAACTGAATTGCAGGTTACCAACAGACATCCAGGCAGAGTCTATCCCTCTTATTCTTGGTGGAGGAGATGTGCTCATGGTAGGTTAAACCCGTTTACTTTACTTTACTAATTACAAAAACAGTAAAAGTTTGACATGTCATTTTCACTTTTTCTATAGGCAGCAGAAACTGGCAGTGGCAAAACAGGAGTGAGTAGATGACAGCGACAATTAGGTTCAAATGAGAAGTTTAAATTCAGATCGAGAGACATGAGAGACTAACACTTGTCATTCTCAGGCCTTCAGTATTCCAGTCATCCAGATTGTGTATGAGACCCTGAAGGACCAGCAGGAGGGCAAGAAGGGAAGAGCCTCCGTCAAGACTGGTGGAGCTAGTGAGACCACTTTAATATTATTAAATCTTTTTGTTTCATACGCTTACTTAAAATTTGTTCAGAATTTTGTACATGGCGCTCTCGTCTCATAAACACTGTCAGGCTAGTATCATAATAGAGGACGCATTGTAAAACAAACGACCTGTCTAACCTGTTTTGTGTCTGTATTTTCGAAACAGTTTTCAACAACTGGCAGATGAATCCTTATGATCGCAGCACAGCCTTTGGTAAGCTTTTTTTTTTTTTTTCTTCAAATATGAACATTTATGCTGCTGTTGTTCATATTCCAGCTTTGTGTCCCCTCTCCTAAATACAGCTTCTTTTTTTTTATCTGTTTAGCAATTGGTCCAGATGGCCTGTGCTGCCAGAGCAGAGAGTTTAAAGAGTGGCATGGCTGTCGATCTACAAAAGGTGTCACCAAAGGTGTGTGAAGTTCTTCAGATGAATGAATGCAACCTTTATTGCCCCATGGGGTATCTTGCCTCGCACCAACAGCATTAAAACAAAAATGACAAGCATACAGGACAGCACATAATAAACATTCTGTACCTACACCCTGGAGTTCAAAGTGCATATTCAGTCTAAAGGGAGCGCTGTGAATTGGTTAAGATTCACAGCACTGTGAGCTAGATTGAGAAATGCTGCACTTTTGTTTCCTAGTTATCCTGCTACCTAGTTTATTTACACCATCCCATTTTACTTTTAGAATGTTGGAGATAAAAATAATAGTGAAAAACTTCAAGGCAGCAAAGGTGCATTTCACATCCTGTCAATGTCCATGTCTCTCTGTGTCCAGGAAAGTACTGCTATGAGGTTACCTGCCATGACCAGGGACTGTGTCGCATTGGCTGGTCCACCAGTCAGGCAGCGCTGGACTTGGGTACGTTCTTCCACTCTTTAGGCTCCATGCTGCAGAGCGTATATTAAAAAACAGTCACACTAGACCGACAATTCAATCCCAAACTGTATTTGTCTGAACAGGAACTGATAAGTATGGATTCGGTTTTGGTGGGACTGGAAAAAAATCCAACAACAAGCAGTTTGACAGCTATGGAGAGGTAATAATTATGGAAATGACCGGGTTAATTAGATATGCGCACACTTTTTTGGATCATTTTTAAACATGTGTTGTTTTATTTTGCCTCTTTGCAGGAGTTCACTATGCATGACACCATTGGATGCTACCTGGATCTAGACAAGGACCAGATGTCCTTCTCTAAAAATGGTGCTGCCTCCATAGCTCTAATGCTTTTCAACACGATCATGTAAAATATGTGGAATTGATGGGAAAACAGCAAAGTTACACATGCTTCTTTATGTTATCCAGGTAATGACCTGGGTGTGGCGTTTGACATCCCTCAACATGTGAAGAATCAACCTTTCTTTGCTTCCTGTGTGCTTAAGGTATATTAGTGTAAATAAAGGTAGAAAACAAAGTTAACAGGTGCCAGGCTTACATTTCACTAGTTGCCCTTTTTTTCTTTTGTGTGCCACCCAGAATGCAGAGCTGAAGTTTAACTTTGGAGGAGAAGCGTTTAAACATCCCCCAAAGGCTGGATTTGTTGCTCTGGATCAGGCACCCGAGGGACACGCAGTTAAATCTTCTCAGACAGGTGCGTGGATGCAACTTTGTAATATATACATTAAAGGAGTCAAAATCTAAATTATTCTTTACAAGTGTTTGAAATCAAACTCACAATCACATAGAGATGTTTATGTCTGGACTAGATACTATAGTTACTTCACAGTTAAGGTCACAAAATAAAAAATAAACAAAGGCTGCAGTATAAAAAAAAAAATCAGCATTACTGGTTTATTACAGCACTAAACATCTGTGTCTGCTCTGTCTTTGTTTAGGCAGCGCCAAAGTGACTCAGGTGAAAGCAGCATCCAACGCACCCAAAGCTCTGATCATCGAGCCATCCAAAGAACTGGCTGAGCAAACCCTCAACGTTGTCAAGCAGTTCAGGAAATTTGTTGATAACCCCAAACTGAGGTACGACTCTACAGATGTGATGTCAACATTAATTAAAGAAAATTGTCAATAAACTATGATCTACACAAAGAATGGATGTTTGCAAAATGATATTAAAAAGCCTAAAATGTTCTCAAAGCATCATGAAGTGTTAAACCTTTTTGTCAATTTGAGCTCAATGTTCCAATGAGTTTGTACTTCCTGTTTTATACCAGTAGGTGGAGTCAGTGTTTAATTTGATGTGGTTGCACATAAAGTGTTTGTCATTCTGTTGCTACAGGGACCTACTGGTGATTGGTGGTGTGGCTGCCAAAGATCAGTTGGCTGCTCTGGAGCAGGGGGTATGTAGCATGTCTCTGAATACACTTTTAATCAAGTTTCCTGTTTAAAACTGAAGTTCTGCTCTGAGCCCCCCCTTTGCTTTTATTTTCTGCCTGGCTTTTTTTTTTTTTGTTCATTTGTGTCTCTTTTTCATTAAGATTGACATTGTTGTGGGAACACCCGGCAGACTGGACGATCTCATCTCCACTGGGAAGCTAAGCCTGTCCCAAATCCGCTTTCTAGTCCTGGATGAGTGTGTAAGTACAACACATGAAGAGCACTATAATAAACGATAAGTGTCTCTGAAGTCACTAACCGTTTGTCTGCAGCACATTAGAGAAAAGATGTTGTCCAAGTGGTACAACCAAACCATTGATCATGAAGAAACAACATCTTCTCTTCCAGGTGATTGTTTGTTCTGCCACGCTGCATTCATTTGATGTGAAGAAGCTGTCCGAGCGAATCATGCACTTTCCCACTTGGGTGGACCTGAAGGGGGAGGACTCTGTCCCTGAAACAGTCCACCATGTGGTAGTGCCTGTTAATCCAAAAAGCGACCGCCTCTGGGAGCGTTTGGGCAAGAACCACATCCGGGTGAGTCTCTCATGTTAGGTCAAGGACACACATCACGTCTAATTAAAAAACTGAGATTTATTTCTTTATTTTTTTTTATTTTCTTTGATAATTTCTCTAACCAAAGTTTAGTGACCAAGTTTTTGTTGATGTAATATTCATTTTGACCACAAGAGGCTGCTGTGCACCACCATTATTTTGTTTTGTTCTAAAAAAGGATGAACAGTCAAACTTCTTTCACCCCCATTTTCTTCTGTTTTTTTTTCTGGTGTTTTTTTTTTTCCAACTAGCAAAGCTTTTCTTTCCTCTTCAAAATGTTTCTTCTTTTTGAAAAGATGAAGTGTTACTGAGTTTAATGTCCAAAGGGAGAAAACCGATTATTAATTAAGATCTGACTTATTTGTCGCAAGAATGTTCTTCTTTTCCACTGCCTCTCAGGACATCTGTAGATGTTCTACAGACGCTTTTAACCGCAATGTTTAGGATACATGTTTCTATTTATCTCTGCTTTAAATAACATTTTGACATCTTCTCTACTTTGATTCGGCTTTGGAAAGACTGATGAAGTCCATGCCAAAGATAACACCAGACCTGGAGCCAATTCTTCTGGTAAGGATTTTGGATTTGATCCTTTAAGTATGATGTGTAACACGCTTTCTTATTCCTATTATTCTATTTACAAAGGAGCATGGCTATTTTGGCAAATAAATATGTTTATCCATATTTTAGAGATGTGGTCAGAAGCCATCAAGCTGCTGAAGGGCGAGTACATAGTGAGGGCCATCAAAGAGCACAAGATGGACCAGGCCATCGTCTTCTGTCGCACCAAGATCGACTGTGACAACATGGAACAGTACTTCATTCAGCAAGGAGGAGGTAGGAAGCATAAGCCCCACTGGGATTTGACTTTTCAGCTCTCACTGGACAGAATTTTGAATACATAGATCATTCCACATAAAAACTAGATCAGTTTGATTTTTCCATTACAAATCTGTATAATCGCCGATTATTGTACTGTCCTCCTTAGGTCCAGACAGTAAAGACCACCAGTTGTCCTGTGTTTGTCTCCATGGTGATCGCAAGCCAAATGAGCGGAAGACTAACCTGGAGCGTTTCAAGGTAAAAGGACAACAATTCTTTTTTTATTTAGTGCAACTTGTCTGTTGGAGTGTAAATATATTTTTGTGTTCTCAGAGGAAAGAAGTGAGGCTCCTGATCTGCACAGATGTAGCTGCCAGAGGAATTGATATCCACGGAGTTCCTTATGGTAAAGATACTGGATTCTTCTAACATCTTTTCAGATGCTAAAAAACTACCAGCTCATTACAAAATACTGCTTTGAGGCAGAGATGGTCCAGCAGTTAGGTCACACCACATATAAGGAGGTTATAGTCCTCCAAGCAGACGGCCCTGGTTCAAGTCTGACCTGTGGCTCTTCCTGCATGTCTTCCACACTCTCTCTTCCTAATGTCCTACTCTATACACTGTCTTATCAAATATATATACAAATGTATTCCTTCAATAAGATTAACTTTCACATTTCTTTTCCTCCAGTCATCAACGTCACACTGCCTGATGAGAAGCAAAACTACGTCCATCGCATCGGAAGAGTTGGCAGAGCAGAGAGGTCGAAACAAACATTCCTAAAAGAAAACAAATCACTGAGATGAAGTGAAACTTTGATTTTCTTTTGTAATCATAATTTTGTTTGAAAAATAATCTGTGCTTGTGACTTTCACTTTAATTTGCAACCTGAAACGAACCTAAGAATATCTCCCCACATTGTGATTCAGCTGATTAAGACAACAGCTGACAGTATTTATCATTACCCTTACTTTATAACTTACAGAATGGGACTGGCCATCTCCCTGGTTGCTATGGAGAAGGAGAAGGTAAGGTGGTTTATAGAAATGCAATCATGCTTCATTTCATTCATTTGAAAAGAGCTGGAATAAACTGGTTTGCACATGTGCAGGTTTGGTACCATGTTTGCCCAAACAGAGGCAGGGGCTGCTACAACACCCGACTGAAGGAGGAAGGCGGTTGCACCATCTGGTACAACGAAAAAGAGGTGACCAGAAATGCAGACATACACTTAAAAAGATATAAGATAATAAAGTGGCAGCGACTACATTTTGCTGATTAAAATGGGTTACTGACTCAATAAGAAGGCTTTTTTTTTTTTAATTAATCTGATAAGCAGCAGATGCTTTGTATCCTGACACAAACAGCACCTCTAGGTTCTGAGGGTTTGTCTAGACTGAAATCTAATACCTGTTATTTCATTTCGGAAGAACTGGAATCTCACACACATTATGTAAATAAGCACTGTCTATACTGGATTTTAATTTCTACTTGTGTGTTTTTATTCCTTTTTCCTCCGAACACAGCTCTTATCAGATATTGAGGAGCACCTCAAGTGCACCATCACCCAGTGTGAACCCGACATCAAAGTACCTGTGGATGATTTCGACGGAAAGGTCTCTTATGGTCAGCGCAAAGCATTGGGAGGTATGTTTCACAAAGTAGCAGATCATTTTGGCTAGATTAGTAACATTTTTAAAGGAATAACAACAGATAGTTGTATGCCTCGGGTGAATGCTAAATGGTTTGCAAACAGGCCGATATCAGTTAACAGGGTGGTTATCAGACAATACAGGTGCTTGGCAGACAAATTGATGCAACCCTAATATTGACTGCTTTTATATGAAGTGAACCAGCAAAACCTGTTTCTCTTGTCTAGGTGGTAACTACAAGGGGCATGTGGATGTTCTGGCCCCAACAGTCAAGGAGCTGGCGAGCCTCGAGAGAGAAGCCCAGAGTTCCTTCCTCCACCTGGGTTACATGCCAAACCAGCTTTTCAGAGCCTTCTAAAAAAATTTAAAAAACCTAACACCACTGTAGGCTGCTGAGATATCAGTTAACAGGGTGGTTATCAGACGATACAGGTGCTTGGCAGACAAATTGATGCAACCCTAATATTGACTGCTTTTATATGAAGTGAACCAGCAAAACCTGTTTCTCTTGTCTAGGTGGTAACTACAAGGGGCATGTGGATGTTCTGGCCCCAACAGTCAAGGAGCTGGCGAGCCTCGAGAGAGAAGCCCAGAGTTCCTTCCTCCACCTGGGTTACATGCCAAACCAGCTTTTCAGAGCCTTCTAAAAAAATTTAAAAAACCTAACATCACTGTAGGCTGCTGAGACAGAATACAAAAAAACTGAATTTTCAAACCTTCTGCTTAGATTTAAACAAAGAAAATAAGTCAAAGAACTTACATGAGATGAGGAATTAAAGATGGCAAAATTACAATATTTCACTTGGTATAAAAACTCAGAAGCAGTTGGTATCCAGAAGACAATCACACTACCAATTTCTTTGTTGTCCTGTTATTTCTTTTCAGAATTAAATTTTGGTGCATAATTTGTACTTTTGGTGAAGAAAGCTTGTAAGCAGTCAGTAACTTATCTTGTTAAGACTGTTTCCCTTATTGTAAGGACTTCCTCTTGAATTCTTTAACTTCAGAGCATGAATTAATATTGGCAGGTAAATCATTGACATGTCATGCGAAGCCTAATTTGTTTTGTTTTCTTATTAATACGATTGAAATGAATATTTAAGTTAACCTATGGAGATATTGGCTGAAATGTCGTTGTATATAAGTGGGCTGATGTTTTTTTTCTGAAATAAATTTTAGTTCTTCAGAGTTTTTTTTTTTTTATGTATCGACAAATATATCATTAAGCTGAATTTTAAAATGAGCAGCATGAATTGGTGAATTCAACCGTCACCAAGAAACATCCAAAAACTGTGGAGTGACAGAAGGTCTCTTAGAGGAGATGGGTTGCAGACATACTGATGACAGTGAATTTGGAGATGAATGAAAGTGTTCAGAAGTGAAGAGAAGACCGGAAAGAGGACGCTCTTCCCTCTTTATTCCCTTGTTGTGAGCCTTATTGTGAGGAATTGATGTCAATGTAGGATCTGGAGAGAGAGAAACAAATCTTGATCCATAATTACTCTTAAATGGCATCATTGAATCATTGAATTCAGCTTTTTCACTGAAGAACTGCTATCAGCCAAAACATGTTTTGTCACAGAGTCATTGAAGTATAAATATGGTCTGAAATTAAACAAAAAAAAATCTCTTTTTGAGCTCCCCAACATGAAGCAGCAGTGTGACTGACACGGTCCCCATTGCTGCAAACTTTGCGGGGATAAAGGCTTACAAATAATCCAATCTGTATGTTTTCAACATCAGAGACGACAATAACGGACAGCTCCCCTCAATGCAAGAAAAATAGATTGAACCTACTGTATGTGTGGACACAGACCAACCAAAAAAAAACTTTATGCTCATGAATTCACCTGCAGGATGATGTATGAAGTGTTACATTTTTTTTTTACAAAAGATGGTGTGCGAGTTGGACAAAACATATGCTAATCAATGATCTACTTGATCACAACTTCATCGTTGACTTGCAAGGTCGAGATGTAAATGCTTCATTAATGTTTGCTGATGTGATGGCACAAAATGATGTGGAGCTGCTTCTGCAAAGCTTTTGTTATCCAGCCATTTCCTCACTTGTAAGTAAACTGAGTGAGGCGCCTGGCCTTGGAAACTAAGAGAAAAGCCATGCTCTCAAGTCCTAACGTGCATGGGCTGAGTTCAACAGAAAATTAGACAGGTACGGGAATCCTATTTCCTATTCATACAGAGAGAGGTTTGGATCTAGACATGACATCGGAATCAAATGTCAGTGGCATCCATCAGTTTTGCCAGTCCTCTTCAAGGACACCTTCAGATTAAAGAGGAGGAGTACAAAATCCATCATCCGAGTTGTGACGATGTGACGACTGGGTCAAGCACTTTGGACACTCCAAGCATGTTATCTATTAAGTCCCAATTGATGCTACCGGGTGCAAGCTAGGGATAGTCTGTGGTAACTAAAAGTCAAGATTGTGAGGTCATTGATTAAACAGAAGCAGTAAAACTTGCCAACTGACTCTGATAAACATTCTATTGTGTGATACTCAGGAAGCAAAATGGACAGGTCCTCAATGTTCAAAATTGTGTTTCACACCAGATGCAGACGTGTTTTGCACTGAAGGTATTCTATTAGGCACTTTGGTTTTCCAAAAATCAAATCAAAGTTACATTATCTATAAGAGGAGAATGTGGTCGATGACTCATTTCTGAACTGCTGGATGAAAGGCTTTCTGCCAAATTCTTGCAAAGAAAATGGAGGTGTGGGGCACAAAGAGATGATAGAGCTGACTGAAATGTTCATGTGTGAAAGGTTGTTCATTGTGTTTTCAAGCTGAATTCAAAAGGCGTTGGTGCTATTAAAAGGAGATATGATAGCTTCTCAGATTTTTTGAAAGCATTCTCTAAATAGTGAATTATTGTTATTCATTTAATATGTTAATATCTTTTCTTTTTCTACTGGAGTTTTCACGTTGATTTTTCCTCTTCTTTTACTTGTACTTTGTTGAACATATTTCATATGTATTCATCCATGTAATACCTTTATTATTTTTTTGAATGGGGTAAGTTTTTTTAAATTTTTTTACACAAAATATATCTTATTTGTTGAATTAGAGAACGTGAATTGAGCCTGTTAACTAAATAGGCAATTCAATATTTCATATAAAGTTTTGAAAGTATCAGCTGTACTTTTATAACTGAGTTCTGCTTTTGCAGCATTTATCAGGGTCAATAAGGTTTGGTGAACTTATAAGTGTAATACTGAAAGTGGGCTGTAGGTGGTGCTTCGAACCAGCTGCTGAGCTGTGATCTATGTTAAAGCAAAGACCTTCCAGCAGTACAGAGCTCTAACACAAAGAGAACCAATTAAACATAACATGCAAAGGGCTTCTCTCATTAAATGGACCTGATGGGAAAATATGCAAAGTGGTGTATTACAATATTGTTCATAACATTGATAGTCAGCATGTAGGATTCCATTTATGAGAATGTGTACCTTGACTTTGGCCCTTCATAAATGTCCATCTCAGTCATTTGTAGCTCAAATCAGGGGCAAAGTCGGCTTCTAAGGGCAAGTGATTTTGCCTTCAAACTTAAAGCCTGTCACTGAAAATCAGCTTATTGAAGTGAACACTGTGGATGTGGCTACTTTTGGTTTGTTCTGATAACAACACTTTTCCGGGTCACATAACAGGAAATGTATCCTGAAGTTCATTGAATGAGAAAAGGCAATACAATACGTTATATATCTTACTACCATGCTCTGAAACACTATTTTGTCTTAAAGACATTTTTGTAAGGTCTTTGTAGGGGATGACAAGTAGTCAAGGTTTTATTGGTTATGGTTATTTCATTTGTTGTGGATTAAATTAGAGATGACTATTAGGCCTACTTGCAAAAAAAACTAAAAGGAATGATGACTGAACAATAACAGTGAGCCTATCTTATATCTATCTACACATGAATATTGTAGCAGATAAGTTACCAAAACGGTATTTTAGATCCAGAGTTTAACAACAATATTGGAGCATATTTTAAGCTTCCTCTGAGTCACAATCAGATTCTTCTTTTTTCTCTCTTTGTTTGCCAATTTTACCCCATGCACCCCAATGTCTCTGAACGGAGTGAACGAAGCATAATATAATATAATATATGACACATCTTAATAACTAAGTATGACCCAATAGACTTCATTTATGTCCAAATCATCGTGTTTAGATAAAAGCTATAGCCATCGCGAGACCTTATTTTGAAGGAAATCCCCGGAAGTCAGGCGTGCAGCTCTTGTACCTTGACCCTCCTGAGGAAGCCAATTTCCCACTCCACACCCACCCCGGCTGCTGGATCGGACCCTCCCTCTTCGGTAGCTCAATTTGCCAGCCTGGATGTCGTCGGATCAACACTGCTGCTGTACCGCAACAGGTAAATGACAATGTAATTCCCCACAGGACAGAACAAAGTGTCACAGAAACGGACTCTTTCGCTTTTGACCTTGGGTTATTTTTTTTTTTTTTTAAGTGAGCAGGGGATGCACTGTTTGATTTAATCCAAAATGTAAAAGACAGTGTACCGTAGTAATAATATGGGCTTTGCCGGGCTGCAGGCTGCAGTATTTCTGTCAGAGTCTTTGTCCAACATCAAATAGTGTGAATCCTCTCTGACACCTGTCACTTAGTGAAAGTGTCTTTGAAAATAACCTTAAAGGCATTTAAATATAACCTTATATTAAAAGAGACATCTGTTTGTAAAATACTAAATTAAGGGCAGTCGTCCACGTATCTCTTTGCGTATAGGCCTATACATTTAGTGACAATTTCGGATGTGTATTATGTCTGCTGTGATGAATGCTGCCTGTGTTTCTTCTCTCTTTAGAGCAGACAGGCACATTCTAGCGCAACAAGACGATATAGCCTGCAGTGGCTTTATTGTTTTATCCCAGAAATAAAAAAATAAAGTGAATTAATCATTCACAGAGAAAGTGTGTTCATCGGAAACTTCAAAAAAAAAATCTGAGGGTCATCATTATGTTAAGGGGAAGGAAATCTCCATGTTATTTCTGGATCCCCCCCCAGAGTGTCTGTGGCAGCCTTACTCGACCCAGCAGCACACAGTGACCTTAATGCAGTTTGTAATATTTCATCAAATTCGGTGTGTGCTGTCTGCTTTATAGGTGATGTAAATATAGACCTTTTTTTATAGAATGGGAAAAATCTGTGTTTCTTGTTTGTCAGGTGGAATTGCTGTCAGACAGCCTTCAAGATGTAAACAGGTGCTTAGACTGTGTAACATGAGTGCTGTTTTCCCTTCCACAGTATGATTATTGGGGAAGGTTAAACAGTTTATCCATGCTCCTGTTCATTCACCGCAGATTCTAATTATAGAGATTGCTTAAAGATTGCTGTGTGTGTGTGTGTGTGTGTCCTGCTGCTCTCAGTGAAAACAAGAAAATGGTGTGTTTCTTTGCTGAAGTGGCAAAGTCCATCCTATGCACCGCCTATGACATCTGGCCTGGTCTCAGCTGTTCCGTATCCACCTGCCAAGGAAGATAAAAGGCATTGCGTAATGCACACATGCACATTAAAAAGGCACCCAAACATACAACCGTTGTTTGTTTGTTTTTTTAGATGTGTTTTTGGAGCCTTTTATGCTTCTATTGTAGAGACGGGACAGTGGATAAAGTCAGAAATCACGGACGGAGAGAGCGGGGATTGACATGCGGCAAAAGAGCGATAGGTTGGATTCAAACCTGGGACGCTTGCTTCAAGGACTTGATTATCTGTACATGGGGCGCACAAACTAACCACTAGGCCACCAGTGCCCCAACAAACATAGATTGTTGAGTTGAAAGTAGAAGCTAAAAGACTTAACTTGGTTCTCTACATACAGTGTGAATGAGAGGGCTGTAAAGAGGGTTTTTGGCTTTATGCTTGAAATCTTGTGCCAAGAGGAAGTAAAGCAGGTTTTCATGATTCATCGTTCAAGCTGACCTATAAATGTTTTAGAATAATGAATATGAGAAAGCCTCTTCGAGTGATTTTCACCTGCAGCATAACACAGGAAAATCTGTGTGTGACTGTGCTCTTGTGAATTAGGCAGAAAACACAAGCACACACACACATTAGACACACACACACACACACAGGCCTCTTTCTTCCTCGGGCTTAGCAAAGCTTCCTGGGCTGTGTCTGCTAGAACAGGGTGGCCCTCTGTGTGAGGAGTGTGTGTCAGTCACACTCCTTACACAGGCCGACGTATTGATACGCACATCCGACCCGGGCTGATGCCGGGCACACACAGGTGTCAATCAGCATGCAGGGCACAGTCAAAGCTTCTTTGATTCGATTTCTCTGTTGATGCAGTTGGTCAGCAAATCGCTGTTTACCTAATGAAAAACCTACCGAGAGCTTCATGTGACAATCTTGAACATCAACACAATAAAGACAGATGTCTGTGGTATTTGGCGTTGTCTTCTGCAACACAGGTCAATGAGTGTGAAAGTTCCTTGTTACATTTTTTGTTTTGTTTTGTTTTTTTAAAGAGGGCCAAGTTATCATCTCATGCATGGCCAGACTTATCTTTCAGAGGGACCTAGTGCAAAAAAAATGTATGTGGGCCCCTATTGGCCACCCTATGTGCATTCTGTATGTACCTTGTCCCCTTCCTTCTCCATGCACATAGCACAATACTTGTGGTACTACAAGCTGTTCTTCCTAACATGGAACTTTTTCAACACTGTAAATGATTGACAGCCCTGGGAAAAGCTAGTAAATGAACCTTAAAGCAAAAATAAAGGAATTTGGTTTGGTGCACACCAACAGTTTCTAAATGCAGCTGCACGTTGTAAGACACACATAACAGGCTGTTACGCCTACCCCAGACAACGTGCATTTGTTTACAAGCAGAGGGTCTTATGCAGGCCAATACCTTATAATAGGCCAAACACCATGTCAACTGACGTGCTACAGTAATATAACAGGCAGTTTTCACAAATAAGACTCTGCAATCGTCTACAGCCGGTTGTTGGCATGTGGAGTATGTGTATTCAACTGTTGCCTGATGTTACAGTCTGCAGCTAAATGGCTACACTGGACAGCGTAATTTATTACATGCTAGTTGAGACTGATTTTTAAATTTCCAAATGACAAAGTTAATTTGAAAAAAACAAGGAAAGATACAACTTTTATACTATTGAATATGTATTTTATACAATCATACTCAAATATAATACTTTTTGACTGGTCAATAAATCCTGTAATATTAGCGTATATCTTGATAAAATTAGCCGACACCAATAGTCAGTTGATATGCTATTATCGGCAGATATTATTGACCGGTCGATTAATTTGTATGACACAGATACAGCATAACGTTTCGTGGGAATCTGTTAAAAAGAAGAACATTTACATGAGTGTAAATCCATGCAGAGGCTTCATGCATGGTCACTCTCTTTTTCTTTTCTTAGCTTCATCAGTTACCATCCTCTTCTGTCTCTTAGCCTCATTGTAATAAACAGGTAGAGAGATGGGCTAACTGGCGTCCTTTAATACTGAAGGCTGGTGTGTGAGCTTGTGCCATACAGCCATACAAACTTCTCGCGAGATGACGTCGGGCCCGCTGCCGAGGTTAGTGTAGTTAACAGTCGATCGGGGCGTGCTGTGGACATGGAAGAAAGTTATTGAACCGTTAGATTGACTTTGAAACTACTATTTTAAGGTGGAAAAGTAACAAATTGTTGCTTTAAGTCAAGATTATTTTGTCTCATGAAATCATTCTTGAGATGTTTTTCAGTCTTTATGTCCCGCTGTTGAAGTTGAAATATATATCAATATTTATAAGCAGTAGATTTGTACTATTCAGCCCTAAAACCGATCATAAAAATATGGTAATATTTAATGGTTTATGTGTTGCTGTTGTAGGATATTATTAGTTCCATAACAGGACAAGTTACATCAGCCTTAATAAACAGCCAAAATAAGTACTTAAATGCATATGCATATTTGTTCATAGGGTATGTTCCAAAATGCGCATGGAACAGGTATGACTGTAGTGACGTTTGAGCTTCCCATTCTGTGACATAACCTGCTTCCAGTCTCTCTCTACAACACAGCAATCATCACAAAGACCAGGGCCTGAGCTGTAAGGTAAAAACAAATTTAAAAAAACACAGTCATTCTAAAAGTTTTTTTTTTTCAAGCTCTCCAACAGGAAGTTGAGGAATCACAAGCAAATTGAGAAACGTATTGTTGTGAGCCTCTGAAGGTGCTCTCGGTGTTGATGTAGAGGGTGTCCTTGTGTTGATTCTGTGTTGTTTTCATTCAGGATGTGTCCTGTTTGAAGAGAGGAGGCTGTCTAGCAAAGCCAATAGAAGATACTATTTGATTCCACACACACACACACACACACACACACACACAGACCTCAGGGTACAGAGTGTTTGTCGATGAGGGTGGATGAACGTCTACTAATACCTTCTTAGAAAGCGTTTGCGGTATTGTATGCATATACATGTATATTTACACACACATAGCTTAATGGGCTATTAAGAGTTTTATTTTGTGTAATATAGTACAGCAGAGAAGTTTAAACAGCAGAATATTTAAAAAAATACTCTTGGCCATTATTTACATCCCATTCTGTATATTATGATAAATAGTATTGAGTGTACACATTTACCCAGAGTCAAGGGTACACCGGTTATTAGCTGATGGTCAAATGCTGAATTCAAGGTTCCTCCCATTCTTGTGTTGGTAATTTATCTGCAACATGCAAGAAGATTTTTGATGGATGTGTTTGATTTTTGTTTTGTTTTATCCATGTGCAAGATGACAACTACCCCCACATGTGATCAATTAGAAGATCCTTCCCCTCCCACTACCTCTGTTGTTCTTGTTTGTTCTGCAGTCACATGAAGGACTTGAAAGTGAAATGCTTGGCGGAGAAACAAAAAGAAAGATGTCACCCCGGTGGTATCCAATTCCCGTGTTGGAGTTATTCCCTCCAATAAGTGATTGTGTTGAACTCTTTATTTAATTTAGGCCTAATATTTTGCCATTGTTTGTTTTAAGGGTACTTCCAAATATTTTCAGGATACAAATTGAGTCACATTATGTCTCAGGCACAGACACACTGCCACTCTTATGGGAAAGACTGATGAATACTTTTTTTGAATGGTAGTGGAGGCATACAACCCCAGTGCAGTTCTTCTAGTTGTTCATATTCTTCTTGATAGATTTATGTCTACGACTTGGAATATCACCATTGTATGCATGTGTGTACTGTGTATGTTGTTTATTGGTCATGTTGTGTGCGAGCGGCAGTGAGCGCTTCATTGCTCTTAAGTAATTGGCAGTGTCGGCATGTGAAGGGGAATGATTTATTCTACAACAACCACAGTCTCCCCTACAGGAATTCACTCGGAAAGAGGGACGTTCGATGATAGAGCAGAAGTGTAACAAGAGCAGAAGGAGAGGAGGGGATGCATGCTGGAGTAAGGGATGAATAAGAAATAGCAGAGATGAAATGGAAGAGAGAGAGAACGAGGGGTGAAGTGAGGTAGAAAAGTGTGAAGGGATGGTTTGGTGAGAGCAGAGAGGGGTTGACAGAGTTGGACAGCAATGGACAGTGAAAGCTTGTTAGGTCTAAGCTTCTGGATAGATAGATAGATAGATAGATAGATAGATAGATAGATAGATGAAAAAAGGAAAGGGAGATCTGAGAGGACTTGCAACGGATAGAATCTGAAAAAAAGATCAAAGTTGCTTCAAAAGTGTGATGAGTGTGAACACTGCATGATCATGAAAGGTGGTTTAAGTTGCAGAAGGGAGGAGAGCATTATCAGAGCAATAAGAAAAAAACGATTCAGCAAAGCAAAGGATGAGTATAAATGCAAAAAAAAAAGGAAACAAAATAAAAGACATGGAGCCCCTCCTACCGAGGGGGTTTTTGTGTGGCTGAGTGTGGAGTCTACAGCGTTCACGCAAGGCTCATTTTCCAATTTAGCCGTTGGAGCTCACCTGTCCCCTCGGCCTCCTGGGACAGACACAGACCCCACAGAGGAATCTCATCAGGTGGGCCAGGCTCCCTGCAGCCCAGAAAACATTGAACGCTAACTGCGCTCAATGCAAATCTTTATTTAGTGTGCTTTGTAAGTGGGATGCAACCTTAAGAAGCCAACTTGTGAAAATGCTTTGCCTCTTAAAGCACAAATGTTTATATTGTTGTTGTAATTTAAAAAAAAATGTGTTAGGAAAACTAGGCAAGTGTACTATGGATAAATAATCCTCACTGTCTAAGAATGTTTAGATGGACATCATTCCAGATAAGACACATATCTATGATCCTATATTCAATGAAGAAATTTGTGCTTTTTTAATGAGGTATACATTTATTTTCTTTTTTTTCACAAAAAATATTTATATTCCTTTTCAGATAAATATTCTTGTCCCTATGAGAAACATATTTCATTCCAACTAAAAACCACCTCTTCTGTATTTATATTAGGATTAATATTTTATATATACCCAGGAAGGACAAAACCTTATTAATAGAAATACCACAGAAAGCTAAATGTCAGACATATTTACACTGCAGAAATAAAGATTTGACTCGCTGGCTCTAGTCGCCATCTGTGATCTGAGCGGACAGTGATAAATGCCTCCTTCCTTCAGGACCACCATCAGTTTCCCTCAGCTGTCTGTCTGTCTGTCCTCCTTTTCCTCTCGTTTTCATCCTCTGTATGTCTGCTTTTCTTTCATTTCGCCTTATACTCCTCTCTCTCTCTCTCTCTCTCTCTCTCTCTCTCTTTCTCACTCTTTTCTTTCCTCGCTCTTTCCCTCTCTGTCATTTCCTCCCCTCCTCTGTCCTCCCTCACCACGCTAGCTGTTCACTGTGCCATCCTTGCTTTGTTAACGCGGAGATGGGATTTTTTATTGCTCTTGGGCTGCATGTAGATCCCTTTATTCTCCTCCTATTTGACACAGGCGTGCTTGGGTTCCTCACTTATACAGTATACGCTCTGCTCCCTGACACACACACAATCCCACTCTCATCTTCCACTCTCTCTCTTTTTCTGCAGATGTCTGAGAGCAAACCAGCTGAGTAGAGGACTCCCCTCTCTGCCCAAGCGCTACACCTGCAGCCATGAATGGTAAGCACAATCCATTTTTTCCCTCATATGGGTGTGTGTGTGTGTGTGTGTGTGTGTGTGTGTGTGTGTGTGTGTGTGTGTGTGTGTGTGTGTGTGTGTGTGTGTGTGTGTGTGTGTGTGTGTGTGTGTGTGTGTGTGTGTGTGTGTGTGTGTGTGTGTGTGTGTGTGTGTGTGTTTGCTCTTGATGTGATTGCCTTCTGGAGGCTTGCTTTTATTGGTGGGAAATTAAGTTGAAGAGAAAAAAGGAGGTAGAAAGCAAAAGAAAGAAAAACAAATATAGAGAGAGAGGGAGATGAACAATAAGCAGCAGTGCTGTCGTAGCCTGTCTTTAAAATTGAATCTTTCCCTCTGGTCTTCCTGCCAGACTGAGAGGTGTTAGGATGCTCTGATGTTTTTTTTTTTTAGGTTTGACTGTAAACTGAACCCTCAAATCGGGGAAATGCAATATTTATGTGGATTCAGAAAAGTGATCAGACTTTGGCTGAACATATGTTTGATTCCTAAAGCCTTGTCAATAATGTACCGCCAGTAATGTGTTGTATTCTTAAGGGAATATCTGCAATTATTTAGTATTAAATAGTATATACGCAAATGATTAGTTATTTGGTTCATAATTTTGTGTGTCTCTGTTTTAATTGTCCTCAGTCTCGAGAATGTTGCATCCACTTTGTCCTTGGTATGGACCGAGTTGCACAGCAGTGTGTGTATGTGTGCGTAATCCTCTTGTTTCCAGCCTTTGATCTGTTGCCGCTGCCTAAGGGCCTGGTTGGGAAATGCCTCAGAGAAAGTCTGTGTGTGTGTTTGTGTGTTTTTGTGTGTCTGTTGGTGCATCTTTTCTAGATGACTAATCCTGCAGTTCAACCAAGTGGCAAACCCCACAGCTTGACAACACTGTCTGCATTCGTTTTATTGAGCATAAAGAAAATGATAGTGAGAGAGAAAGAAATTGCGAAATACAACAACCTCAGTCTGTGATGAGTTTCTTTATGGGAACTTAACTGTATGCGCTTTCATCGCACTCTCATGAACTCTGCTTTGGAATGAGGTAATTGAAAAGTCATTAGTGTGTGAACTTCCGAAATAGGTGGACTCTCCCAGAGGAGGGGAGGATTGTGTATGTGTCCTGTGTGCAGTGTACGGAGACTGTGGATCAGCTACGTATATCTGAAACATCCTCTAGTCCTTCCCAGGTGATGTGTTCGATATGTAAATAGTTATGAAAGCAGTGATGTGGTTTCCCCCAGCAGACTTGTGCTAAGTGTCTGGAGGTTTGACTCCAGAAGCTAGCGTCTCCTGAAGACTGAACAGCACCAAGACAACAGCACACAGGCTGACAAAGGAAAGGTGAAACCACATCAGGCAGAAGCTCTATGTGTTAAAGGAGGTGAACTGTGGTAAAGTTGGTGTACATTCTGCACATGCGTCATAGCTGCTGCTATTCCACGAGCCTGTTGATGTGACCCTGCTAGCATCATGTCCCAGTGGCACTGTGCTAAATGCCGCCTCTGTTTCTCACTTACAATGGCGCCTAAATGAGGTCTGTCAAAGCCAAGGAGACAATGTGAAGAATACTCACATCTCGGTGTGAGATTAATTACTTTCACCCCTTTTTTAACGGCAGCATTTCGCTGACAGCGGCAAAAAGTAGGTCAGGTCACTGCAAGCTGCTTACGTTGGCTCCGTCAGGGAAAAAAACATTTCCCTGAAAAGGTGTAACTATGATTGTTTAGGGTAAGGTGAGGTAGATTACTTTTTTTTTTTTTTTTAAACAGCTGGTAATCGATCAGAGTGTTGGCTCCGAAAAATCTGTGTGTGAGCCAAAACAGCCGTCAGATTTGAATAAATGTGTTCATTTATTGTTGAAAGTTGTTTTATTCCTTACTTTAGTTTTCACACTTCATCTTCTGGCTGCATAAAAGGGTCTGCAGTACTGTAGCTTTGTGTCTTCCCTCAGGGATTTGTGTGTAATGTGTGTGTGTGTGTGTGTGTGTGTGTGTGTGTGTGTGTGTGTGTGTGTGTGTGTGTGTGTGTGTGTGTGTGTGTGTGTGTGTGTGTGTGTGTGTGTGTGTGTGTGTGTGTGTGTGTGTGTGTGTGTGTGTGTGTGTGTGTGTGTGTGTGTATAATGTGTGTGTGTGTGCTGTGGTCGACAGGAGTCTGTTGGGGTGTTTGGGTTAGCTTCAGGGAGGAAGTTCCATCATGGGCAGGCTGGTATTTCCTGAAGCTGGTGAATAAATTACACCCTAGATACCAGCTCTATGAAGGCACACACCCATAATAGCCCAGACAATTTTATATTACACAATTACAACATCACAGCTACTATGTCACAATCATGTCTCTTCTCCTTCGCTCTATGACTTCATTCCTACTCTTTGAAACATTTTGCATCTCTATCCCATACACTGTTTATGGAAATAGAATTCATGTTCAGATGAAAAGTTAAGAGACTACATCCTGTGTGAGATATGAATCTGTATATGATAAGAATCTGGGCTAGACTAGCTTTACTCATCCCAACTATTATGTCTATACTTGTTGTATAAAGACGGCATATTGCTTAATCTGAAATAAAATAATCACATCATCTTATTTACAACTGTGCAGATCAAATGAGAAATAAAAAAATAAGGCAAAATGACATCTTTGATCTCAGTCTCTCCAGCTGTTAAACGATGGCCCCTAATGACATTTTTATTTTGGAATAGTATTTTCTGAAACCATCACTGTTTCTGCAGTACATTTTCTGGGGTAACTACACTTTAAATATCACATCAATCATGAGCTTTCTCATAACTTTAATAAGTCATCAACAAACTAAGCATGTAATCTTGATTCAACTCTTAACTGATGGGGAAAAATCTGTGTAAACATTTCATTTGGGTTTGCTCCTCTGATTTGCTGTGGTAACAGCTACAGGCATCAAGGAGGCTTCTCTGTGGCTGTTTAGATGAGAGAGGAGCTGTTAGTGAGCTACATAAAAGCTCAAAGACAAAGTTTGCCCCTTTTTTCCTAAGTGGATTTCCATCTGTAACAGGTGACGTCGGCCGCTTTTTACATCAACCAATCTGTTTCTTTGGTCTGAATGTACTCTGCAGTTTTTAAACCAGTCCATTACCCAGACGTCACCCTCCTTCTCCTTCTGCAGTCTGGGCTCATTATCTGTTATTGTCTCCTTATCTACATCTTTGTCATTATATTACTGACATATGGGGAGATCCATCTGTGCACAATGTCCATACACTCAATCCGTTCACTAACAAATGGCTTCAGAGCTCTCAATTCTTGGAAAAATAAAAGGGAATTTGAAGGCTTTAAATAAGCCTTGATCGTCTTATGATTAGTTTAAGTTAATGGATTTCCCTCATGATTAAGTGATTATAAGCTCTAGTGATAATCAGTCATCCCTCTCCATTCAAGATGTATATGAAATTGAGGAAAGAAATGTGGTTTCAAACCGCTCACACTGAATATTTCAGACCATATTTAATTCATCGCTAACCCTGAACTTGAAGAGTGGAGCAGAGTGAGAAAAAGTTGACTAGGCATTTTATACATTAATCATTGTCCAGCATTTGTAAAGCGTGTTTTCATCTGAGAGGCAAAGCTCCTTTTGGATGGGAATTATGCATACTTTTTGGAGGGTGAAGTTGGAAAAAAAAAACACTGTATACTGAATTAGCTATTAGCATTTCTGCTCTGGGGACTTTCACTGTGCTGCAGCTTATTGTGTCATATTTAGGAAAGCTTTGTACTCAGTGCAGCTGGTATTTTAATAAAGCTGTTTCTTGTTGTGTTCAGCAAATTCTGTTTCAGTAGCTGGTAGCTGTACCAGTAACATCATGTGATGTGTATGTCCCCTCACTTTTCATTTCCTTCTTAATTTAAAATGTGGAAGTTGTGTCCACCAGACTTTTTATCTAATGCCGCCATCATCATCATCATTATTTAAAAAAAATATTTTTAAACTTGACATGGTCATTAGCCCCTAGTGTATCAAGTAGTTAGTAAGAAATACTCAGAAAAAGTACTGTGAAATCTTTGCATGCTAACATGCTAAGCTAATACTGTTTAGAGGGTACAGATTTTGCTTATATCTGTTGAACTGCAGCGTGCTATCACTGTCATGTGAGCTTGTTATGTTAGCCCTTAGCTAAAATCATTAGTGTACCTAACAACAGCCTTAAAACCAGTTTGAGACTGGATGCGTGACCGCTGCTTTAGTGGTCCCTTTTCATTTCAGCATACATAATACAAGTGTTTCAAAACCCCTCGTATCTATGCTGTAAGTTTATGACTTTGGGCTGCATTAGCATGCATACATGAAATGACCAGTATTTTTTTCCGTCCTATTCTTATTCTAATCTGCCTCAGGTGTTCGCCTTTGATATTGAAACAGGAAGAGTGAGAGAGAGTGGTTATGTGTCTAAATTCTGTTCCATTGCCATTTTGAAATATGAAGTGTTTCTCTCCTTGTTTGGTTCAGGCGGAGCCAGTGTGTGGGCCATCACTCCAGAGGAGAGGGGGAAACATGACAAACAGTTTGACACCCTGGCCCCCGTCCTCGGCTATGTCTCAGGTAGACTCTCGTCACAATAAGCACACTGAATTCATGTTTACGAAGAACAATCTATTAATGTCATCTGTGGTTCAGCTGTATCAAATGTCTTGTTTCTGTAAACCTCCCTGTTTTTATTTCTGTGTGTCTCCAGGGGAGCAAGCCAGGAAATTCTTCCTCCAGTCTGGCCTGCCCCCTTCGGTCCTGGCTGAGATCTGGTAAGAAAAATCTAACATTTCAGATGATCTTCATGATTAATGGTATGTAAGACAACCCATACTTAAGTAGGTCAGCAGGACCAACCCCTTTTTTGGGTTGGAGTTAGTTTGGGCCTTTTTGGCCTGTTTTAATCTTCCTGTTGAACATTCACTTCCTACACAGCCCGCCCCACCGAGTAAACTGTGTGATAAAAGTGTGTGTTCACTGTAATTAGAACACACAGTGTGTACAAGTGTGAGTCCTGGTGTTTTTTGTGAATACTGCTACTGGAATTCAATCCCAACAGAGTGTTGTCCCCTTGGTGACTCCTACTTTTCTATTGTCTCCAAAAAAAAAGAAATAATACTTGGTACGCTGTAAATAAACCATACAAATAAATCCTATTATACCATTGTTTGCTCTCTTCCTCTTTTAGGAACTTAGCTGACATGGACAGCGATGGAAAGATGGACAGACTGGAGTTCTCAATGGCAATGAAGCTCATCAAAATCAAACTTCAGGGGCGGAACTTACCCTCTTCTCTGCCAATCATTATGAAGCAATCTCCTGTCTCCAACTCTGCTTCTATCATGCCTTCAACAGCTCGCTTTGGTAAAAAAATAAAAATAATAATCTCTGAGGATATCTAGACAGTCAAATTCCCAAACCACTAAATTTTAACACTTTCTACGACATCATAACCTTCATAAAAGTTGGTCCCGTCGCCTTTTCATGTTCCCGTGTGTTTGCTCCCTACAGGAATGGGTTCAATGCCAAACCTGTCAATGGGTCTGTCATCCATGTCAACTATGTCAGCCATGCCCCTCCTAACACCAATCCCGGCTAACCCCCCCATGCACTCTTTGCAACCCCTGATGCATATTCCAATGACTCTGCCCCTCATCTCCTCCCTCGGAAACTCTGGACTCACCAACGGCAATGTCAACCTCCTCACCCCACCCCTTGTTCCCAACAATGCAGGTTGGTCCTGCAGGGGAAGACAGATCTTTTGATTAGGGGTTCTGCACCATCTCATGTAAACTTGACCTTGAAATTATAATGAGATCAAATGGAAAAAATTCAGAATATAGTATTCATTAAAAAAAACTCTGAACAGCAAAGATAAGAATGCTCCATATTTAACATTATGCAATGATGCTATTGATGACTTGTGCACATGCAAAGACAGCAACAACTTTAGTAATATTGTTGAGAAAACATACAGCTGCAGGTTTATACAATGAGGAATTGTGGTCATGGATGTTGTGTTTTGGGGCACTTAAGCTATTCTGTGTGAATGACTCAAAGCTCGACAAGGGGGTAAGGGTTTTGGACCCAGTTGCACGTGCTCTTTGTAAATCATTAATATGGATATATTAAACATAATCAAATGGAAAGTTGTGTTTACCAAATGGAGCATTTGCATCGCCAAATTAAAACAGCATACAGCACACACTTTCAATTACAAAGAGATAAGGTTTCCTAAAATCTGTCATTTACAGCTGGATGTTGCTCGCTTACTTAACCAACTGACACAGCTATATTAGCTTGCTAACAACAAGACTATGACATATTTTATGTAATGTACACACTAATTAAGTCAGTTTTTACCTCTTTTTGTTTTTAATCGTCCTCATTTCCCACCTCCTGTTCCTTGGCTGCTTTTTTTAACCTCACTCTGCCTCTTTAAGTGAAATCATTTTGCAGTCTGATTAACTTGATAGTGAAATCTCTTAGATTATTTGTGTCTCCCTCCATTTTTACCCTCCTCTCTCTGCTTGTGAAAATATGTCAGTGCCACAGCTTTTTATATTGGCAAACTTTAACTCAGGGTTGTAGTCATCTGGGACCGCTTTGTTTTTATCCAGATGTCAATAACCTTGCTGCTGGAGCTGTGTGTGCTGTGACTGTAAAGTATGAGGAGATAAGATTAGATGTACACACTTTCAAGGGCAACTGCGCCCTGTACGTTTACATTATGTCAGCCATTGATTACATAAAAAAAAGGAGGCATGCAGTATTTATTTGCATACATGCTCTATAGCAGGCACTGCATTTTTTTCTTATATTACCTTGAATTTCTCAAAATTACATCTGACTCACTTACCTTCTCCAACCCTTGTTTGCAGGGCTTCCTCTCTCTGGCTTCTCCTCTCCTATGGCCTTCTCTCCATCCACTGGCATGTCAAATGCAAACTCCCTCCTCGACCTTGGATCCAGCAGGTAAGAGAGACCATAAACCCGTAACACAAAAAAAAAAAAAAAAAACATGCCAGCAACCCTGTATAGTCTGGCAAGAGAATTTCAAACGATTTGAATTGGCATCTGTGCATGTAAATATTCCTACTTTGATTGAGAGAAAACATGACCTCTGAAAACATATAAGTTCTTCCTTGATCATACATTTTGAATTCAGTAGGCAGTTCCATGAAAGTTTAATGGGAGATGTAAGGATTTCTGATACACACCATTTATTATGTATTAGTTGAAGTGAAATGTCACTAACCCTTTAGCTCAGTGCTTACAAAAGAGCAGAGTTGGTGCAGGGCAGAGTTGAGGACTAGAATGCAGGCAGAGATTAAACATTATGATAACAGACAGACCGGAAAGGCTTTTTTCAAATCAGATGTCAGGACAGTAGGAAATGGGCTTGTGTGGAGTCACAAACATGACAACGAATGACATTCTTAAAGAAGGAGTTCACTACACTGTAATGTTTCCATCTATGGTATTCAGACTCTTTTCATCCAATGGGTCAGGTCTGATTTATGTCAACATCCACTGACAGGATTGCCTTGAAGTGTTCTACAAATATTCATAAGGAAGCTTACTGATTTTTTAACCACCACCCTAAAGTTCATTTTGCTAGTTTTGAATGAGGCATGCTTAGAAATACAGGATGGATGGCCAAATATAAAAAATATGAGAGTATATGATGAATGGCCTTTCCAACCTTTAAGCTGTTTGACTTTAATGATAATAAGTAACACTAACATGCTTCAAGCTAAGCTTCCAGTTTATGGTATGTGTGATAAATACTGTACCTGCTTAACGTCAACATGTTTGCATTGTCCATTAGAAAGTGTTTAAATGTCAATATTAGCAGTTAGCTTAAACACAGCTGTTCCTCTACATCTTTTAGAGCTGATAGCATAGCTAAGTGATGTTTATTTATTATGAATTGGGTTTGTTTATAGGATAAGATCCAATAAAGTTAATGGAAATATATGCACTATTGTCGTCTGTAGCCATTCTTTTCAATTGGAGTTTTCTTAATGTTAATTCATTTAACGCTAACATTTCTGTTATTAGCAAAGAAATGATGTATCTCAAAATCTAAAAGAGTGGCAAAATAAAGCCGGTAAACTTCTTTTGTGATTTTTAACAAAGTATTTTATCGTTGTCTGCAACTATTACTGCAGTGTTATGTGATGAGATTGTAACAGAGAAGAAACCAGAGTGTTTTTTCTTTCTTTTGGAGTTGACACTGGAGTCTGGGAGGTTTTTGTTCAGTTTCAGCAGCAGCCAGATTCCCTTCAAAATACAACAATAGTGGTATCTTATATCCTGGATCCCTCGCACGAGGTTTTGTGTTGTTTGGGAAAAGCACTGGAGCAGTGTCTGATTTCATTTTGAATGTATTGTGTTGTGTGACGCAGAGCTGCATACAAAAAGTCCTGCCCTCAGGTGGAGGTGGTACAACAAGCAATAATAAGGGCAGGAGTGAAGTCAGACACCCAGCCTTAAAATCACCTTTAACCTCTTTTTAGTTGTGACTACTTCTTATATAATTCTAGACACTTTGTTCTCATCCTGTTTTTGTTTCCAGACCCATGACAAGGATTTAAATCCCTCCAAACTCAAATATACACACAGGCCCCCTGGCAGAGGGAGGATCCTGTTCTTTAGCACCTATTGTCTCCCGAAAACCTTTTTTTTTTTTTTTTTTTTTTAATTCAGGAGTGTTTCAAGTCTCCTCTCGGCTATAATAACCCAAAATAAATTCATTCTTTTCGAATGTACATCATCCTCCAAGACTATCCTTTTATGCTATTCTTGCGGAGGCATTGTTTATAATAAAAACAGAAAGGCTGATTAGCATTGCTTGAGGGTTTGGTCCTGTCTCGTTTCAGAGAGTCATTGTCTTGGTTTGCACTAGCTTCCTCTATAGCTAATTAAGAGCGGAGCGATAACACCAGGGAGCCTCTAGGCAATTAGTGGTTTTAAGTCATGGCTTGAATACAAGGGAAAAGGGAAAACACCGACCACATAATATTATTTTGTCATTTCCTTTAAGGTGATATTTTGGCTTATAGTGGTGCCTCTCGTTTTCTCTTTATTCTTAGTTCAAATTCTTCTTCCACCACATCGTTGGCCAGTAACTCTCCCAAGACAGGAGCGAGTGATTGGGCCGTGCCTCAGGCCTCAAGACTCAAGTATCGTCAGCAGTTTAACACGCTGGACAAGCTAATGAGTGGCTACTTGTCAGGTATGTCTCACACACACACACACACACACACACACACACACACACACACACACACACACACACACACACACACACACACACTTCAACATAAACAAACATGAGGTTCTCAGGGCTGCATGGCTGCTCTTGACAGAAAACACTCTGGGTCAGTTTTGTGTTACTCACACACTCACGTACTCTTTTGACTGCTCTTAACCCCACTTGACAAAATGTCAAGAAGAGATATGTGTGCACACACACACACACACACACACACACACACACACACACACACACACACACACACACACACACACACACACACACACACACACACACATGTCCACATGAGATGTTGTGAGAAGCAGCTCGGCTGTTGCTTCTGATGTGATTTTTCTTTTTTTTCATTTGCAGGGCCTCAGGTTAGAAATGCTTTGATGGCGTCCAACCTGACACAAACTCAGCTAGCGACTATCTGGTGAGTATGAGGGGTGTGTTTGCACCCATTAATGCAGGATGACGCAGGTTAACACATTTCAAGCCTCTTTAAAATCAAAACAGACTGAAGTATTCAGCACAAACAGCTTTTATAAACACAGTAGTTAACCCACTACCAGGCTAACATAGCAGAGCATTTAGCAAGTAAAGAGCCGAATATTTTCCAATCATAATCCAGTGGAATACAAAAATGCAGCAAAAATGATACTGAGCATTGGACTTTTGAGCTAGTTGGCTGGAAACGTGACTGCAAATGAACGATTATGTTTCTCTGTGTCTGCGGGATGTTTAAACATGGGACTGTTTGCTCACTCATTTCCTATAAACACTTTATGAGGTGATAATTTGTCAGCGTTTTTAGAACTTGTTCCACTGCCTCAGAAAAAATACCCAATTACGCTGCTTTACTGCATGTCAATTGCAGCCCCTACCCACAAGAAATGCAAGCTCCCTGAACTCATTTCTCAACAGTCTGTCCTTATGCACTCCAAAAATAGACCTGCTGTCTTTTTACAATTTCACACACAAATAATCAGTTGCATACACCCCACTATAAGACACTCTGCTCCTTCTCCTTCTTTAAACAACTGAAAAGTAACATTCATTATATCATGGAAACATCCAATCATACAGTATGTACTTTATGTTAAAACCAAAGGCACACACCTTTCTTTAAGCCTAGCTGAAGAGCCAACCCTGTTTTTTTTCTCAACCTTACTCATATCTTTGCAGCAGCAACAACACATATGTTTAGCACCACACATCACAAAGACCATTCATACTCTTTTATGAAGTATCAGTCCTGCTGCACCTCAGGAAATAATACTTCCTCATACGCCACAAGGCAGTCAGCAGCCATTCAGCAGGGCCACTGCATTAAGCTCTGTGCATACTGTGATGTCAACAGCATGGGACTGGAAACTATGACTGCAGTGCCCTCAATATTTCATCTTTATTGGTTCACTTTTTGTCTTACTGTGTTGTTTTTGAATAGGACCTTGGCAGACGTAGATAAGGATGGTCAGCTACAAGGTGACGAGTTCATTCTGGCCATGCATCTGGTTGACATGGCTAAAACTGGTCGACCTCTTCCCCTCACACTGCCTCAAGACCTTGTGCCTCCTTCTCTCAGGTACAGTAACACACACACACACTCTCTGAATTTATAATACAGTTTGTACAACAACCACACAACCTCTTTTCTCATTTCAGAGGAGGAATCAAGCCCAGTGAGCTTGTAAATGGAACAGGGCCTTACATCTCTCCCTCTTTGTTGGACACAGTGGAGTTAGATCCTGCGCAGAAGAACAAGAGCAGTGGTAAGGAATGAACTGAACTGTGTTTGTGTTTTTAAATAATGAGAGTTTTTGCTTTTCATATCTGTCCTACCTCTCTCCTTCTCCTTTTAGTGTCCTTTGAGGACAAGCTTAAGGAGAACTTTGCAAGAGGCAGCGCCGAACTGGAGAAGCGCCGCTTAGCTCTAGAAGAAGGGCAGAGGAAGGAAAGGGAGAGGAGAGAGAGGGAGGAGAGAGAGGAGAGGGAGAGGCGGGAGAGGGAGGCCAGAGATCAGGAGAACCGGAGGAGGCTGGAGGAGGAGAGGCGGTTGGAGAGGCAGAGAGAGATGGAACGACAGAGGGAGGAGGAGAGGCTGAGGGAGCTGGAGAGAAAGGAGGTAAGCGGGGCAAGAAACATGAATTGGGGCGATTCAGAACATTCAGATGCCATGTGAGGTGACCATGTTTTGTCATATTTCAGGCAGCAAAGCATGAGATGGAGCGCCAGCGGAGGGAGGAGTGGGAGCGTGCAAAAAGAGAGGAGCTGGGAAGGAGGAAAGAGGGGGAACAGGAAGAGATCACAAGACTCAGGGCGAAAAAGAAGAGTCTAGAGTTGGAGCTAGAGGCTGTGGTGAGACTGCCCTCAGACCCATAAATGTGAACACTTACAATGTTAAAGAAAAAGTTGAAGTGTAATCTTAATCGTCTCCCAGGGCAACAAGCACAAGCAGATCTCAGACTGTCTCCGAGATGCTCAGAGCAAGAGGCGGATCCTGAAGTCAGAGGTGGATCTTGTCAATCAAAAAAGAGACGAACGCATCACAGAAATCAACAACTTGCAGCTTCAGCTTGAGGTTAGAGAAATTTGGTTGCGTTCATTTTGTCAATCCTTCTAAAATATTCCTTTGTCCATTTTTATTAAAATTCCTGTTTGTATATATGCATCTGTGTTTGCCTTAGGAGTGGCAGAGGAAGCTCTCACATCTGGTCCCGGAACAGCAGAGGCTGACCGAGAAGCTACGAAACATTAATTCTAACAAAATCTGCCGTGTGTGACCAAAGCCTCTTTATAAACATACAGACACAATGTTGGTCAATGAATTCTCCCCCTTGCTCATGACCTTTAATATTTGTTTTGTAGCCTTGACTTTGACGTCTCTGACTGGGAACGTGGAAGAGAAAGGTGTGAATTGTCGGAGGCTGAAGGACCAGCTCGACACGCTCGAGCGAGAGACCACCGACAAACTGGTCCAGATGGAGGAGTACAACAAGGAGCTGAAGGTCAGTCAGCAGTTTATTCAGCTTTTGTTAGCCTGTGCTAGCTGGGAGATGATAAGCTTAGCCTAACGTACAAAGTGGAATAAAGAGTGTAATTCATAATTATGTAAAACAAGATTCGACTTGTTTGCAACTTTGATTGATTTTTTTTCTTTTTTTTTTTTTACTTTTAATGAGAGCCAAACTAGCTCTTTTTCCAAACAGCCTTCATGCTAGCCAAGCTAATCATCTTGCTCCTTGAAAAACAATTCAATACACTCACAGCAAAGTGTAAAATGCCTCCATATATTACTGTGTGACACGTTTTTGGAACAAAGCCTTATTTTCTTAGGGTTCCTTTGGATAGAGCAGCAGCCACTCTTGTGGTGGCACTTAAAGTGGACTTTGCTAGCTAGGAGTGAATTAGTGTAGCTAAACATACAAACAAGGAGGAAGAGATACATAAGCTACTCTGTGTACTACATGTTTTTTCATTACTTAAACTTGACTTAACTGAGCTTTTGGTGTGTTAAAATGTTGCTTTTGCTCTTATAAAGGTTTTTTTTTAACAAAAGGTTTGTTGCAGCCAAGCTTGCTCTTTGCTCCCTGCTGTCAGTATTTGTACGAGGTTAGCTAATTATCTGGGTTTCTTTAAACGCACAGACAAGAGAGTGGAATAAAATCTAATCTAACTGTCACTAAGAAAGCAAAATATATATATATTTTTTCCAGCAGGACAGGAAAAATAAATTGGCTTTACAGACCCTATCTTGAAAATGTCTTGACTTGTGTTTCAGATGAAGGTTGGGAATATTATGAATAATACAACAGTTTGGTGATCTATCCTGGCAATATATGACGGATTACAACAATAAAATGCAAACAGTGGCTGCTTTGTAAGGAGTTTTCCCCATTCTCCTCTCACTTTATTTTATTGGAAAATAACGAAACGGGGAGTTTCACTCAAAAACTGCTGCTGTGATACCTTTTTAGACTGATCCTGCTTATTCTAGGGTTTCAGCCCTCAGGCAAAGAAAACCTTGTTACATAACCATTATTGTACACATACATTTAGATTCAGATGTACACACTCGCCTGAAAATTCAATACCTGTGAAAATGATGTCATGGTCCCTGATAAATATATCAGCAGTCTGATACTAGGTGCTGCAGCTTCAAAGGGCCTTTCTCTGTAAAATTGTTTTCATGGCCGTACTACTTTTTGAAGCTTTTAACACTTTATTACTTATTCTTCTCTCTCTCTCTTTTTCCTCTGCTTGGTGCTATCTGGATGTCTTTCACACATTTTCTCCATTCTGGCCTTTTTCTTTTTCTTTCCTTTTCCATTTTACTCAACCTATTCTTTTAACCCACCCCCAACTTACCTTAAACAAACCTTCTATATTTTTCACCTTTTGGCCATCCCCTTCTCCATCCTCCTCTCTCCTCTCCTTGTCATTGCACTGTGTTTCTCTAAAAGCCTGGGGACTTGGATGACTGTATCCTGCGAGGCCTTTTGTCTCTGCTGGCCTGCCTCAGCCAGCTCTTCCACCTCATCAAGGTTATCTTTCTTCCTCTCCCTCCTGCTCTCTACCTCCCACTGTGTAATCTCTCTCATCACCCTTTTTATTATGTTTTGTGTAGTTGTTGTTGTTTTCCCCTCAAGCCACAATCTTTAATCTTCTTTTCTTTTTGATCCCACAATGATTCGATAACTTCCCTAATCCCTACTCTTTTTGTCTTTTGACTCATTATTAAATGGAGCTCTACTTTGGTGCCATGTCTTTCCCTTTCGTTTTCTTCTGTTGTGTCTCTCCATGGGATTGGTTCTAGTCTGTGTTTTCTGTGTAAACAGGATGCACCCTGAGGGTAAAACATTCACACACACACACACACAAACAGAATGATGAACCTGCACATTTTGTGTCAGAAGAGAACAGGGAAACATTTGAACGTGGCTTGTAAATATGTACACACATCTGCATGTCTCTGAGAATGGCTGCAAGTTTCTTTATTTTTTCCATTAAGGCATGTGTTCTGCATGGTTGTTGTACTATTGTATCAAACAGTACAAATGAAGATTTGTTTTAAAAATATACTTACACCTTTCTATAGATTGAATAAAATGTTATACATTATTGTAAACTGTAATGCTTTGTGTTGGAGCAGACTTGAAGCCTGCATTTGTGTAGTGCCTTGTGGTTGTTTCTGTATTTTTAAACTACTTGATCTCGTGTCTCTTCTCTCTCTATAATGCATTACATATAATGTGACTGTATCAGGAGCTGAGGGAGAAGCAGGTGCGGCAGCAGGCTGTCCTGGATGACCTGTACAGAGTCAAAGAGGAGAAACTGAGGGAGCTGCAGAAACGCAGGGAGGCGGAGTTGGAAAGAAAGAGGAGAGAGGAAGAGGAGGCCGCCAGGTGAGTGTGTAATGAAACACATGTTCTCTGTGCTGTGTTTTGTGCTTCACTCTTAAAAGTTGCATTTACTCCCCGCAGACGAGCAAAGCTAGAGCAAGAGAGAAGGGAGCAGGAGAGGAGAGAGAAGGAGGAAGAGGAGGCACGTCAAAGGAGGCTCCAGGAGGAGCAGAGGGCCAGGCAGAGGGAGGAGGAGGAGAGGGAGGCACAGGCTCGCCTCCGGGCAGCTCAGGAGAAAGCACAAGAAGAGGAGAGAAGAAGGAGAGAAGAGGAGGAGGAGAAGAGGAGGAGGGAAGAGGAGGAGAGGAAGCAAAAAGAGCAGGAAGAAGAAGAGGAGACGAAGCGAAGGAAGGATGAACAAGAGAGAGAAGCACAACAGCTGGTGGTTGTGGATCAGCAATCATCCAAGCTGACATCATACAAAGCTCTGTACTCGTTTGTCGCTCGAAATGCAGATGAGCTGAGTATAGATGCAGACGGCCTTATAGAGGTATGAGAGACACGTAATGAACACACACTAAAGTTATTTGACTAACATATCTGCAAACTCACCCTAGTTAGTTGTATAAAAATAGGTTTTATTTATTGCTATTAGTTATTTCTGTCTATTAATGGCATGTTTACTATGGGTCACATCTCAGCTAGCTTTAATGCTAAGCTCAATAATCATACAAATTTAGACTTTTACGTTTCATTTATGTTCCTTTACAGTTCTTTCATTGCACACTGAAAACAGACAAACATTAAAGCTTCTGTTTGGAGTTTTTCACTGGTGATGAAACAGACTGAAATTAATATCGATTTCTCTCTTTGATTTACAAAAGCAAACCAGTCTTTCAGTATGAAGACTGACTTTTTCTTCATAGTTATTTAAATGCCTGAAACCTCTGGCGCAGGGTAGGTGTTAGACTAAGTGATTAACAGTGTGCTGCGTTTTTCACTGCAAAATTCCCCAGTGTAGTGTGAGTGATACATTTGACTGTAAAGAAACAAGGGATTCGATTTTTGGTTCAAATAAACAACTTTCAAATTTCAACAAAAATCTGCAAAGAGATAAGAAGTACCACTTTGTCCATAGAGGTCGCCAAAATCAACACAAGCCAAAAGTTTCCCACAGGAACTTTTAAGATGTTAGCCAACATGAATGGTTACATTTCTGCCATAAGCAAGCATAGCTGCTTGGTTTAGAAGCGTACTTCGAGATGTTCAGTTCAACACACAGTATTAGCTATTGGCAAAGGCTGTTGGACAGAAATAAACTGTGTAAAGTGAAACGAAAGCCGCCAAATCTGCCCCATAGAGATGTTAGTAGAGAAAGCAGTTGCTGTGTAAACCGTAATATGTGAGTGTGCGATGATCATAATGAAAAGGAGACAGGCCTGTTAACACCTCGCTTCCATGACAAATTTGTGTGCTGTGTATCTGAACCCTGTAATAGGTTCATAATTGCTGTATAAATGTAATTGCTCCTGATTGGTCCAAAGGTGAGAGCATTTAGGAACAAACTTCTGATCACCTTGTTATGTCTGATTGGGGTTGATTGAACTGTGTTTTCCCTGATGCAGGTGGATGAGCAGACAGTCGGTGAGCCTGGCTGGTTGTGTGGAAGTTATCGTGGAAACAGGGGCTGGTTCCCCCAGAGTTACGCAAAGAAATGTCCTGCATCTCCTGCTGCTGAGACTGCTGTTTTGTCAGCTGGAAACAAGTCCTGTCCACCGCCCCCACTTAAGCCAGGGTAACAGCCTGTGAAAAAACACGATGTGACAGTTTCTCTTTGGTATTTTAGTTCTAATGATAGAACAGTTTTGTACTCTTTGCTCTCGGTCACCTTGGGGCGTTTTAATGTATGCAACAGTACAGTTAGGTTGTTTTTATTCATGTGTTTCCTCCTTCACTGATGGTTTGTCCCCTCATGTTTAACCCAGAATCCCACATGAGGAGGAAGCAAGCAACACCATCGTCCCAGCCCAACCAGACAATTCACAGGTACAAAGGGAAAGCTTGACTAATGTTTACTTTACACTCTTGGCATGCAGTGAATTGTGTCTAACTTTGTTTCCAGAAAGGAAACTCACTACTCAAAGACAAATAAACTTTAAAGTGAGCTTCTCCAGATTCAGATTCAAACTCTGTTTTGTTGCTGTGTCAGTGAAGAGATTTGCATGTATTTTCTCGATACCGAGGCGATGTTTAATTCAGGAGCAACATGGGAATCATCTGTTTTTATGGTGTCTGTATTTATTCTCTCTTTTTGCTTCTCTTTTTAGAAAAACAGCTAGTTTATGTACAGCTGTTCTGTAATTTGAGATCTACTGTGGGAAAACTGCATGAAAATTTCATGAGCCTTTTTGGGCCACCCTTCCCTGTCAGTGTTTGAAGATTAAAGCTGCTGCAGTCAATGTTTGTACACTAACAATGGATTAAATGTATAACAAAGTGTCACTTGGGAAAACAAACCTGTTATACAGTTCCAATTAAGCTTGAATGCTGAAGGCTGCTACTGGAGCTTGGGCCTGACCTGGTGGTAGCTGGCTGCTGCTAGAGCCTGGCCTCAGCTCACTTGCTGTATATACACAGAGTTCTCTTTTAGTCACAAATGACATTCATGCGTGATGTAAGAGGACACTTGACAGCAAGAGATAACATTTAGACAGCGTCAAGAAAACAGTGTTCTGAAGAAGTGTGCTGAACAAACTGCTGGTGGAGAACAAAACAGAGCTAAAAGGAGAGTACGTGTTTGACTTGCATTCTTCAGAACTGCCCAAAAAAAGAATATGTTTAGTTTACATATAATTAAAATCAAACAATTAGAAATGTTGGATCAACTTTGGTAGGTTTCTTGTTGGTGTTCTGATATCTGCCTTGCTAGTATAGCAGGGTTTCAAGAACTAGTGCTGGCAGGCGTCCACACACTGCTCATATCAACACACACTTCTTTGACAGCAGCATGGTTGTTTATTTATAGCTTCTCTCTACTGGGAGTCGCTTCTCCCTCCCTGCCTCTCTGTGGGTCACACAGACATTTACAGATCACCATCTCCCAGTAGATAACATCAGTGTTAGTGGGCCTGGAGTTTTTAGGTTATGCCTTTTGGTCAGAAATAGTCAATATTCCAGGGCGCTCTGTATCTAGATGAGTAACCTAGAAAGTGGTTGTTATGGATCCCAAGGAACTAGGTCGCAGGTTTCATTGCTCATCAGGAGCTATTGACTGCACCTGTAATGTTCTCAGATCAGACATCAGCGGAGCCACCATTTGTGACTTCTTCCTTCCGCCTCTTATCTTTGACACTTTGACTCCAGTTTATGACTGTCTATCATAGATAAGATCAGTGGTTGGCTTTGAACGGCTATGTTCTTCTGCCACCTTTAAGAAACCCAAGGCCCACTTATTTGGTACCCTTTTATAACAAGTGCAGTGTTTTGTTAGTTCACCAAATGCCCCCTGTCATTCAGATTTTGTTTACTGGGGGGGAACGTAACTGTGTGTAATTGCTCCATTGATCCTGATGTCTCCGTTCTCTGAATTTCACTCCTCAGCTCTCAGTCCCTCTGCTTGCTCGGCTGTCTCCTCGTGGTCTGCAAGCTCAGAAACTCACCTCACCCTCTCCTCTGTTGGCGGCGATGTCATCACTGCACTCCTGAGCTTCACACAAGGTGACATCATCAGTGTGCTGCAACAGAAGGAAGACTGGTGGCTGGGACAGCTCAACGAGACACAGGGATGGTTCCCTAAAAGCTACGTCACTCTGGAGATGTGTGACAATACAGAGTATGAAGACACACACACAAACCTCAGTTGCCAATTATAAACTGAGTGTAAACTGACTTTGTTATTTTTATTTTAGTTTGGATTCATACGACACTTCTGACTCCGTTCAGCTTGAGGGTAAGTGCAGTTTTTCTTTACACCAAATGTCACCACATAGTCTAAAATTTAGGATAATGGTTGAATAAATAGTCCTACATGTGGCCTCTGGCTTTCTCTCTTTTATTTTGTCTAAACCAGAATATGTGGCCTTGTACACGTACGAGAGCCCAGAGGCAGGGGACCTGACGTTTGTTGAGGGAGATGTTGTCATGGTGACAGAGAGAGAAGGAGAGTGGTGGCGAGGATGCATCGGGGACCATACAGGGGTTTTTCCTTCCAACTACGTCCGACCTGTAGAGCCAGAGGTGAATACCATTGTTTTATTAAGTACAATAGTTTTATAAGAACCAAAGCTTGTTTTAGTTGCTGGCCTTAATCAGAAATGTTGTTATAATAGGACCACAATTTGTCAAGGAATATATTTACTCATTGTGCATTATGTATAGCATAATGCAAATATTAGTCATCTTATTTACAAAATTAAAACAAATGTAATCTAATTCTATTCTTTATTATTAGTCAGGCAAAATGAGAACTATCTTAAACCTGTAATGATCCTCTGTTGTTAACTGAACTTGAATTATAAAGAGAGCTTGATCAGCTGTTGAAAATAAGTTATGTTAAGCTATGTTAATTATATTTACTTTCATTATGTGTGTTTTTACGTTTAAAACTTGACTTGGTATTTTACTCCTCCTTAATTCATTTAGGGGACAAGACCTGGAGCAACAACCAAAAAGCCTGGTGAGAACACACCACACACACACACACACACACACACACACACACACACACACACACACACACACACACACACACACACACACACACACACACACACACAAACTCCCCGCCATATAGCCTGCTGTTAAACTCCATTATGCTCCTGACATTTTCCCGATATAAATTGATTGTCAGGTTTTCTCTGTTTGGTCAACAGAGATCGCCCAGGCAGTCACCATGGCGCTTGCCCCCACGATGCAACAGTTGCATCTGTCTCCAGGGCAACTGATAGTGGTCTTGGCCAAGAACTCCACCGGCTGGTGGCTCGGGGAACTGCAGGTCAGAGATTGAAGCCACAACAGTTAAAGTGGTCTTCTCTTGGGAACTAACTAAGATTTTTCTTCAGGAATGCATTAAGGTCTTGATGCTGATGTGCAGTGTAAGGTGAACTGCACTCTTGATTCTCTTGATTCATCCTTAAAAAGTGCTCTGAAGTCTGCTGCCAATTTTCATGGCAGAGTATTTTCATATCTGAACTGAAGAAAACACAGGAATTGTGTATAAGGAACATTTTATACATAATAATTTATTCATTGTTTATTATAAAACTGTATATAAATATGTATAACCTCGTGCCAACAGCATTTAGAAAATGACGCAGTTTAAGTCAACTTGATCAATACAGCTCATACTGAAGATGTTTTTGTATCTGCTGACTTTTCAGATCAGTGAGGAGCTTGTGAGAGGTTGACAGGAGGTTAGAAGAGTAATAACAGGGTTTTCTATAGGTCATACATCCACAGCAGTGAGAATTCAATCCTCTCGGCTTCGTTGTGCTGAGGCTGCAGCTGCAGCTCTAGTTGAGCTCTTAGTGAGCCGTCTGACAAGGTAATGAGACAGCTGAGTCCAGTTAGCAGAAAGAAAGGTGGACAGTCCAGACATGACACTGAACATATACATTTAAAACAGAGGAGTAAATAGGATTACCACAACTTGCCCTATGAACAATTCATTTTTTATAAATTTGGTGAAAACAGTATAGCAATATGCTTTCAGAAGACTTCAGGCTGAGCTTCTCCTTGATTTATGAGGGCAGTGAAAATAAATACCAGGTAAAGAGCCATCAGGTTTAATATGGATGGTTGTTGGCACTGCTGAGATTCTCGACGTTCAGCTCTCTGCCCGACAAAATCAATCCATCAATTCATCTCTCTATTAAGAATTCAGAAACTGAACCAGCAGGAGATTGATTTACTTTCATTGGCTCTTCTCCCTTCAGGCTCGAGGCAGGAAGCGGCAGAGAGGCTGGTTTCATTCGTCTCACGTCAAGCTGCTCGGTCCCTCCAGCAGCAAGCCCTCCCCCTCCCCTCTGCCAGGTGAGGGCTGACATACTTTAAGCAAGACATCCTGTTTGTGATCAGAGTGCAGGATCAGTTGTTTTCTTACATAGCTGTGGTTGGGTTTGTTTACACATTTTCTTTTGGACTGCAGTGCTTCAGAAGTAAACTGTGTAGGGACATTTGGAACCACACATTTAAAGGCTTTGACAAAATTAAATTACTTGGACAGTTCTGCTAATTCCTGCTCTTGAATTTCTGTGTCACTGATTTAGATGCTTTACAGAAAATTGTACATCAAAGTATGAGATAAGGGCCCGTAGAGTCTTTTATTTTACTGTACCATCTGTCATCATGCACTGACTTGACTGAAATAGTTTTTAAATATTCTCACAGATCTGTAGTGTTTCTGTTGTTTAGTGAAACAGGTTGTTTACCTAAAAATATCCAGTTGCTTAGCCATGTGTGAAACTCCACAGCTGAATTCTAACGTTAGCATTGTTAAATGCTTAAAGAGAGGATTTTAACATGTTGATGTTTTCTCAGGTATAATGTTCACAATGATCACCACCTTTGTATAGCATGTAAACATGATTAAATATGCTAATAAGCATGCACACATGCTGTTGCTAAAGATGTCACACCGTACTATTTAAAATACTTTAAATGTCATTTGACATCATTATGAGACTAGATAAAAGGTTGTTTTGAAAAAACCAGTTAACCAGGAGTTCAGTTTTTGGAGAAAAAGTTTCAGTTTACTGAATATGCCTGTTTGTCTGTATGTGGATCCGTCTGTACGTCTAGAACTACAGGAAGTAAATGAGAAGTAATTATCTCTTATCCTAATGGGACCGTGAATGTCTCAACCAAATGTCAATGAAACTCATTACTGATTTGTGAGGAGATTGCCAAACATTGTCACACACGCACACAAAAAATCAGAGCTCTGAGACATCTGATGAGTAAACACTCTAAATGCCACATCTAAATTGAAGCTCTTTTGTGCATCTGATCCCTCAGTGTGCCAAGTAATTGCAATGTACGACTACACGGCCGCCAATCAGGACGAGCTGAATTTTTCCAAGGGTCAGCTCATCAACATTTTGGACAAAACCAACCCTGACTGGTGGAAAGCAGAAGCCAATGGGATCACAGGCCTGCTGCCCACCAATTATGTCAAGATGACAACAGAATCCGACCCCAGCCAGCAATGTGAGTAAACCTCAAGCTTTCTTCATATGTCTTCCTGTCACAACATTTTTTAAAGGGAAATTTACGTAATTGGTTGAATTCTTGTGTGTCTTTCTGTGTCTTTTGGTGGACATATACAATATTGTTGTTGGCCCAAACTGAAACTGATTGAAAATATTCATTAGATGTAGAATGAAACTTGTCTCTTGTTTATGCAAAATCTAATTGTTTTGCTCGGCTCGTTCAGGTTCAGTAGATTCCTTATCCATGTCAGAGCATGGACAGACTGAGGGTGAGCTGATGAGCGATGCTTTCTGTCTATCACTGAGGGACTATTGGTGAACATGTAGTCACTCTAAAAGCTCAGTCCTGCATGCATTTTGGGTATGACACTTGTTAAAATGAATCTAACCACTAAAGGAATAGCATATAGTCGGCATAGTCGGAACTGTGTTGATGTGCCTACTTTGGCCTACTAGACCAAATGGTTCTGGGGACCTTTTGAAGAGGAACTATGCACCAGAGAGTTACCTGAGAACTACACACCATAGAGACTTTTTTTTTTTGTCTGCATTCACATCGCCATGGTACCTACTCTAAAGCAGTAGCTAAAAGGTTCCTCTAAACCAGTGGGACTCAACTGACTTAGCCTCAGGACCCACTACCAACTCACTACTACTACACCAATTTCGGATACTTTTCAACCAATCAGATTGAGTTAATGAAAAAATGTTTGGTTCGGAGCTCAGACGGTACAAAGCATGTGACAAAAATAAATAAAAAGGAACAAAACGAACTGGTTTAAAAAGCGCTGCATAAGCTTTTTACTCTTTTTTACCCCCAGGCACTCATTCTGCAACACACTGAAAATAACTATGCAACCCCCTTATGGGTCCCGACCCACCAGTTGAGAACCGCTGATCTAAAAAAAAAAAAGTTCTGAAGTCCTAAAACGTCTATACAGTAGATTACAACAGCTACAAAGGAAGGTCATTTACCATCTCATAAAGGACTATTTTTTTTAATAAAGATGGTGCTTTGGGGTGGTTAGCTTAGCATAAAACCTAGGAAGAAGAGGAAGAGGAATAGTCTCGTTCAAATTTTTAGAATAACACAAAAGTTTTCCTAAAGAGAGGACATTATATCACAGCGTAACATTGAATCTAAAAACAAAACAAATGCAATGCCAGCAAGTAAGTAGAGTTATCTGTGATGTCCAAATGCCTCGTGATTTAATTTGTTGGATTTTGGAGGGAGGAAATAAGCAGAAAACTGCATTTTATTTTGGTCGTAAAAATTAAAGGTTCATTTGGATGGATTTTTCATTTAGAATCACATTTCTGAAGGCGAGCCAATGTTTCCAGTCTTCATGCCAAGCTCAGCTAACTGAACTGAAGCTACAGATTGACCATACAGACATAAGAGTGGTTAGGCCTTTATCACGTAACTCTCATCAACAGAGTGAATGAGCATCTCCCCGAAAGTATTACTTACAAATCACTGAGTTAAAACATTGAATGGCACATACACTCATTGTTTTAAGTAAAACTGTCTCATTTTGTGAGTCACATTTCTTTCTTCATTTGCACTGGCTGGTTGAAAGGTAGAGATGGGAGTACAATGCACTTGTCCATTATGTAAACTACTGCTGTGTACACTGATCACCGGTCTGCTGGGAAGGTTCTGATTGCACTCTTGTTTGTTCACGGCTCATCTTCACATCGTACCTGCTCTGATCATAAGACGGCACTCATTGTGAAGCAGTTGATGTGTGTTTGAATTAGTATTCGTAGCTCGCATGTCCTCCTCGCAGCAGTGGATCTCTGTTAACAAGAGTGAACACATTGGACGATTAATTAGGATGAACTTGTTAAAGCTGCAGACACAAAACACGATGAAATTTTAATTCTAATGAACATGTTCTGACGCATACACGTCCTGGTACATGCGAGGGTCTGTGCTTCATCAGAGAGATGAAATGTTAGAAATTAGCATCCCGCCCCAGCTGATACGATTAGTAACAACATTTGCATTTCCTGAAATACATTATTAATGCACCTACATGTGTGAGTCTAGCATTAATATTAAAACGATATTAATGTCTGCTGTCTCTCCCGCCTCTCCTTCATCTCACTCACCTCCCCCTCCCGCTCCTCCACTTCATCTGTCTTTTTCCTCTGTAGGACAGTAGCGCTGGCTTTCCTCTTCTTCTCTCTTCTTCCTCCTTCTCCTATTCTTCCTCGCTTCTTCTGTCTGAGCCAATCCGACTTGCCCTGTTGCAACAGGAAGCCCAGCCGTCCGCAAGAACAGCCCTGCCCTGTGCTTTTTCCACCTCACTTCTTTCGGACTGTGGTGTTCTTAGCTCCTATTTTTGATCCTTTTTTTTTTTTTTTTTTTTTTTTTGATTAAGCATCTTTAAACCCTTCCTCCTTTATTTTTTTTTTTATCCTGTCTTCTATTTCTATAAGGCTTTTCACCCTAATCCTCCTTGCTCCTTCCTCTCCTGGGTTTCCCTTGATGTTTCTGTAACTAACTAATTAACAGAGGGAGAGAGGTAGCGGCAGCTAGACTTGTTCACACTAGTCAAACGAACTGGACTTTGAGGGTGAAGCGTGCTTGGGCACGGAACGGATTGCCTAGTGTGAGTGCGACCCAAGAGGCTTTTGTCCCTCTGATACAATGGCATGAAATGTGAAGTTTCGCCCTAAGATAATTGGATAGATGGATCATAAGAGTTTGGTTACACAGAAATAAATATAATATATACATTGCATCAGACTGAAGGTCATTTAGTTTTCTAAATTTAGGACAGAGTAGGATGAAGAACTTTTATAACAGGGTCACTCATTCTTGCACTAACAACAGTAAACCTTGCTAAAAATGGACCAATCTGAACACTCACTGTTGCTTTATTCCCGTATAACCTTGATTGCTGCTTGCTGATTCATTGCTCGTGCTAATACTGAAATATTGTGATCGAATTATTCAATTCTTATGCACTCCACCATGTAGTAATGCTTCCAACTGACTAAAAAGTCAAAATCTCATCCTGTACTGAACTGTGATATCACCAGCACAAAAAAAAAGATATTAGCATAGCAACTCTTAAGAGTAGAGTCGGAGATGATGACACGACACTGCTGACATTTCTGTCCTACCTTTGCCAAGTTTTTACCTCAAAGACTTGAAATACCATCGGAGTCTTCCACTGCTCTTTAGCTAAAGCATTTACTCATTCACACCTATGCAATGATTTGGAGAGAGCGCTCCGTCATGAAAGGTGCTTAGTTGATTTAATGTCCTTGATTGCAGTGTTCTTAGCGTTAGCATTGCTTGGTATGTTCCCTAAGTCCATGTACTGCAACTACAACGTGCCTCACTCTTGTCTGTGCATTAAATGTAAATGAAATATCATAGAACTTATAATAAAGGGAGATTTTAACATTCTGAGGTGTGTAGTGTTTGTTTGACATTCATTAAGTCATGGTGTAAGCGATTGACTGGAGAGTGTTTGTGCGTGTTGCACATGCTCGTGTTTGTGCATGCATGCACGCATGCACCTTTGCATGTGTGTGCACTTGCAGGGTGTGCTGACCTGATGACGCTGGACTCGATGACTCCTCAGGAAAGGAAGAGACAGGGTTACATACATGAGCTGATCCAGACAGAGGAGACTACGTGGAAGACCTTGAGCTGGTTCTAGAGGTACACACAAATACACAAAAACACACACTTAGTTTTTTTCAGAAAGCATGAATCTTTTGTCATGACCACATTCTTTCCACTCAGGTCTTCTACAAGCCCATGTCAGAATCAGGTCGTCTAACAGAAGATGAGATGGGAGTGATCTTTGTCAACTGGAGGGAGCTGATTATGTGCAACACCAAACTACTGAAGTAGGTACCAAACATCCCCATTATTATAAATGTTTTGGTGAAAACTCCTCTGCCTGTGCAACACTGAAATATAATTTCTAGATAGTAAGTGCTAAAGGAACTGCAAAATGGAAATAAAAAAAACAATTTCAAGGGGAAAACCCACTTCAAAACATAAAGATTTGACAATAAATTAAAATGTCATGCAACTATTCCGTTGGGAATTGGCACATATTTATGAAGATGTCACAAAAACTGTGTTTACATCAGTGGTTTTACAAATTTCCTCAGTGATTCACCACCTTTGAAACACTTTACAAGCTAAGTGTCAAAGTTAATCCCTGCTAACAAGGTTAGCCTAGCCTTCGTGTCCAGTCAGATAATCAATAGCAGAAAGCCTGCAATCCCATTTTATATCATACAAATCTCTACCTTGAGAAAATATTTTGAGTGCCAAATCTCATGCCATCAACACAGCATTATTCGATTTTCTTACCGGTATAGTTATGATTGGCATAGACGTTGGGTCGCATGTATCGATTACACCTGATGTAGTTTCACTGTTAGATCTACTTTGTCACTTTGTTCAATTTACAGAGACAGGTAACTACATTAAGTTACTTCTCGTCATTCACAGCTTTCAACAGCCACATCTTTTAGTGATATCAACCTTTACACAGTCAGAACGGTTTTCAATGAGAAACAGCTGAAAATCCTGTATTTGAATTCCCATTTTCTGCCCGTTTAAACTGTCCAGTGGCAGGTGCCAGTCTGACAGGCATGGGTCAGATGGGTGGTGCTGGTGTGACAGGCGAGTGGTACATGGTGCTAGCCCCCTTGTGACATGCCCTCGGGAAATGGCACAAGCTGCTGAACTAACAGCATATGGCACTGAGAACTTATGCCACATGCTGCTGACCTTCGGCACATGTCGCTGCACCCAAAGTGGCATGCTGGAATGTATTTATGTTTTCAGAAAAAGGCTTTATTAAGAGCTATAACTGCTTCTCCATCAGGGCATTATTTACCAAAAAATACCCGAACAGAATTTAAAAACATTTCATTGGCTTAACTGGCTACATGCAAGCTAATTTCCTAAACCTATAAAAATGCTGGGACGGGTTCAAAATTAGCCTTACAATGTGTTCTACCTGATTCAAACTATATTCTTCAGACTTTGTTATAACTTTGTTTTTTTACCTCCTTCAGCTTCAGTTATGTTTTAAATGTATCTGACGCTGAAGAGATGTATGACTTACTGATTTTTGTAAACTGTCTTTTGGCAAACATCAACAATGCCTCAAACAAAAACATACACTTAATAGTTGACCCATACCATTAATAATTGAAAGCCTAAAAATCAACTTACTATTAGATATATATATATTTAATTTAACTTAAATAGAATTATTTTAGGAATTGTTTATGGTTAATCCATTTCAAAATTACCTTGAAAGAATCACAAGTATCTCCTGCAGCTATCTAAAGTACCACCAGGGGGACCAGTACCACCACTTGAGAATCATTGTTTTTCACAATGATCCTCTCTGCTTACAGAGCCCTGCGAGTCCGTAAGAAGACGGGAGGTGAAAACATGCCGGTGCAGCTGATAGGGGACCTGTTAGCATCAGAGCTCGCTCACATGCAGCCCTACATCCGCTTCTGCTCCTGTCAGCTCAATGCTGCTGCCCTGCTGCAAAACAAAACATACAACCAGCCCGACTTTAAAGACTTCCTGAAGGTGCGAGCTGTCGATGAAGATAAACCAAACAGTCAAGGCAAACGTGGGTCTGTGAGCTGCAACAGAGAATTCTCTTTCTCACTATTTTTTCTCCTCTTGAGCAGAAGATTGCCACAAACTACCGCTGCAAAGGAATGCCACTATCCAGCTTCCTCCTCAAGCCCATGCAGAGAATCACACGTTACCCCCTGCTCATAAAGAATGTCAGTGATATTTTCTTATTTATTTGATATTTATTATGTGCTTCTATGTCCTTCTCTAACATTTCTTCTCTCCTCTTCTTGTCGGTTAGATCCTGGAGCACACTCAAGAAGTTCACGCAGACCGAGGCCCGCTGAGAGAAGCTCTGGAGCGAGCTGAGGAGCTGTGCTCGCAGGTCAACGAGGGAGTCAGGGAGAAGGAGAACTCAGACAGGCTTGAGTGGATCCAGAGCCACGTTCAGTGTGAGGGACCTATAGAGGTAAACACAGTCAGGCATGACTCAAAACTATAACTGTGTTAGGCGGTTGTCTTCCTCCTCTTCATCTCTCCTTGTTTTCCTCGTCTCTCTTTCAGCACTTGGTCTTCAACTCGCTGACTAATTGCCTCGGGCCTCGCAAGCTGCTCCACAGCGGACGTCTTCACAAAACCAAAAGCAGCAGGGAGCTGTGGGTTTTCCTTTTTAATGATTTCCTTCTCCTCACACACAGTGCCAAACCCTTCTCCTCCTCAGGAGCAGACAAGCTGTTCAGCCTGAAGACCAACATCCAGCTGAAGATGTACAAAACAGTAAGCACTTTTCCCTGACAGGAATGAAAATACTACTTGGTTCGCTTTAAGTATTCATGAAGCATAGCTGAAAGACTCAACCCAAAATGGCACTCATCACTTCCTGTTCATGTCCTAGCCGCTGTTTCTTAACGAGGTTTTGGTGAAAATGCCTCCCGATCCTTCAAGTGACGAACCACTTTTCCACGTCTCACACATTGACCGTGTCTACACTCTGAAAACTGAGACCTTAAATGAGAGGTGAGCCGTGCACACAGACATCCAAGTAAACCTCACTAAAGACTTCATCTTATTGTCTTAAAATGATTTTTGTGTTTACTTTGATGGCAGGACAACATGGGTGCAGAAAATCAAAGCAGCATCTGAACATTTCATAGAGACAGAGAAGAAAAAGAGAGAGAAGGCTTACCAAGGTAAACACGGTTTCATCAGTGTGAACCTACTGACTGTGTGTGCGTGGGCATGTGATTTCTATTTTTCAGCATGAGTATGGATGGTTTACTGTGTCCTCACATATCAATACATCTCTGTAAGAGACCGTGAACAACCTTTTAAACAAAGTAGAATAATTGGAGATGAATGAACATATTGTACACATATGTTGCTAAGTTGGTACAACCCCTTCACTTTTAATTAAAAGATGTAAATGTAAACTGCAATATATGAATGAAAACTACAATTGAGTTAAACTTAAGAAATAAGAGAAATGCTTTATTTTGATAAAACTAAACGTCAACGTCAAAATTAGGAATACTTGCATGTATATATGTTTGTAACTCACTGCACACAGCAAAGCTAATATTTGTAACTTTTTTTTCTGTACTTGTGGTGTGTGTCAGGGCTGAAGTTACAAATATTTTTGAAAAAATAAAAGGCAAGCCTATACATTCAGCAAAATGTTTTAAAAAATCGAATTTCCTCCTTGTGTAAATGTTTTCTTTCTGTCACTCAGTCATAAAAAGACGTCAGTCCCCTGGCTCATTTTTAAGAGTGTAAAAACATATCAGAGATCAAACAAACACCAGAATTTATCACACAAGTGTCTGTAGTGGATTTCATCTATATATCAATAAGCAAAAAGTGTAATGTTTTGTAAATGTAAAGTTTTTTTATGCCTACCTATAATGTCTGTGTGTTTGTTTCAGCTCGTTCCCTAAAGAGCAGCGGTATCGGTCGGCTGCTGGTGACAGTCACAGAAGCCCAGGAGCTTAGAGCGTGTAAACCTAACGGTACAGACTTGCAATGCACACTGTCTATAAGAATACGTCATTGTTTGATTCATTCAGAAAATAATAAATAAATATTCTTCTAATGTTGTCTCTCTCTCCAGGTAAGAGTAACCCGTACTGTGAGCTGACGATGGGGGCTCAGTGTTACGCCTCTCGACCAATCGCAGACACTCTGAACCCAAAGTGGAACTTCAATTGTCAGTTCTTCATCAAAGACCTTTACCAGGACGTGCTGTGCATCACTGTGTTTGAGAAGGACCAGTTCTCACCAGATGGTCAGTGAACGAGGGACACAAACATACACTGAGAAGCTCGCACAACCAGAGTAGATTTGTTTAGCTTTTAATTTAATTGATGTTTGCCTACGGGATAAAGAGAAAACATGCTCAGACTAGCAGCAAGCCAACTTCTGATTTTGACTTGTTTTCTGAGATTTCTTTCAAGTTTGATTAAGACAAACCTGTCACCATGGCAGGTTACCTACATTTCACCAAAAATCTGAGGGTCTTCTTGTTTCTGAAAAACGTGTCTGTTTTAGGAGCTTCACTTAATACCTATTTTCTGTTTCTTTAGATTTCCTGGGTCGCACTGAGGTCCCTGTGGCAACGATAAAAAAAGAGATGGAGAGCAAAGGTGCAGCCAACCGTCGCCTGCTGCTGCACGAGGTTCCCACTGGAGAAGTTTCAGTCAAACTGGACCTTCAGCTGTATGAGCCGACCAAATGAAAACAACACCCTCAGCAGACATCACTTCTTTTTATAGTAATGAAGAGGAAACATTTAGTTGAAACAGTCACATAAAAACTTAAAGTGATCTCATGACGATTACAGCCTTGTACTGCCCTGAGCTGGCGAGATTTATCTTGTTGACTTCAAGTTACAGGATAAGGAGACCTTGCCAAAACTGTTGGATTACATTCCAATGAATTGTCCTGAGACATTCCTTATTGTGGAAAAAGCGTTTTCCTGTTTACTAACAAATTATCTTACATGATTTTTTTTTTGTATTTGCAAATATTTTCATGTGAAACACAGAAGTGCAATTAAAAAACATGCCATGAAGATGTCCCATTTAGATCACCAAACGATAAAGTTTTGTAATATTCATATTCTGAACCTTTTATGCAAAACACAGTAAATATTAACAGGAAATATTTCACTGTACTTTAACTGTTGTTCTTTCACCTGGACCATTACACACATATGCTTGTTATCCTTTTCTATTCAAATGTTGCACACTACTGTATAATGTCAAAGATTAACCTCATTGTTAACTGAGCTATGGAGGTTTATGTTAAGTAAGGCCATAAACTCCTGAATGTGGCATAAATAAAAATGCACACATAGAATATTCCTTTTTTGTTTGTTGTGGCTCAATGTTCTTTTTGTCATCCCATCCTGGTTCTTTATAATCCACCAGGACAACACTTTCAAATACAGCACCTTTAGAATCTGTGAGGTAGTTAAGAAGTAGTATTCATGAGGGATTTTATTCATATGTAAGCTGAGGTTGCTGTAAACTGGCTGATTGTTCCTGACTTCCACATCTGGAAAACCAGCAGTCTGGTCGATGGCACCTTCCGTCTGGTGTGGCAGACGCCCTGATGTGATATGGTATGTTGTGCAGCCTGAATACAAAACATGAAGAGGACTTCTCATATTCATCATAATTCAAGAACATGCACCAATATCTCATTATTTTACAAATAAAAATATCTTCAAATCAAAACTTTCAAAATATTGTAAAAGTTTACCCAGTGGATTTCTTTCTTTGAGCCTCATCTGGAGCTTTTCTTGAAGCAGAGATTGGATAACTAGATGAGGCCTGTAGACTTGTGTTGGCCTGAGATGCCACAGAATCACTGAGAGGACAAGGAAGTTTGCGTTTGCATCCTACAATGGAAAGGAAATTATTAATAAATAGAATTGTAAAAACATCTGTTAAACCTGACATCTCAAATGGATTGACACTGATTCTTGTTGAATGAAACTGAAGACACAAGTGACAGTAAGGAGACAAAAACAGATGCCAAACTACTATTAGGCATTTAGCTAAAACAATAAACTTCTGTAACAGGCAAATAGCAAAGGGTCATAGAAAGACGGTAACTAACCCATTAATGTACAATATGTAGGATAGCTTTTTTTTCTAATAGTTAGCCACCATAAGCTAATGGTCAAACCAGACTAATGGTCATTGCTGAAGCAAAACGTTTAAGTGTTTATATAAAGAAAGGGTGTTCTACTGATTATGAATACAACTTTATATTTGAACAGGAAGAATGTGTTTGTCTTCTTTTGAAGGAGATGCAGTGCCACTTTCATTTTACAAAATCAAAGACAAACGGCCCCTGTGAATATCTCAGCTAAGCTAAGCAAAGCATTCATAAAGGTCTTTCAATTTCCGGGGTCATAAAGAAAATAAAAATACTCCCAATACCTGCTTCACAAGAGCCGGCTGTTCTCTGTTCCTTCAGCCTTTTATGCGAATGGGGGTTGAACAGGTCCTTAAAGTCAGCTCTGTTGACCTAGAGGTAAAACATGGACACATTTTGGAAACTATAAAAATTTGAAAAGCTGTCTTTTTATTTCATTAAGTGAAATGTTTAAGTATCACCTTGAAGCAGCATGGCTTTTCGATGTTGAGAAGAAAAGGATTGTATTCCTTCAGATTGTAAGTTTCTAGAAACACAAAACCCTGAAGATAAAAAAAACATGAAAGTAGTGAGAGAAGGTTAAGGAGTCATATCTCTTGTAGGAATTTTTTCCCTTTTTTAATTATAAGAATATGCATGTGTGACCTCTTGCATTATTTAAAAGCCTCACAGTAAACAAACCAGAGGATGTTTCTCACACTAACATTAAGTTTGAAATACATTTAGAGCAGACTGACTCTAGACTAGTTCCACCTTAGCATTGCAGTGATGGAGGTAGTGACTGTATAAGCTCTGACGTCGCTTGGCTTCCATCGGCCACAGCTGGACACACGTTCCTCAACTCTACACTGGAGTGGAAACCACACACGCTCTGTCCAGTGTTTGTGCAGCAGCTCCCTTCTCCTCAGCTCTGTGACATCCCGCTTGCTGAAAAACCTCTCCAACTCCTCCAGGAAGAGAAACAGATACAAAAACAATGCCGCTTGCAAAACAAAGGGGAAAAAAATATGCACAAGCTATAGACAGCAAAACGTCTTACCTTCACCAAACCATTTTCAGTCTCCAGTAAAGGTTGGATTATTCTATTGGCTTTTTGCTTTTCAGCCTCCATCTTTTCCTAGAAAGAAAAACATGCAGTAAGAAAAGTCACCTCATATTTCTCAGCAGGTGTGTTTCGTTGAGTGTAGTACCTGCAGTCGTCTGAGGGAGGAGTCAGAGAGAAAGTGTTGGCTTGTGCCCTGCTGTGGCTCAGGGAGTGAGGCCTCAACTCTTCGCTTTGCTTTGACACCATTAACGGTGCTCCTCGGCTGATACAGGCTCCTTTTGCCCTCTGCATCATCCTTCAGATCTGCTATGCACACCTGAAACACCATTCAGATCAGTTCAGCTTCAACACGCTACTTTCTTCTGCAACAAAACACGACATTCTGTAGTTTTTTATTATAGGTTCAGAGAGGCATCCGATGAGCAAGAGGTTAAGTTTGAGCCACCCCTTAAGCTCTTTCAACAGACATTCTTAAATTGTTCCCCAAGTGGAAAACATTCAAATATTCTGAATAAAGCTGTACTTAATCTGTTTTATGTCGTCTGAATTAGATTTAAAAAGTGATACGAATGAATATACTTGGAAAAATGAGAAAGAAAATCTATTAACCTGTATCTATAGGTACATTCTTTTTTTAAATTCAGCTCAGGTTTGAATGTCATGTCAACTGTTTTATTGCCTGACACCTGGGGGAGGAGACATTTTGCCATGTTTTCAGGGTCCTTTGTCATAGATGCATTCCCTAAAAATTAATTCGATAGGAAATATCATGAAATAAGTACAATTTGACTCTCCCCAAGACTTTTTTTCTTAATAAAAGCACTATTTCGTTTTTTAAATCACACTGTAGTACGATCCCGTACTTTATACTTTAAGTATTGCAATTTGTGTGTATAATTATCAAAGACATACAATGAATGTCAGCACTCCCTAGGGAATGTGATCTCTTGTAAATCCCAGGTGGAGTTCAAAGACAGAGCAGACACAATCATGTAGGTGAACAGAAGGCAGCGGAGGCCAGCACAACAGGCAGCAACAGATCATGTCACTACCTGGAAACCTGAACTGTGTCTCACACCTAATACAAACACATATGGCGGGACATAAACATCAGTAAGCTATGCAACTTTAGCAACAGGACAAACAGCAGCTTCCTAACTGTGTTTTTTTCCTGTTTTGTTGTTTAATTTAATTGTCACTACCTGGCTTATAATTGATTGTCAGGTTTTTCTCTCTGCATGTTATCTGATATGCAGGAGGAAAAGCACTAAGCTTTCCCCCCTATTGTCCTAAATTAATAGAGGATTACAGTGGCTACAATATCTGCCTTTCAATAACCTGAAACCTTTCCATTCATCTTTCAAAGCCCTGAGATTCCATCACTGTATATTCAGATGTGGCAGGGCATAGACAGAGAAAAAGAAGCTTTCAGTCTGGCAATAAACACCCTGTCATAGTCTCTAAGCTGGTGTTGGTTCACACACTGAACCTGCACAGCCTCCATGACATTAAAAGGCTGGTAATAATGTGTAGTTTGTAAGAGTTCACTTAAATCTGAAGAAAAAAGTGGAGAGTGAGTGTACATGCAGAGAGAAAACTAGCAGTACTCTTCATTGCCTTAAGGTAATGATTAGATTGTCAGTTCCAAACGTACCTATTTGAATTTAAAGTAGGATTATTTAGTTAATAGTCTATGATAAAAGTTTGTGTGGTGTGGGGGTGTTTACCTCTGATTCCAACAGGCTAACAGGAAAAGGTCTGTGGAAGGTGATCACACCACTGGCTGTTCTTTTCTTTGTTGGGCTCATCCCTAAAACAAGAAGAAAATATTTGATAATCATTATTATACAGAGCTACAGTCATAGCCCCAATAAACCTTAATCTAGACTTAGCTAAACACATCATATCACTTAATGTAGCCTATACTCTGTGCAAGAGCAGTAGCCTATAAATCGAATCAAATTGACATTAATTGTATATTTTAATTTAGTATTAGCCCGTGTAACCATAGCAAAGTTATGGTTTCTTACCTTGGTTCAAATTATTTGTGGGTCAGACGTTCATGGGGGAGAAACGGCCAGAGGTGAACGAAAGCGCCCTCGGTTTTAAGTCAGAACCGTTTTTATCATTGTAAAATAAAAAAAAAGTGTAAAAGGTCTGCTACTCACTTCAGCAGTCAACAGAGGCACAGCGTGTGCAGGTAGAGGCCTCCTCCAGGTGTCCTGCAGGCTGAAGGCTTTCCGTTGCTATGACACCGGTGCACGTCAGGACGCACGCGGATTCCACAGCAATCTATTCTAATCTACGGTACGTCTGAATGTTCAACAACACTTTAACTTTCTCATTTAAAAATGTACCAAATGTGTCGATACAGATGTAAATTGATCTTTTTTTTCTTTTTTTTCCTAGATACAGAAAACATTACAGTTGCCTTCGTATTTAGGCAACAATAATTGTTAACCAATTGCCTATTTTAAAACCCAATACCAGAAATAGATTATAATATGGGATTGCAAAGGTGGGTAATAGCCTAATGCATTTTTTTAAAAATAAATAGGCTACTCTAAAAATGTTCTAAAAAGATAACTTTAACCATTCATTTCAATTTATTATTTCGCAGTCCAGGTGTAATTGATTATTTTTGGGAGAATCGAAGGTGCAACAGGTTACTGGGTTGTGTAGGCTATGACACTAAATGCTTCTGTTGACACCTCAGGTGACCCTTCATGGTGTCCCGCAGATGCTGCAACACTACTCCGACACCTGCCGGGGATGCTACGACTTAATGTTTGGGCATTAGCTGCGTAAAGGCAGGGCAGGGCTTGGCCAGACCATAACTTGGGGTTTCGGCAGCTTTCTTTCTTTTCGTTGCCGAGCCCGGGACCGGGGGGGAGACTACATGGATTGGTGGACGTCGTTGGCAGCGAGTATTGCCCTGCTGTGGATTTTCTGCTTCATAGACGGTAAGAGAACATGGAGCTATATGGACGCTATTGAGGAACAAAACCGTTTACTGCTTATGTCCTAAATTCTTAGCTCACGAATAAGACTTTTTTTTTTTTTTTAATCTCTGCAAAAATAAATAATAATGTCAAGTTGGCTGTGTGTTCTATAATTGTAGGCTATATTTTGTTTTGTATCCTCAAAATTATTTGGGTTATAAATCAGAATGCATAGCCTAACCCAGGAAACAATGTCAGCTGGGATCTCCACAAGAAATCAGTGTTTTACGCGTTTCCTAAAATGAGATCAAATCCTATGACTTATATTTTGTTTTGAAGTAACAATGCCTTATTTAACAAATCTATCTTGCACAATCGTTGTTTAACTCCAACGGATTTTTCTGCCCAGCTCTTGTAAAAAGTGAAACCAAACAAACAAACAAATAAATAAATAAATAAGCTAGGCCTGGGTTTTATAGCCTACCTATATTTCAGCCTGTGGGTTTAGTGTTATGGGTACATTTGTCGTATGGGTCCTGTTCTGAGGGGCACGCGCAATGACGCGCTAAATCGCCCTCCTTGCGTGCTCAGGTGATACCCACTGCCCACATTGGAGAACAAACTTTAATCCAGTGGCAGACGCTGTTTGTAATGGTTGCTGACATTAGCCACCCGGTTAATGAGACTCCAGCTAACCCAGTTACCCTCTTATCTCCAGGCAATGCCGTGCTTGAGCTGCGGCTGCTCTTCCATGCACTGACCAAAGCCGCTTGCCACCTGTACCTGGCCCTGCTCCCGCTGCGCCGAGCCGCCAGCCACTTCACCGACTCTGCGAGATACCTATTTAACCATGCCCAGCAAGCTCCGTCTCCCCAGGGTTATCCGGTCCAAAGCCAGCCCCTGGCCCGGAAAGGCACGCTACACTTCCTGGAGGGCATGTGCGTGGTGTGTGAAACTGTGCCCAACCTAATGGGTGCAGCGCTCAGTGTTGGCGCAGCTTTCTGCCACATGATGCAGGGAGGTTTCTACGTCCTGGCGGCCACGCTGCGCACCATCCAGGTCAACCTGTTCTCCCAGATGAATGGCGAGAAGGATAGATGGGACAAAGAGCGACACAGAGCCAAAGAAAGCGAGAAAAAGCTCAATTCTAAGGTGTTGGAATACATCTCGGTTTTTTGTCAAGACCCTGTCAGCGCTTTACGCATCAAAGTCGACGTACCACCTGTGTATAGATAATATGTGTCAATGCTAAACAATCCACTGGTTAATTGGCACATAAGGGGCCTTCGTTTAACTTCTGAGGGGAGCAGGTGAAGCAGAGATGACAGGAGGTTGGACTTTGATCTCTGTTCACTCACTCACAGTGTTGAATAGTTTCAACAGAATCAGACATGATAAGTGTAAAGAAAATAATCTATGGTGCATTTTATTACATTTGTTTAACATTTATTGAGATGTAACAGTTAAAATAAATGTGTCACACAAACGAAACATTACATCTTTGATGGGTTATGGTATTTATTGTTACCTGACTTAGATTTGTTTTTGGTTAATGTAGGCTATTTTACATACAATCACATGTCATTGTCAGTTTTTACGATATAATTGCACTAACTATCTGCAATTGAGTTTATCATAAGGGGCTCTATTGATCATTCATTTAGTTTAATGCCAGGCATAATCAACTAAGTATCTATCGGACATTCATCATCACTTGTTCATGTATCAAATTCTGATCATCTAACCACTACAATCCATTTTACATAATTTGCAAAATCACCACATTCAAAAGGCAACCATTTAGCCCTGATATCACATTAATGGTTGGAAGTTCAAATGGCGTGTTTAAGTCATAATTGTGTGTTCAATGTTGCAAATAATATGAATTTAGAAAAGTCTATAATTTAACTGCTCCTATAGATAAATCAGCAACTATGCTAAAAACTGAGCAGGACATTAGACAAGCCGTCGACGTAACATTAGATAAAAGCTTACATTAACAATCAACAATCCTTTTATGGTGAAGTTAGCAAGAAATAGGTTACTTGTAAACAATAGCCTAGCTGCTGTCTAACACACTTTATGATAATGAAAAACGTTATAAATTCATAGCTAACTGTTAAAATAGCTTATAATAAATTAATTGCTAACAAAAGGCTAGCTGCAGAATGACTTACACATTAAATTAAATTGAGCTTTTTCCTAGTTTTACACGATACAGATTGCTAGCTAACTGTAAAGTTAACCAAAATTAGCTTTAAAATGGCTCAAAGTAGCTTTTGGGTAATTGTGTCGTTAAACCAGGTCAAACATGATGTCCCTCCAGATTTTAACTTAAAATTCTCTAACAAGATTTTTGACTTGGAACCCAGTACAACATTGTAACCGCATATAGCTTCCCACCCAGAGGGTGATGTCAGAGGAAAAGGGCCTTTGTGTGAATCTGTGGAATTTTGTGACCTTTCAGTCTCCATATCAGGTCATGTGGTTTAATCTTAGCCCTGTCAGATCTGTGAGGGATAAGAACAAGGTTGAGGGAGGTGCAGAGCAAACGTTCAAGAGTGGAATTCTGCCAGATTAAGTCTGGTACGTGGCATCTAGGATAAAGGTACTTTGTCTAAGTGCAGAGTTCAGATTCAGCGTCCCTACAAATATCTTCTGTCAAGGCACAGGAGGGCAAAGAAATGGTCACAGAAAGGACGAAACGGGGTCAACTTGGGTTAGCAGGACTGTGAGCTGATACAGAAGATGGCTCTGTTCCAACGGAGACTAAAGTCTTGTGCCAGGTGGACCATGGAGAGGCTGTGGAGGGATTTTCCCAGCTACAGTGACAGGAAAAACAAAAAAATCCCTTTAGACTGCTGTTGGTCAGTTAAACAAAAAGAAGCAAGATCAGCGAGGACATTCAAGCTAGTTAGCTGTACAGTAAGATCTTAGTGGAAACTTACAGAGCATGTCTCCAATTCTTCTAACAGCGTCTTTGTTTACTCTGAATTCATTCTGCTCCGACCTGCCACAAAGGAACAAATAAAGAAACTTAAGAGCATGGCTGTGGCATTAGAGATACAGACAGCTTATCAATCACCTCAGAAAATGAGCTTAAAACCAAACAGGTTTGCAGGGGCTAATCTTGTTACTCACACCCTCGACTTTGTCACAATCTCCAACCTTCGCAGAGCTGACAGAACGTTTTTCTGTGTATCAGATGAGAGGGCTTCATAGGTGTAGAGTTCGCCTGACACACAAACAATCAGTTTAGGTTAGACAGCCCAAGACCGTTCCTGAAGTCTAAGGTCATTTCTGCTTTCTATGTCACCTGAGAGGATGAGCTTTGTGGCCAGGTTTCGCACAGCAGGTAGGGACTGTTTCTCAGAAAAGGAGTGAACTCCATCTTCGCAAAGGTACCTAAACACCACCTGAATATGAAAAAAAAAACACACCTGGTCAACATAACCCACAAATTTTTTAAAATTTAAAATCCAACCTTGTTATTGTAGTCAAGGCTTTAAAAACTTCATGCAATTCTGCCCTCTACAGTGATGGAGAGGAATGTTTGGAGTATACCAAACTGTGAATGAATCTATGTAGTAAAATCAAAGACTGCAAGACTTGCAAATTCTAATTCCAGTCATTAGATTTATCTTGTTGACATTAGTAGATAGAACCAATCAATGCTAGCCTACATGTCAATGTTGTTTTGGCACATTCAGACACAACTTGTGTGACCCAATGTAACAACCAAAAATCACACTTTCCTAAAGCAATTTAGGTTGCAGGAATATTCTTGCACATTCCTGCAACAATATTCCTGCAACCTTGGACATTTATATTGCTTATCTTATCCCATTTAGGTTTCTTGGGGATCAGGGCACTGCTTTTCACTTTGTCTTCTTTTATTAATGATATTTCTATGTTTACTTTGATGCACCAAACACCTAGTGAAATTCCTTGTGTGTGTAAACCTACCTTGCAAAAACCTAAATTCTTATCTCCATTGCAAATATCCACATTTGCTATGAAGGTATTAATCCTATTCCATTTTCAACTCCACTATACGAGGAACTATATGCTGTTGGGGAAATACTTCTTTTAACCTTATGTATTCACATTGTGCTGCTTAAGCCTCCAATTCCCAGATAAAACAATGAGGTCATGACCTCAGTGTCCTCAGGAGGCTCCAAACTCTGCTAAAACTGTCTGGATTTAATTGAACCCTCAAAGTTTAAGTACAGGGTTTGATCGCTGACAGAAAATAATCTGTATTCATATGATGTAACAGAGAGAAACCTGCATTAATAAAACATACTCCCCTCCCCACCAAACCTGAATCTCATCAAAGTGCATGGTGAGTTATCATGATCCCTGAGTTAAAAAAAAAAAAGTACCTGGTAAGTGTCTATAAAGGGTTTTAGAAGCGCTCGCAGGAAGGAGAGCACCTCCTGCCCAGCGTCTGACACCGTCACTTCCTGCTGACTGACATCGATGGCTGCACATTTCTTCAAGAAGAAGCATGCCTCCTCAAAGTCCTGACCAATTAGAGGAAAGATGTCAACAAGGAGGTAGACACAATAACAATCATTTTGTTCTGGATGGCAGAACTTTCTTTAACCTGAATATTTTTTTACCATTTTTAACATGTCTCAGTACAGTAACTTTCATCCATCATATCTGGAATTCTCTTTTGACTTCAGACATCAAGCCTGGGCTTGGTAGTTAAGTTTGCAAAAAGCAGATTTGTGGGCATGTTTGCACTTTTGTACAATAATGTTCTGTATGACCTTTGCTCTGAGGCGCTTGACGGAGGCCGATACCTGAAAAAAGGATGTTACCTGAGATGACTTTCCAGGAATGAAGATGAACTCATTGGCGAAGAGGTCTTGTAGGAAGAAGAAGAAGGGGAAGATCTTGTCTGTAAACATAATAATGATTGATGAAACAAAGGGGCATTCAAAAAAATCCTAGAACGCACAAATCCAACCCATTTCCTCCAGGCACAAACCCCGAGCAGAACCAGAGTAATTGACCACGGTGTGTTACCCTCACCTCTCTGTGTTGTCTTTGCGATGTGTATTGCGGTAGCGACCATGGCAGGACGCACAAAAAGATGCAGACACTGATTCCTATAGGACGCCATCATCAGGACCGCCGCAGCCGTCCTGAACGCACCTTCCTCTGCGCTGATTGGACGTTTCCCTGCAGGCTCTTCCTCCCGAACCAGGTAAACACGCCCTGCTTTACGTTGAACTATAGAGCGATGAAGGGCCACGCTGGACGCCATCACATCTAGGTCAGGGATTTTTTCTACATAACACAATATCACTATTATCAGTTTATGAAGAGGCTAGAGGGCTGTTTCCGCCTCAGCATACCTTGTAATGTATTTGTGCCCACGTTATAGATCCTGCATGTGTGTACCAGCACACGAGACCTACAAAGTGAGACGGTTCAGTGGGGTCCTTTGAGGATAAGTTTCCTTAAGTGCATTAGTCAACTGAACATCTCCTAAGTGAATCTGTGCTCATGTGCCAACTCACATCGATGTAATCTGTCTGATCTACCTCAGAGCGCGTCAAAGGACCCTCTTTGGTGGAAGCTGACAGATTTGCCAGAAGGGTACCCACTCTGTTACCTTTCTCAATTAACTTTGTCTGGCTTGCTTGTGTTACAGCACGCACATGTCACCTGCTGGTCATTGAAGGGATTGGAAAATTAACAGACAAAATAAACCCACCCACCAGGCCAGTTCAAGCGAGCCCCAAAATCCAGCGCCAGTTTCCTGAGCCAGAGTGTTTTCTCTGTGAGCTGCTGCCACAGCAGGCCCTCCTCTGTTAAGACTGTGGTCGGAGCCTGGAGAAACAGGCAGGCCATCAGAGACCAGGGGCTAATCAGAGAGCCCTCCTCTTGGATCCGTACCACCAGATGAGCCAGCCAACTCACGCAGGCCTGAGCCTCAGCAGTGGGCTTCTGAGGGAGGTCTCTGTGAATAGATATCAAGGGGGAAGAAGAGGGGGGAGTTAACATGGATAATGGAGGGAGCAGAGACTCACAGGCTACACTGAGAAAAGATGGCTACAGATTTTCAACTTCTTTGGACACAATGTTTTCCTACATTTAAGGGATACATACAGAAAAATGGACATAAATATTACAGAAGAAAAGTTAAATGTTAAATAGTTCAATATCTGACATTTAGATGGGATTTTGATGGGGGAATTTAAACCCATGGCCTCTTTTCCTGGCATGAATTTAGTCTGTGTATGGTGCATACCTTCGCTAAATTGATAAGATATCTTGTACAGATCTATTCTACCTGGGTATGAGGTTGTACTGGCAGCGGTTTATCTTGCCCTGACACAAATGTCGGACTGACAGAGGGCGACCAAAGTTCACGTGCATGCTGCCGTAATCTTCCTGCAGCACTTTGGTGGCTTTGAGCAGACCCTGCCGAGAGACAGAGAGAGAGAGAGAGAGAGAGAGAGAGAGAGAGAGAGAGAGAGAAAGAGAAAGCGAAAGAGAAAGAGAGAGAGTAAGAGAGAAAGCAGGGCTGGGAGTGATTAAATAGCAAGATATAATCAGCTTTAAACATGCTTGAACCCTTCTGACCTGTGTTGGTGTTGTCAAAGTTTGAGACAAAATTATATTTGTAATTACATTACAATTAAACGAAATGAGGGGTCTGTTTTTTACAACTTCAACAAAAAAATGATACGTTATCAGGGACTCAGAGATCAAAATTAAACTTCATCAAAGACAGTTAAAATTGTTGTAGGTGATAAGCTTTTTTTAACCAAGTTCATTATGACAGTTTTATCAAGTGAGTGATGTTAGCAGCATGTACCGTGGTGCTTTCTTTGGGTTTTGGGACACCCAGTAACTCATGAGCAAGCAGAGATTCCTCCAGCACTCTGTCGTAGCTGATACTGATGGGCACCAACGTGACGTCAAACACCTCCCCTTTAAAGTAGGGCTCGAGCACCATGTGCATCATACCTGCAGACAAATGAAGAGATGGTAACAGTCCATCCTACGGCCCTTGGAAAAAAAATCTGACTTTTATCACATCTACAAAAGTGTATGTCAACTTCATAGTGCCAAAAGCTGCAGTTCCTCAAGTGGCCACTTGAAGCTAGCTCCAAAAGCAAGTCAATCCCAGTAGACTTCAATGTTAAAATGTAAAACTTTAAAGCAGTAATAAATGTGTTCACTGTGGTATAGAAGTATTTTTTGGTCTCTGAAGCTTAGATCATGAAAACTGCACAAGGAGTCTTTATTTCCCCCTCATTCATGTTTGGATTTGAAGTTAAGCTTATTTATCATGTGGCCATTTTAGTGACAGGTGGTCTACTACTAGCTGTCTTGTAGGGTTCATCTCAACGAAATCAAAACTTTTGAACTTTTACTCCAAATATAGTCACTTATGGCACCAAGATGATGATGGCCAAAATCCTCAAACTCAAGGCTTTAAATGGTAACCAAGAAGCAAACTAGAAAACACCAGCAAAATACCAACATGACACTTACCTAACTTGGGTGTCAGAGACTTCAGTGTGCGGCTCCGCAGGCCTTCCACATAAAACTCCACAGGAGCGAATCCCGTCTGTAGCAAATATTTGACTGAATATTTAAACAAGCTGAAGATATTTAAAAGAGTATGACGGTTTAGATTTCACAGTGCAGCTGTGGTGCTTATTGTGTCTTACCCTGACAATGGTTTTAACATATTCTGAAAGCACTGCCCAGTACAGTTTGTCAGAGCCAATGGCACGTCGGATAAAGAAAGCTCCAGAGCGACGCAGTATCTCTCCCACCATCTTCATCCCTGCAAGAGCTTTACAGTGGCAAGAAGAGAAATAAAGAGAAAAGTAAGGACAATGTGTACCAGAAATGTTTTCATTTAAGTCAGTGTTAACCACATTCATCTGTTGTGTTGGTCCAAATAGATACTTGCGACTTCCTGCAGCAATTACTGGTACGGGGATGTCGTAGGTGAACAGGATGTAGGAAATAACCAAGAAGTCGGCATAACTCCTGTGATTGGGCATCAGGATTACAGGGTGTTCTTGAATTGCTTGTTGGAGCTGAAAGGTGAAATAAGAAACAATGTTCATGAGGAAAACAAGAAAATCAAAGATCAAGTCTATTTTTACAATAGTTTGTGAATTGGTACATGATGGAGGGGAAACTCCTCACGTGGTTATTTCCTGTTACAGTTAGCCACTTTTTATTTAATTAACAGACATTGAAATCTTGACTTTTTGGGGGAAATAATGTTAGACTTGATCATCCAAAAGTAAAAAGGTCTGTGTGCAGTGACTTCTTGGAGAAACATAAACAACCGAATAAAAACTCCAACCTATGACCTTTACATTTCTATTTTGGTCCATCTAACACAAATGACAACAGTCACACTGTAATGGTTGTTGTGGACCCCAGAATGGTTACCCTAATACATTAAACTAAACTAAACTAAACTAAACTAAACAAACAAATGAAACACATCATGCTAAAAGAAAACGGTCACAGGGAAAGAAAACGCTTTAATAGGATATAACAGAACTTTATCTTTTCATATTTGTTTCTGTATGTTACTTTTGAAAGTGTTGGAAGCAAGAAATGCTGATAAATGCAAACAAAAGTTGTTCTTTTTTATTTGGATAAAGTTATAGATCTACCGTATTTGTATGAAAACTACTAAGAAGTTATATACTGGAGTAGGAAGTGGAAGCTGTCCATCACTGGCTCTATGATGATCCTAAACAGAACATAGTGTGTTGTTGTGAAGATATTTTTGATAATTGCGCCTGACCCTGTTGAGTCCCTCCATGTTGACATTGATGCTGCTGAAGAGTCTCTTGGACATTTTGCTGACAGTGTAGCCCATCAGCCTGATGAACCCCAGCTGCAGGTTTTGAGACATCTCCTCCAAAATCCCTGTCGCCTCCTCTCTCACTTCCTCCACCGACGACCCCATCTCTGTGGCGATCTGAGGAAGAAGGAGGAAATGAAAACAATGCTGATGGAAGCAATAGTTTGAAACGACTTCATTCAATCTTTTCTATTCACCTCCTTGGCCATGTAGCGGAGATACTGGGACTCCAGCACAGCCTTTTGAGGTCAGCTGTGGAGCAGGAGGGGGCTCCTTTGTAGGGGTGGGGGCTGAAAGTCCTGAAGGCATGGCCGAGATCACTGCTGTTTCTCCTCTCCTCTAATATATCCACAAACTCCTCCTCGTTGACCAGATCGCCTTTGACTGACTCCATATACTGCGGTGAGAAGTTATGCGTCTGTAAAACACATGAAACACAACAAATTGAAGGTTACTCAGGCACGTTGGAAGAAAAACACAGAAAGATGATCAAAAGGAAAAAGAAAAGTAGTAAAAAGAAAAGTCAAACATAAACACAAAAAAGAGGCTTTAGAGGGGAAGTTTCTCACGCTCACCTCACTCATGTTTTTTTAGTTCACAAACTGGCATGGTTTAGTGACATCACAAATGTCAGCCAATAGTGATCCAAAGTGTTCTAATTCAAATGAGTTTCATGTGAAAACTATAAAACATCCAGTCCAAATCAATACATATGCAGAATCGTATAGGAGTTAAAACTGATCTTACATCAATAGGATCTGGATTTAATGATGTCTATGAACTACTCCAGATATAGTAATCCTAGATGGTTTTTATCCTAGAGTCCTAAATTATGAGCAGAAACAACGCTAATCTCATTATCTACAGTCTATATTGTTTGGACTCTGACCCACTAATGTTGGATGGATTACTGAATGTTTCAAAGTAGGTCAAAGTTCCAGCAGCTAATACTCCTCAGCTCTATTGAGACATGCTTCTGGTGCACTTTCAAACAGCTTCAAGACTGCAAACACAACAATGCATTTGGGACTCAATCTGTTTCGATGTCTGCCCTTGCATATTCCTTTTTTTTTATTATTTATTTTTACACACTGTTTTAATTAATCTACTTTTAAAACGTGTTGAAGTTGAGAACATGCACAGAAACAAGCGACAGGCTAAACTGAACGGATGCAACAGTGGATGAAAACAAACTGGGATCGAAAGCTCTCACCGTATGAGTCATGAGAAAACGCGACCTTTGCAGGTGTTCGTCCTCGTCCACGTTCGGTTTCAGTCCGTTTCCGCACTTGCCCGGCGCTCACTTGGATGCAGCCTGTCAACATGCAGTCAGCATCCCCAGGGCGTGAGCCAATGGAGTTGTTGGGTTTTGGAGACTCCTCCCGCACAGTGTAACGAGCAGCCCTCTGCCCTCTAATAACCCCCAACACAACGCGGATGTGCACAAGCAGGGGGGGGGACTCCGTTTTCTTCCTTCTTCAAAAGAAATGTCTTATAGATAACACACACAGGCTTGGACGAAGTGTGTAATTGTGCTTACTTTGATCAACAATACTTAATATGTCCATGTTTTTGTAAATAATCAAATCTGTCTTTTTAAGAATATATGCACATTTGGTTTAACTATAGCCTTAATTTATTCATAATTAAGAACAGTGAGTTTAGGAGATGTTTTTTCTTTTTTTTTAAGTCATTTGAGGTGTATTCAGTTAATTACTCATCAATTCAGACAGTTCAGGGACATGAAGGTCACAAAGATGAGGTCAGCTACATCCCTTCAGTCTCAATTTCTCCATGATGAGCAGTTTAATGCGTATCACACACACACACACACACACACACACACACACACACACACACACACACACACTAGTAGTAGCCTAGTGATTAAGATTTTGAAACTTTTACTTCAGTTCTTAAAAAAGAAGATTAAGAAAAAGCTTTGTACCTCTTTGTTTCAATGTAAGTGTTTATCTGTTAGTCGTGTAGGCAAGTTATAAAATGTAATCAAGCAGATTTACTGTAACATTTTGAGATAACTGTACTTAACTTGAGTTTTTCCATTTTATGATTATAATTCTTCCACTTAACTTAACTCCAGGCGCGGAGCCCATGGCTCATTGCAGAGGGGGCGGGGACCAATAGTGGGCCCTTAAACTGTCTATAGGCTATATAGCATATGCTGTAGCCTATATAGTAATATAGTATAGCATGTATGGTATAATATCGGCTGTATGGAGATACAGAAGAGAGAGAGATTACAAAGAGTGCTATTACAGTGACAGGGACTTATCAGTGAGTGACCTGCTGATGTTTAAGCAGAACAAGTGCTGACATGTCTGTGCGCATATTCCACCGATTAAACAAGTAAAGCAGACTTAACTAGCCGGACAGGAAACCAAAGACAGAAGGCAACTACAGTTTGACATTCAGTGAAGTTGGACGCTCATCCAGCCACACAGACAATACAATAAAACCCACATTATCAACCCACGCACGACAACAAACTTTGTAAACAGTGTGACAGCAATGGCCTACCGGTCATACAGTACGATAACAAGCAGACACGGCGGTCTACAACACACCCACAAACAAAAGACCAGCATCTAAGCGTAATCTCAAATAATGATGAAACAACTTACCAATGAAGTTTTCATCAGCACTGTGCTTTCCTGCAGCTCGCTGGGTGCTCCTCTCTAACATGTTTATTTGCTTGGATAGTTTCGTTTACGTTAGTGGAGCTAGCAACGGGAGGAGACTTGTCAGGTTGAGTTGTCAATGAGAAAACATTTTTTATTTAGTTTTTTACACTTTTAATGTTACGAAAAACTGCGAGGTAAACAGAAATAAAGCAGACAGACGACTAGGTTTTTTAAAACTCCAGACAGCAGCGGGGGCCCAGCAAAGGGGGTGCTAAGAGGTGGAATCAATGACATTACAAACAGGCCACAGCACCCCGCTGGTGCTGTTTGCTGCCGAAGTTGAGAGCCCCCTTGGCAGTGGAGGGGGGGGCCCTCTGCTCTACAAAATACATTGTGTGTCTTGATTGCGGCAAAAGAAAGAGAGACTCAGACCTTGTCAAACTAACTTTATTAGAAAATTCAACTAAATAACAAAATGCATGTTAACTTTGGCTCAAAGTGGGCCCCTTGAGACAACAGTGAGCCGCACCTTCTGCCCCCACACTCGCTCCACTACTGCGCAAATCTTTATACTCCTTTAATTTTTGTATTTATGTAACAAATTACTTTTGTGGTAACAATGTTTTATACACCACGTGGTCAGTGATTTTTCATCATTCTAAGGTCCTGAGTGTGTTTGGAAAAATTCTTAAACTGTACCTAAGTAATCAAACATTTTTAACACCATAAAAGAAGTGCTGATATTACCTTGATACTTCAACATGTATGTGGTGTTGTATGCAGGATTTTTACCTGCAGTGGAATATTTCCACAGCCTGGCATTAGTGAGAAAGCTGAATACTTCTTCAACGGCCGTTTCCAGGCAAATGTGATGAAGGAAGAGGAGATAAATACAGCGGCTGATAGGTATGGACACACGCTTACTGATGTACCAAGGCATTTTATTGAGTTTGATTACACCAATTTAACAGTGAACTGGTCAAAAGCAGTGACAGGGATTATATGAACAAACTATTGATCACTTTCATGCTCTTTTAGCTCTTTCATAGAAAGAATAAAAACAGTTCAAAGAATTATAAACAACAGATAAATATACTCACACCTACTGCATGTATACTGTTGTTGTGGTTTATGCACCTTATGACCTCATGTTATATGTTTATTTAAGAAGGAAAGATCACATCCGGTCTGATGAGGATTTTAAGACTTGGCATCTGCCTGAAATGATGTTATTAACTAATTGCATTAATGTCAGTGTAAAAGAACCACTGGATGTAAGTCAACACCCAGGTTTCAGCTAACTACATCAGTCAGTATCTATTAGATGAATGTTCTTGGTGGCATTTGTGTAAACATTCATTCATCTTAGCGTAGAGGTCAAAATACCCTGATGATCAAGTGTATTGTATGACCAGTAACAGAACAGATGAGTTAAAAATAAGAATAATCCTGAAGGCCACAACAGACATGACAATCTGAGCACAAGATTAACTCTTTGAGTGATTCCAATAGAAAAATAGAAATTAATCAGCACATGTATTTTTTAAGAGAAATGAAATAAAATGTGCTTTTTGTTTGCTTGTCATCATTACTTTTTCGATAATAAATATATCTTTTTTTTAACTCTTTTTACAATGCGCTTACTGCCAGGGTTCTTGTCCTCTGATCATTATACCAAACTCAGAGATTTTCATTCGTTCATTGTGCTCTGGAATACATTTAAATGTACCATAATACTGACTTCAAAACATATAATAGATTACATACACATAAGTTGCTCCTCAGTAAAAATGAGCCTGCATGTTTATATCTGCAATTCCATACCGTTCGAGGATCTATAACAGTCTAGTTTTTAAAAAGTTCAGAGTAAGAAAATAAATTCTGTTTTGAGTATTTGGCACACGTTTCTATACTTCCTCTCTTATATGCACAGTATGGTTGTGTTCAGTTCAATAAAGGATGCTACTCTCTATATAAGAAACAGAGACAGTCTTGCTACTGAAACAATGCCAACACTCACTCACAAATAATATATTTGCTAAGCTGCCTGAATAAATTAGGTTTTTTCTATAATATACATACGTCTATTCAGAAGGCTACCAATGCCATCTTTTGATAAAAGTGCGTTTATACATCCATCATGTGCGTTTTATAGCAGATTCTTATAAGGCTCTCTGCTGTGCACTCAAAAGTGCTCAAATGTCGACACGAAACCTACAGATTCATAACAAACACACATGTAACCATCACTATCCAAATAACTGCTACATCTCAAACACACCACTAGTCTGTTTTTTCTGCTCAGCAGGCTGCAGGTAGTCAGCTCTCAGTGCGGGGACTCTGTGGAGGTGTAGCTCCATGATGTTCCACACGGGGGAGCTGCTGCCTCCAGTAGGTGAAGTGACTGAACGTGTCCGCGCAGGGGAAGTCCGAGGAGGAAGCTCGCAGTTTCAGAGGGAATACATGGTCCACCACCTCACCCAGACGGACATAACTGAAGAAAGGAAGAGAGGAGGAGACCACAATCAGACAAATTTTTCATTTTCATTTCCTCTGATGTATATAGTTTTTGTTTTCCTAGAATAGAAAAAGTAAAGAAGATCAGGACTTACGATGAGATGTTAGTCTTGGCATGCTCCTGCACTAACTCTCCTTTAGGGTTTACTGTAAAAATCCGGTTTAGTGGCACTCCAACTTCTTTATAGGAAAAAACATCCTAAAAAAAAAAAAAGAAGAGAATTCACTGTTTAAAAGGATGCACAACTGAATAAAGTAATGCAAATACACATTAGTAAAATAATATGTAACATGCTTTCATTTTAAACCAAATATTATAAACTCAGAGGCAGTTAAATTAAGCGTTTTAGTGTGTGTGTGTTTGCGTACCGTTGGTCTGTTGCCAAACGCTGCATAGAACGGTTGTGTGTTTGGGTAGAAGAGGTTCTTGATATCTGTGAGACACTCCACCTTGAATTTTTCTGGTTTCTTCTCAATAACTTCCCTGTCAAACATCCATCACAGTACAATATTGATAAAGTCACATTGTCTTTTGCATTATTTTGCATATTGCAACATCACAGTAGGCGCTCAAGTGTGTGTGTTTGTGTGACTGACCTGTGCAGAGCTGAAAAGAGGCTGCTTGGGCTGAGCAGGACGGGGCCTATAGGGAGCATGGTGCCTCTCTCGTTGACCCAGTGGAGGTAACCTCGGGTCATGTCAGCCATGCCGATGGCTCGAGCTGAGCAGTAAAGGAACTTGTAGCCATTTCTGATGCAGAGGATATGAAGAAATGTATCAAAAATCAGGGAACTTGTTTGAAGACTGTTTTGAAATCTGTACATTAATTTATTAGCAGTTAGTCCTTTCTATGCTTTTTAAATCAGTGCTTACTGGCTGACTTTGTGGTAGAGTTGTGCGATGCCCTGGTGGGTCCAGTCTTTTCCCAATGTGGGCAGGATATGACCCAACGTGTCAGACCTGAATTGAAACACAAATAAGTGACGTCAGACCATGTGAGTACTGACTTTTTTTCAGTTTTATAAAAAATACAAGAATCATGGACAAAAATAAAGAAGGACAGCTGTTTGTCACACCTGGTGATGGTTCCATCTATGTCTGAGATGATTATCTTGTCGTCCCAGTTCCAGAGGTAGATGGTGCCCTGACAGCGACAGGTTCCCTGGTACTGAGTGGTCACACTGAACACAACATCGTTAGGACCCTCCTGCAGCTGGAGAGATAGCTGTGTGTGTGTGTGTGTGTGTGTGTGTGTGTGTGTGTGTGAGATGAAGAGAAAATGAAGAAAATAACATATGAGGGTTAAAATTATGAATATTTATATATATTAACGTTCTACAGTGTTTTCAAAGCAAACTTCTCACCAGCTGCTCTGATGTGAGGCGGAGTGTTTTCTTATAAGACACGCCCCCTTGTGTAAGTACGGACTCTGATTGGCTGGGGACTGAGCTCTGTTTGGCTGCCCTGTGGTCTTCATCACTAGAGGAGGACTCTTCTTTATGTCTGTAATTAGAAAGTGAGACAGTTTGTTTAAGATTGTTCAGTGGAGTCAGCTAGGATGCCCCATTTAAGAAAATGTTCTCACCTGCCGGTCATTTTCCCAGCCTGCTCAGCGGAGCCGCATCCACCAGACACTGAATCCTACAAGAGGAGTAACATTTTTAGCAAAGAAGGAGAGCAACATTTCAGAAACTCAACCTTTACAAACTGATAAGAAAATAAGAATACCGATTTGGTGCTGCTGTTTCTGCCTCTCCAGGAGAACCACCACCTCCCTCCTTTCTTGGGCATCTTCTCCTTCATGATGTTCTCCACTGCAGCCTGTGGAGGAGTACGCACAAACCCCAGAAAAACACAACACAACACCATAAACACATTTAAAAAAAAATGAAGCCAAAAAGCTGAAATCAACAAACAGTAACATAATAACAACAACAAGTCCGTGGTTGGAATGGGGAAAGTAAAGCAAGGATGGCTGGGAGGCGTTTGAGGGATCAGGAGTTTGATATGGTACAAAGAATGAGGAAAGTGGAGGAAGTAAGAACAGGAGGGAGGGTCAAAAGATATCAAACGAGATAGTAGGCTGAAAAGATTGTTTTATGTGACATACAGAGCTGTAGCCAAGCACGCCAGTCAGACAACAGAGAAGAAACTCTAAGGCTGAATGAAGATAACTGAGGCAAGAAAACTAATGAATGAGTGGATGGATGAGAAACAAAATAAGGGGGAGAGAGAAAACAGATTCAGTGGTCTTTCTGAGGCTGCAATAACACAACGTCTATGATGTGAAGCTCAAAGTCACAGATTGCATATTAGGTTTCATGCAATGAGTGCAAGAGGGGAAGAAGTACGAGGGGTGTAGGGATACAAACATACAGGCTGCAGTTCCAGTTTTGGCCAAGAGGGGGAATTCAACAAGCCTGCAGCTTGAGTCATTAGTATCAGTGTCTGTGTATCGATTTCTTACCTTTGGCAGCGGTTTCTGGAAGGCTTGCATAGCCAGCATAAGTGGAGCCGCAGTGCTCCAATTATAGTACCTGCAGGAGAAAACAACATATTTTTGTATTCATGTCATAACCACACAATAAAAGCACTCTATCTGCCAAATTTCTTTGCAAAAACAAACTTAGATTTTTCAAAGAAAATCCTGCAAATAATGCAGTTTTTACTGCAATGTGAGGTAGTTAAATCCCTACAGAGGATTATATACCGTTTAATCCTACTCTTTTGCATTAATTATAAAAAATGTGAATGACTAACTTGGAGCCAATTTTCACAACTAAGTTGGGGTCGTCAATGATGGAGGGGTTTTCTGCAAACTGCTGGTAAGAGATCATCTTCTCGTGGAACTGCTCTGTAAGTACAGATTAATACATTTATGTTTTACATTTTTCCACAGTGTAAAGTTTATGGTGCAGAATAGATGTGCTGTCAGTATGAGAACCTAACCTTTAGTGATCTCTCTGTTGTCGTTGAGTCCTCCACACAGAGAGATGGTGATGGCTGGCAGGTCGGCCATACTGTCGCAGTAGCTGTCCACTCCGCTGTCTCCTCCTGAGCTAACCGACTGTGGGGACAGACTGGTGCTGTGGAAGCCCGGGTCTGAGATGCTCCTCTCTGTTGCACCGCCATCACTGCACGAAAGACGTAATTGTATAAGAACATGACGTATAAATAGGGTTTTCTGTGTATGATTATGTGCTTGATTTCTACCTCTTAGGGAAATAAAGGGCTGCAACTTCAGGCTCCAGGTCTGTGATGTCATCCAGGTAAATTCCATCAGAACCAAGATGCCGGCTTCGCTTGTCTAAAAGAGAGCTATTATGTGCCTTCTTATATACCTGCTCAATAATGAACACAATCTGATATTCAGATATGTAAAATCTAAGTGTTTTTTATTTTGCCATTAAATGGAATGTTACCTTTTTTCTTGGATGGAGAGTCCGTCTTGCCTGGCAGACGAGGTATTGCCTCCTCCATGCCGGACATCATATGAGCTGCTGCACCTTCAGCTGCTGTTACCTGCGTCTCAGTGGTCACAACAGTCTGTGACTCCATCGTCATGGACTCAGACTCCATCCCGACTGTTACGACGGTTTGCTCTGAAGTCTCCTGCTGCATTAAAAACCTCAGTGAAGATACTTCTGAGCAGGGTCTGCGCTGCTGTGAAGACGTCTCATGAGTAATGACTCTGAAGTGTGTGCTCTCAGACACAGGGATGGAAACTGGGTACACTGTGGAGGGTCGGATTTAACTGGGAGGAAGGACAGCTAAAAAGCAAGGGAAGAGGATGAAATGTTAAAATGCAGGAAAACACATTAACATAACGTTAGAATTCTAGAGTGTATACGGTAATTGTTCTTTGTTTGTTTATACATAGGAAAGTTTGGTTACCGTGGCAGCCTGAGGCAGCTCCCCCCACGCCCAGTGCATGGCTGGATCCTGATTATCTGCGTCTGATTGTTGAGTCATTAGTTCAGAGTCACTCTTGGGCGAGTTGGGGCGAGAGTTTCGAGGGCTGAGAGAGGAACAGAAAAGAAAACTATTACAAAAGCTATTTCTTCTGAGTAATAAAAATGAGATCTTAATCAAAATCATAGAGTAAATGAAGCACCTCTGAAGAGGACTCCACTCTCCGTCTGAGCGAGTGTAGATGCCACACTGCTTGAATGAGCCGCTGGTCGAACCGACTGCTGTCTCATCTCTTAAGAGATCCCGAGATGAAGTCCTAAAACACACACAAACACTGTTATGTATATCATGACATTGTATATGATTTATCTGCATTCTGTAATTACAAAGGGGCATTTCTTTTGTAATGGTCTGTTATTTCCCTTTTTACTTTTTACCCAATTCCCAAAATGATTGTCAAGTTCTACATAAATCATGTCTGAGCTCCTTGCAATCTGCCTGCGTATGTAAGCCTGGGTATGTTGAACTGGCTTTATGGTATATACCCATCTGGACTCACAGTAAGCTTGAATGGAACAAACACTGTAGCTGTGTTTTACAGTTGTGTACAGTAGACATGAGCCAGAGTTTAAATATCCCCCTGTCACGTGCAGAGATGAAAATACATCTGTCATGAGACAGCTATTTACAACTGCTTCAGCCTTCATTCATGACAAATGGACTTTGACGTCAACAACAGTACAGTATGGGAGACACATGGCTCCTATAGATGCAACCCTGACTTGCCTTTGGACTGTTTTAGATGGAATGCAGACAAGAGGGCAGCTTATCTGTAACTGTATGCACACGAGACATGAACTCCTTCACCAAAACACACACACACACACACACACACACACACAGCGGCGATATAATTGATTTTGCTGCATAGAAGCGCAGAAGCTTTGCATGTGAAAAAAAAAGCTCAGCTGAAGTTTTCATGCTGTTTTGTGTTTTCTTTGTGTTTTCATACTCATGCTTGAGTGTGTGTGTGTGTGTGTGTGTGTGTGTGTGTGTGTGTGTGTGTGTGTGTGTGTGTGTGTGTGTGTGTGTGTGTGTGTTTGTAAATTCCACAGCTGGGGGCCTCTCCACTACAGACGCACTGGTGTGTTTATTCTAGTCTGACAGACTCCAGTTCTACAACAGCTTCTCTGAAAGCTCATTTCAGTGATGTATTTTACTTGTGTATGTATTTTCTTTTTCACTGCTTTGCTGTCAGTCCTATGCACTTCCTTTACTCACGACATGTTTTCTTCTACCATTTTCCCACGGTTATTCCAATATTCCAAATTAAGCTTTTAATTCCACATCCACCTCTAAACTTTCTCCACATTCTGTCTTTCTTCTTCTCACCTTTCCAGCTCCGTGCCCTCATCAGAGCTTATATCTATGGTGAACATGTCATCATCCTCCGAGTATCCCCGCTCTCCTCCCTCCTCATGCTGTCTGCCCGAGCCTTCCTCCTCCTCTTTCTCCTCTTCTTCATAATCCCGCTGCCAGTCTCTCCAGCGCCCCCTATGGAGCCCAGGGATTGTAAGGGTGGTCCGCAGTTCTTTCCAATCAGGGAAGAGCTCATCAGGATGGCCCCGTCCGATAAGATGGGAGAGGTGGCCAGGTAGGAAGGCACCACTTCCTGTTTTGATTGCAAACAGAAGAGAAGCGATGACGAATGAATCAATATGTCGTATCTAAGCAAACAGCTTCAAACTGCATTTCAAAATCTTAAACTTCTCCAACTGAAACGAGAACCGAATCTTGGTGTTTTGCACAATTTTATTTTGAGGCCAGTCTGTGTACAATAACTGCCAAACTGTTCTCAGCAATGTCTGCTGTGAGTAGACCATCCGCCATAAAAAAAAAGAAAAAAACACATCAGCCAAGCCAAAACGTGTTCCTCACTTCTGTGAAAAGAGGCAAAACACCTCTTTCTAGGAAAAGACTTTTCAGGAGGGCCTCAAAACTGTCAGCCGCAAGGGGTTTAAATGTGTGTGGGTTTAACAGACATATGGAAAGAAAAACAAAAGGAAAAAGAGAGAGAGGGAGAAAAACTGAAGTGTAATTAAATGATTTGTGGGTCGCTGGCTCCCTCACGTTTTTGGCTTCCTTTTACAGAGAAAAAAAAAAGGGTTCACAGACACAATGCTCCTCCCTCTCCCTCTCTCCTTCAGGCCTGGGAATCTGACACCACTCTATGGAGAATAAATCACCAACTCCCTTGGTTGGCGCTGGCCCCTGTGCTCAGTAGTTTACCGCTTGTTTATGTCTTTCAGCTGCACACGTTGTCATACGCACTCATATGTATGAAGAAATGCTTATAGTACTCTGAAGAGGTTTCTGGTTCACAACTCTGGTTGGTCTAGTTTGTGGTTTATCCTCATATGTAATATGTTAGCATTAAATATAGGTCAGAGAGCCTGAGTTGGTAAATGCTGCATTCAGGTCTCAGTCACTCTCTAATGCACAGAGGAATGCTTTCAGCCATAAAGGAAAGCAAGAAAATTCCTGGACACCGTGCCAACCCTGCACACACTGTAATGCTTCTGGCTTGTAAACATGGGTGTGACTAGGTTTTAGGATGTCAGGAGGGCGGAGAATAATGAGTGTTTTTATTTGAATCTTGCAGCTTTTACAAAAGATGACACGTGCGCCATTTAACAGTTCTGTACTTCGAATGACTGCAAAACATCTGAAGCATTTTACAACGCAAGTTGCTGCTCAGCTTTAATTATGGTAACACATACCTGATCATTTTCTGTTTCTTGCACAAAGAAGGCTTCTCCATTCTCCCCAAGCTTCATGTGTAGATCTACAGGTTCTCCGTTGATCTCCATGTCCACCTTGTAGAGAAGGGGAAGGGTCAAAAAGGAAGAGAGGCCTTTACCCTCATGCATTTAAAAAAATGACTTTTACCTTAACTGGAAATCTTTTTTTTATCTACTTACCACTTTCTCCCGGGAGCGGAGGACGCCCATCTTTCCAAAGCGGACATGGAAAGGTGAGCAGTGCAGGGATCCATCAGGCTGTCTCACTACGATGACATCGATGCAGCCAGAAAGAGTGGCGGGATTGAGGCCTCGGTACAGCTCTTTGACCTGGACAAACACCTGGCCTGCCAGCTGGCCCACGTAGTTCATGGTCTGACGTGTCTGTAGGAGAACAGGCAGAAGACATTATTGAGCAGGCAAAAACATTCATGTCCCCTTAAGTAATGTAATCTTTCAAGAAGTTTTCTATGAGATCAAAGGAAAGACTACGACAGCATTAGGATGTTTAATATGTATCACTCAATTTCAAGTTGAAGTTTTAATGCTACTTAATTCTATAGCTATTTTTAGACTAAACTAGTACATAAAGGAAAATGTTGTTGCTTATTCATATTTTCCCCTAAATGCTGCTTTTAGAGAAATTGTGTCGAAGCATTGTCACACTCGGGATGGAGCTGTTATACTAAATATTGGCAAGGCTATGATTTTCTTTAGCACCTGGCATGCAACCTTGTGTCTTTAACTGAATCCATGCTGTGCTGATGTTCAGTTCCTGTGCTCCCACTGCTTAATTAAAACTTTCAATACAACCCATGCCAAATGGTCTTAAGTTGCTTCTTAAACCACCTTGTATAGTAGTGACTAAGCCAGGAGTAAGCATGCCTTGGATTCAGTCAAGCTTCAGAAGAGGAGATGTTTATGACCCTACATTCTTCAGTCTGTAAATCAGACTGAAGTATGACGTGTAGCCCTACCTCAGGTGAAGTTATTCCACAAGTGATTTAAAGTCAGTTTTGAGCTGCACCATTCCTGGAATAGTTAGAGAAAGAGAGCAAGCTGACTTTCTCCTGTTCAGTTCTCTGGAACCAGTGTTTCCCCTGCCATTATATTAGGGGGGAGGCCCACCCCCCCCCACCCCCCCAACCTTGAAGGTCAAGTGAAAAAAAAAAAAAATAAATAAATATATATATATATATATATATAAATATATATATATATATATTTGTTTTAGATTTTTTGGGCTTTTTGTGCCTTTATTGTAGAGATAGGATAGTGGATAGAGTCGGAAATCAGGGAAATAAGTCATTTAAGGATACCTTTCCGATAGAAAAGGACAGCTGTTATTAAAAGTAACGCATGAACACCAAGATTCCTTCAAGTGTTTGTGTTGCCGTGTCGGCATGTTCCCCCCCCCCACACTCCCCCAAAGCTGCAAACCTAGGGAAACACTGAGAACAGCCTGTGGCCTAAATACTGTGAGAATGAAGACCTTGGCACTCTCTCCTCTGTATCTTCATAAGTCTAGAAATCCTATCCACCTGTTTTCCATTAAGCGCCCCGAGACAGCAGAGGTCAAAGGACAAACTAAGTTAGACTCGTCCTACTCATGTAGGGAAGGTGATGTCAAAACGTGGCACGGCGTTTATTTGCTGAGCTTCAGCGAGACGTCATGGGAATCAACACCTATAGGCAATGCTATTGGTGACATGAGTATTGCGAATGTCTTTTAAAGGTAAGGGATACTGTGACACAAGAACTAGACTAAGGTTCACAGTAGACAATGGTAGACAGTCGTCAGACTCGGCACTCCAAGTTTTGCTTCCTTTTCCTTCAAGTCTGTTTGTTTTTTCAATTGTAATATCCATTATTATTATTAACCATTACCCTACACACAATAAAATAGTGGTTCTTCAGCGGTTCATTGAGGTGAGATATAGCACCAAAAGAGGTTCCCCTTTGATTACGAGCCAAATAACCATTTTAAGTGCTATTTAGCACCATTTCTTTCTTGTGTGTAGCTGCTTATACACATGCATGTTAAAAGCATATCGATTGTTTACTGGTCATCAAAAAGCTCTTATTATAATCCCTAAACACTATTTAAAAAACTGCTAGACCATTATGAGTTTTTACTAAATAGCCTTTAAATGACTTCTTATTTAAATTGAGGATAAGGAGTGTTTGAACACAAATAAGGATCTTTACTCTGTAGTTTTGTGGCAGCACAAACAACCTTATAAGGCCAATACTGAGCAAACACGTAAAGGCTGTTTCACACTTCCTCACTTATCTTCCTAACTCATTCTCAATAAGACATAATTGAAGAAGAACTGTCCTGATAACATTTATACCTTTTCTTTCGATTCGGAAAACAAACGCTTGGGTATAAGCCAATACTGAATATCGCCTCTGACACCAGTAGGATTAAAAAAAATTGGTTGATTGGTGATATCTTACTTGGTTAAGCTATCATCAGCTTGAACCTCACAGTCGTTGTTTGTGACAATTAACCTAAAACCAGTCCATTCTTGGGGCCTAATAGGACTAAATAACTGCATCAGGTGACAGCATTGACTGGCATATTTTACACTATACCACATTTTGGGCAGTATCGGAGGACTATATCGATACTGATATCTGTTTTGGAATGACACTAATCAAGAGGTTATTAAGCGAAATTACCCTCATCCCTATTGGGTTCCACAAATGTGGGCACATAGGCATTGATACTGTGTTCATTTCCTGTCTTTGGCTGCATCCTCACAGTCAATCACATTTCCCCCTGCTCGCTGTGACAGATCATCCTTTAAACAAAGAGTATGATGCAAACACAAATAGCCAAATATGAAAAATCCCATTTGTACAGACTCTTTGGAGTTGCAGCTGTCTTGTATCAGTGAATGAGCTCTGACCTTGACTCAGTTGGCAATGGGGCCCCCAAAATGATTGCAGCAACAGGGAAGACAGGTTTGGAATAATGCCAACATATCCCCCCCATTTGAGCACACGTGACTGTTACAACAGGCTCTATACACAAGAACAGGGCCTCTTGTTTTAGAGCAGCAAAAATATGAAAGGGAACATAAGCATGTCTGTGTTTTAAGATACTCCTATAGATGACCTTCACTATCTTTATTCATTCATTTCACTTTTCACTGCAGTATTGAGTGACAGTGATGCTGGCAAACCCAGCTGATTATCAAAGCAGAGGACTTTTAATGTGAACACAGCGTTTTCTAAAAATAGATTGTCTTGTGTTATGGATGAGACAGAAAGAGGAAGTGTCACAGGCATTACTGCTTGTTTTCACAAATGAGTGGTTGTGGATACAATGAGAAAGTTGACTTATGTTTAAGAGCGGTATGCTTGTTAATTTAATGGCTTTTCCAAGCTGCAGTTGTGAAGATTTCCTTGCAGGCAGGAATCTGGCTGGGTCACTCAGCAGATCATTTTCTGCTCTACCAGCAAACACAGAGTCTCATTTAGTCCCTTATAACAACATCAATTAAAGTCACAATGCCTCCCAAATTCATTTTCTCCAGATATTTAAGAAACTCAGCAAATGTAACATTCATGGGTTGAATAATAAGGCAAATTTAATTAATAATGGCAGTGCATGTGCCCTACATAAGCAGCCAATAGGTTTCCATTATCACATATTTAAACGGAAAGACATTTTTGACATGTTATAGATGTAGGCTATAGATGTTTCACAACATCCTGATAGTGGTTATGGTACATTTGAGGCATTAATGAGACATGTAGCCTGTTATGTCTGTAAGAGAACAGGGCATATCATAACAGACACAACTGTGCGAGGGAAAACAGCACGTCCATTCATTAGACATAACATAAGACAGGCAGGTGCGGTCAAATATGAGATAAAAATAGGCTCATACCTTGTATAGCTGAGTATGCTGACAGCCTTTACTAATACACGGAGCTTGTAGTTTCCTTAGCGATGAATGGCAACCCAGCAAGACATTTTAGACGCGTAATTTCCCCAAAGAAAGTGTTTTTTGAGGGTCTGATAAAGCCACGTTGTTGTCATCGACTTAAAGCGGCAAAAACACAGACTATTTAAATGAACGCTTTACTCACCCCTCTCTCTCTCTCTCTCTCTCTCTCTCTTGATGACATCACTTACAGCGAGAGCCCGCCCACTGACCAATCAGCACCGAGCTTGTCATCTGCCACAGTGGCAACAAAATTACAGCTACTTGCTTTTATTGCTGAAAACAGATGAATCAGATACATTGCAACTGAAACTGGTATTCTCTCTGTTTTATGATTAATATTCGTTATTTTTATTCTAAACAGCAATAAAGACAAAAAAAAAAACACCGATATAGCCTAAATAAAAATCCATAATCTTGGCCCTTATAGGCTATATGATTATAAGTGGAATTTAAGTGGTATTTAAGAATAGATATGATGAAATAGTATCGAGCCGCTATGTTATGACGGCAGGATATAATGGTCCTACGTCATCGTCTGAAATCCCCGAGTTCGCCCGATGCAGTGAGGTGATCTTTCCAGCCAATGACAGCCCAGCATGAGAGCACATGCGATGTTTGCAGTTTAACCTGAGACCCTGTAGCCTACGGTGTGTCAAAAGGATGTGGTTGACTGGTGAGGGATTGAGCAGAAGTCAGTACCAGAAAATAACTATTTAATGTCTGATATCAAGTCCGAGAATGAAAGTGCACTGAAGTTGTCCTGCTTTTTCCTACGCTTCTAGTCCTAATGTAATCCTAAACTACATTGTGTGTGTGTGTGTGTGTGTGTGTGTGTGTGTGTTGGAACAGAGCCAAATTTGTGACAGGGAAAAAAAGTCTTTATGGAAGACATCCCTGCCGCAGCCCAAATATTTCATGGGCTACATGCATCAACAAGCTCACGTGTTCCTCTCCTTCAACAAGAGCCAGTTCAGTCAGAGTGGCTGTGTGTGCAGAAACTAATTGTTTTTCCAGACTATGATGAAGCCTCTCTGGACTAAACCAGTGAAAAGACGAATTCTTTGTTTGGGTTTTGTCCACCACATAGGCTGGCGTGTACTTTCTTAAAAGATGACACTGGCTTGTACTTTGTGTAATAATATGCAGTACATGTCCCCGCCTCATGTCATACATTGTTTTTCCCAATCTTGTGCAGCAGCGACTGCCTGCGTGTGTTTACGGTTAACAACCTTGCAGGTTCAGTATGTCTGGTTTCAGCTTGTTATCTGAGAACTTTGTCTCAAACTGCTGGAAATGTTATTTTTTTTACTGCAATAAAAAGTTCTGTAAAATATCATGTCATGGGGTTTCCCGTTTTGTCTTTCAACACATTTTTTTTCTTCATTGCAAAACTAAAATATATCTAATGAATGAACTGTTGGTAGGAAGTTTTTTTTTTACCCCCTCTGTATCTTTAAAAGTTACTTCTAATGACCGATACAAATTTGTCACACCTTGAATGCACTATCTGAGCCCTTTCATTTCATTTAACACCTGGGACATATCTGCCTGTTGGAGACCTCAATATATTTTAGGATATGTAAATGTTTTATCCATTTCATGATTACTAACATTTAAAGTAAAAATGCTGCAACAATTAGGCCTTACACACACACACACACACACACACACACACACACACACACACACACACACACACACCATAATACAACACCAGCATTCGTAAGACCTTACAGGCACTGCTTCATATTAAAAGTTGTTGTCACATCAGTGTCAGAGAATTCTCCGGTGATATATGATCCACACAGCTGCCTTGAGACATGTTTCTAAGAACAAGCTGCTTTGCCAGGAAGAGCTGAACTCACTGATGTACTCTGAACACAAACAGCACATGATTGCATTTTCACAATTTACATGGAGTATCAGGCTACCAAAAACAAGCTGACCTAGTAAATGGGAATGTCATCAAACCACTCAGCGACATTGTAAGTACGATAGAATGAGTAGATAGAGAGATACCCCACATGGTCTGTTGTTTGCCATCCAAGTTTGATGTATGCTCTGGTGTTTTCTAAAGCTCATAAACTTGACTTGTACATGCTTTTAGAATGGTAAATGCTTCTTAGCATCGAAAATTCACCCAGTCTTCTCGGAGGTATGTCCAGCTGGTATACTTTCACACTCCCATCAGCCAACCAGTATGAGCTGACTGCTTCCTTTGCACCAATCACATCAAAGTAGGGCAACTATTTGTTTGCTCAACATCTGTATTTCTTTCCAAAAATATTTAGGTGGTATTTAAAGATGTATGAGGGGGGAAAAAAAACCCAGTGTATGCTACTGAACCAGAAAACACCCTGCCACACTCTCTTCTTACACCTCATAGATATTTAGCAAACAGCAATTCTTTATTGTCAAATATGTGGAGGTTTAATGTTTGCATTTCAAACTTTTCTGTTTATACACATCTATGCATTCAAACTGCATTAAAAAAAAACACGACTATAAGTCTACTGTATCTTCTCCCAATTGGTCTGTAGCCATAAAAGTGACAGTACCAGTCATTCTGATGGGATGCCCCAGAAAGGACATGCTGCTTTAACAGATTCATTGCATAATCTTTTTACACACTTCATTGATATCAAGGCCTCTGATTGGCCACATGGTCTGGCCTGACAGTCATAAGACCTGACAGAAGCATTAGCTGGAGCTGCCAAACTCTGATACAGTGATTAAAAGGAAAAAAAAAAGTCTTTGTTCTGGATTAGTGAGACTATGAGTGTATGAGAAGTGTTTAAGCACCCTCTGCTCGGAAAATTACTGTTGACTTAAGGCTTTAAAGAGGGGACGAAATGAGAAGGGCTTATAGGTCTAGCTTTATGATGAATAAGTCAAAGTATCCACAACTATTTGTTTAAGTGATTAAGTGATGAAAAATGACCCCAAAATCAGTGCACTCGCAATTTCATTCATGAACCCATGAACCATTGACTTGTTTGTTTGGTCAAATCCATAGAATGCCTTTACACCGGTGGCCTAGTGGCTTTTGTGTGCACACCATGTACAGAGGCTGTATTCCTCAACGTGGACGGCACAGGTTTCGAATCCAACTTGTGGCTCCTTTCCCACGTTATTCCCCACTCTCTCTCTGGCCCCAATTTCCGACTCTATCCACTGGCCCGTCTATGCAATAAAAGGCATAAAAAGCCCAAAAATAAACCTTCAAAAATAAAAGACAAAATCACCTGATCCATTGAGCTATCTTGCACCCCTCTTCTTCACACCTTTTTTCTCCTTCTCCAGAGTTTCAGTCGGCGCGGATCATCTTTCGTGGGGGACTACTAAAACGTATTCCCCTAGTCCAACAGGCTAAGGACTCGTGAATTAAAAGCACTTTTAAATTTGTTAATGTGTTATAACCTGTTTGTAGCCTTCACCTCTTGTGATAAAAACGACACAGCAACGTACTTGGATGCATACATTACACACCCAAATAGAATCATAGAAAAGTTCTTCTTCTTATCACCCTTAAATCCAGTGGTTACTCTTTTTTTTGCCTATCTTCTATGCTTTTATTTCCATTCCTGACACAAAATTACAAATCACTTTACCCAGCTCCAGGTGGTGTCAGTGGCATACTGCTCAGCAGCCTCATCAAACTCTTCATCATCGTCTCCTGATATCATGATTCCATAGTGTTTTCGACCCGGACTGTAGGTCTCTGGCCGTTTTTCTCCTAAACCCTGCAGGTCTGGTCCGATCTAGAGCTTGTCTTCACTCTGTGAGCTTGTCAGAAGTCTGAATGCCATGTGCAAGTGGACTGCGAAGTACTAAATTTACCTGGACCCTCTGGTCAGAAACCTGAGACGTCCTGGATGTGTCATCATCCACCAGACCCCCTGACTTCTTAGGCATTTGAGAGGGGGACACATGTCAGGAGACGTGTTGGACTTGGTGGGTTTCCTTATCCACACACACAGTCACACATGTTCCCACAACACTGAGACGACAAATTACCTTGGCACAGGGCTTCCCTTCCTCATGCATGCCTGATATTTTTTATGCGTAAATTTCTCATTAGCTAACACAGAGATTGTGACACCTGTTGTTGCTGTTGACCCCAATGTTGACCATGCCAGAGCCTCAACTGACATTCAAAGGATAGCAGAGCACCTGTTGCCTTGGTTGAACTCCAAGTCTCCCTGATACCCAATGACACTTCCAGTGACCAATATATTTAATATGACACTGTATTTGCACTGATGAGTTTGAACCAGTGACCTTTATGGATTATAATTGATAGGCCAGCTGACTGCTTGTAACTCTAGCATCATTCTCTAATGTGTAGTCTTTTAAACAAATGTCTAAATTGCCCTCAAGTGGTCAAAAGGGGTAAATACATGCATGCTTTTTGGAAATACTCGAAATACGGGTTTAGTGTTGCCTTCACTTGTAACATTTAAACTCTGACATACAAGCACCTGCTATGTTTGTTTAGAAATTGTATAGCCTACATCAGGGATGGGCAACTTTGGTCACAGCAAGGGACACATTCATTTAATTCTCACTGCCAGAGGGCCAAATTGTAGGATACAAAAACGATTACAGTCAATTTATCTCAACATATACCAGTGATCAAATATTATTATGGACATATTTCTGGTTTTCACTATTTCATGGCAGATTTTGTCATCTTTTCTTCATGTTTCCAATTAATTGATATGTCAAAATTGACCTGAGGGCTACATTGAGGGTTGATGGGGGCCGCCAGTTGCCCACCCCTGGCCTACATCCTGACCTTTTGTAGTAGACCTAAATGATAAGTAATTTACTACCGGTAATTCAAAAAAAAAACGCATCCTATAGGAAACACATCCTTTAAAAATATCTTAACATCGCTTAGGCCGTTTTTTTTTTTTTTTGCTCAATTTTTATTATTATTAAGCTACTATACATAGGCTACTTTAATTATGGTCAGTTCAGATTTGTTGGTAACATCACTGAAATGAATGACTTTAGGTCCATGAACAAGCTTTTCAGTCAGTCAGTCTTCTTAAGGGGATGCATTTAACTTTGTTATACAAAGGTTTGGATTAAGTTGAAGCTATTTCTTAATAAATACGTGATTTATGTTATGT